CGCTGGCGCAGCACTCCGTTCCTGCGGAGTAACAACTAGTCACTACTGCATGCTGCAGCAGGTATAGATTACTGACTTTGCTTGGATGTCGGAGCCCTCATCTTCTGAGGAGCTTGAACTCTACGTGTACGGTTCGAAGTTCGTTGAAGAGTGTCAGTACTCGGAACATCCTTTCGCTTCTGCAAAAAACTTGTCCAAGGAATACTGACCACACCACACCCATCCTGAGCAGCAGTGAATGACAGCGCCAATGGAGGTAAGTTTGGATCGTTTCGAAAGATCGAAAAGGAAACAACCACCCAATGTTGTCTGCAGTGTCCATTTGTAAATCACGGACGTGAACACCAGTACAGACGACTACTAAGTCCTGAGGTGCTAAAATTAGAGCCGAAGTACTAATATCCGTACAGTATCGATCTACCGCACGCGCATGTGTTAGCTGCTCCCGGCTAATGATAAATACACCACATGCAGTGCACTGCCTGACAGTCTGTGCTCTTTGACCATGTTGACTCAGTGACCATGGTGACTGCACTGACTGTGATCGGACGGACGTCCTTTTGTGCACACATGATATTTTTCGATATTTCTCAGCCGCACACTTTGCAAAATTTAGGGGGTTCCATGGAACCCCCGGAACCCCCCCCCCCCCCCCCTGGATCCGCCACTGTTGTTGTTGTTCTTTTTATTCGAATTCGCAATACTAAACGGCCAATAAGCCCAATTACATGGAAGCGAATAAAAGAATGCTAAGAATGAGGCATTCAGGTGAATATTTTCAAGTGCAAATACTGATCCCGGGAGGTACTACAAATAGGTACAATGAAAATCTGAAAAAGGCCATAATACTGTCGTTTACCATGCTGCAAGCAGCTATATGTAGAAGAAAAAAACAACAAGAAAGACGTTGTATCTCATGTACTGGACAAACAGAGCTAACAGGAAAAGACCGTTCGTTAAAATGCCTGTACATACTGTCCTAGTGTGTGTGTGTGTGTGTGTGTGTGTGTGTGTGTGTGTGTGTGTGTGTGTATGGTGTAGACCAGGCTGAATAGTGACGGTCAATTCTTCAGCCTTGCAAGCTGTTGAATGGTGTAATCCCAGCACAAGTTGCTATGGCTTCTGCCGTAGCATTGCTATCATCGCCTCCGGCGATGGGCGTCAAAGGTCAAAGGTCAAGGTGTGTGTGTGTGTGTGTGTGTGTGTGTGTGTGTGTGTGTGTGTGTGTGTGTGTGTGTGTGTGTGTGTGTGTGTGTGTGTGTGCATATCACTGTTTCTCTTCTTTAAAAACGGTTATGGCCTGAGAGTGTACGGGTACACGGCTGCTGCGAAATCGGCCACGGCTTTGCAGGAACGCACACTGGCTGGCAGAGTGTTCCACAGCGCAGGTCCACGGAAGAACAGTCGGCGAGTGCCTATATTCGTCCTGGCCAGCGGCAGAATGAGCCCAGCATTGGCTTGATGTCGAGTTGCGGCCGTGGTTGCGGGCGTCAGCTGCTTTGAAAGCGCTGTACTACATTGGCCGTTCAGGCCGTGCCAGATGAGACCGAGGAATCGGTGGTGTTGTGTCTCCTCGATTTCACGGAGGGATATGCTCTCCCTTTGGCAGCTTACTGAAGATGTGGGTGGTAGGCTGAACACAGCACGGATGGCACGGTTCTGAAGACGTTGGAGCTGGGTGTGCATGCATGTGTGTGTGTGTGGGGGGGGGGGGGTATATGTGTGGGGGGGAGGTATATGTGTGTGGGTGTGGGGGGGGGTATATGTGTGTGTGTACGTGTGTGTGTGTGTGGATACGTGTGTGTGACAGCGTGCATATGTGTGTGTGTGTCCTTGCAAACTGTTGAATGGTGTAATCCCAGCACTAGTTGCTATGTCTAACATAGCTGTTCGCTATCATTGCTTCTGCGATGGGCAGGTCTGAGGTCTGAGGTGTGTGTGCGTGTGTACTTACGTGTAGGTTATGTGATGTCATCTATATCTACTTCGCCATGGGTACGGGCATAGCTGCCGTCCTGTTGTGAATCACGAATGATGCCACAGCTGCTAAGCTATGCTGAGAAATGTGTGGATATGTGTGACATGTGTATGTACTGACATGCACATATGTCTCTCTCTGTCTGTCTGTCTGTCTGTGTGTCTGCCCATCCGCTTATAGTTCAAGACAGGCAAGGTGAACGCGCTCAAGGTGTTAGGCATGATCACAGTATGCGTTGGTATCGTCGTCTACATCGTGCCAACCGTTCTATATGTAAGTACACAGGCGCGCAGCCCACATGGGGCACAGGGGGGGGGGGGGGACCAGCTACACCCCTGGGTTACTACACAATCGTATACAGTGAAATCTGTCTATGAGACCACTCTATCAAGCCGACCACCTGCCCCAGACGACCTGTACAACCAGGACCAATGGATGCTGTTTCCAGCCAAATAACCCTGTTCAAGGTGACCACCCGGTAACAGAGACGACGTTTTGAAACGGCCCGGCCTTGAGTGATCATCTTGGACAGGCTTCACTGTACAATGGTGATCACTGAAATCCATCCCATGCATACTAGTAGACCCACATCCACAGACTCCGAGCACTATGTAGTGTGTTTGCATGCGGTGCATGCTACTGGAACGTGACGCTACTTCATTCATGGGGATATATTACACTCACTAGCACTGGGCATTCAGGCACCTCGATAGTGAAACACAAAGAAATCACATGAGAACGAGTTATGCAGCAACTTTCCATGACTAACAAGATGATAAACAGTCAGAAAGTGCGGTAATAGGGCACAAAACTAACAATCGACTGAGACATTCAGGTTGCGATAGTTGCTGCATAACTCGTTCTCATGTGATTTAGAAAGGAAAAGGACATATGGATACGAGTTAAGAGTAACTCTCCATCACTGTAACCAGATACTATATACAGTCAGAAAGTGCAATAACTAGGCACAAAACTTACAGAGTAGTGAGACATTCGACGTCCTGACACCTAGCTTCAACACATCTCCGTAGCGCTATCCGACAGCCTTCCAACTTGGAAGGTTCAAGGTTATGGAAAGACCAAAGAGGGGAAGGCAAGCGCAACGAACACGAGCACAAGCTATAGTCTCAATGGAACAAAGGATGTCGATTGTTACGGGACGATGACGAGACCAGTAGGATATTAAATTTTGACAAAGCGGTCTAACTACAATTCGAAGCAGCAAAGCAGCACACCACCCAACTTGGGTGGCTCATAAATATCAAAGATAAGTAAAGAAAGGGGAAGCTGATTACAGTGATGGAGAGTTACTCTTAACTCGTATCCATATGTCCTTTTCCTTTCTACATTTATTTATGGCTCAACATCCGAGTTTCAAATTGCACGCCTCATGTGATTTCTTCTCTTTTTTACATTTATATAAAAAATATGTACACAATTGAATGTGACTCTTCTCCCACGTTGTGTTGGCAATGTTCCAGTGGTGTGGTAGGTGAAGCCAGCCCCTAGACGATTCTGGCTGCAGTGGCAGGAGGTATTACAGACTGCTCGGCGTGTGCAAGAGCTCAGCATACAGAGCTCAGCATAATATAGTGCAGAAAGTGCCTATCTCCTCTCATTTGCTGCCGATGCCTCCCCGGCCCAGCCAATGTCAAGTACTGCGACCCAATCCTATAAGGATTTCCCTGGCCCGGGGGGGGGGGGGGTCCTTGACTCCTTGCGCTGAGAAATTGTGAGAATCGAACCTGCTATCCTATGTTTTGGAATTCTAATGCTTGACCATGCTGATAATAGCCATGCACCCTTGTGGAATGAGCTACATATATGCGTTGGTTGAGTCCGTCGCAGCTTCCTCTTTTCAATAAACATTCTTTCGGAAAATGCACCTACAGCTTCATATTGTAACGCTACGCAGGAGAGAGATTGGAAGCTGTGCCGCAACTCTGAGTTTCACGTATTACAACGATCATCAGGCAACTGATGGCTCCAAAACGGGCAGCCCGAACATAAGGGGGAGCAAGGTGAGAAATGCTGAGGGGAGTCATAGCGAACGAGTCAAGTGCAGGCGAGCTATTCATTTGTCACTTCTGGCACTCTTGTACCTTGTTCGGCAAAAGCTCGGTATCCATTGCCTACCTGTTGTTGTCTTGCTCCTGTCGTGTGCTCCGTTTATCCCTCATTGCATTTGTGTACCCTCATAGGACTACAGTGAGACGATTCAGAATGAATGCCGGAAAAACGCTTCCAACTCTACTCTCTCCGAAGACGAACGCAGGCGACTCTGTGCCACAAGGCAGCAGGTTGCAGTCAACATTGTCGAGCTGATCTGCGGATCCATTCTTTTCGGCCTGGCTGGCGGTAGGTACTGCCAGCAGCATACATGTACATGCCCAGCTGTTCAATCTGTAAGATGAACAGGGCTAGAAGTTGTTGGACACACTTCAAAGCACTGCATAGTCTGCGTCGGCTGCCATCGCTATGTGTATCTCTGTGCGTTTTTGCCGGCGTTTGCACCATGATGTTTGGCGGCTATCTTGTAACAAACAAAACAAAACGTACCTAGAGTCCATGACCAAGAGTATGGGACTGTGCTTATGGAACGGTGCACAGCGCTCTGCCTTCATTATGTAACCTACCTCCATCATGCCCTGCACTCAAAACCCATAATCTAGCTCTTATACCAGTAGACCCATGTTTTGCTTGATTTGTTCGAGTGCATGCCCTATCTCCAAATATTGGATGCATATTCCAGTTTCGCGCGAAAGTTCGTTTCAAACAACAGGTAATGTGTGGTGTTTGACTTCTTGCAGTGCGCAAATTGTAGTCGCATGATGCAATGAAGGTAGAGCGCCACTCATCTTGCCCATGGAAAAGGGATCAGAGTTGCATGCTCTTGATTAAGGACTCTTGATAGTAACCCCTTGCAGATCTATAAAAAAAACTGTTCCTCATTGCCACAAACACTCTTGCCTGCACATACACAATATGTAGTGCATATCTGGCGCAGATTCCAGGACTGTAGGAGCCCCGGCCTGCAGTTCTTTGCATACTCATGATTAAACCAGGGCATGGGCAGTATCTTACACACAGTTGTGTTTTGCGCTGCAGTGTACTGGAGGAATGCGAAGGGCAAGATCCATTTCACGCTGGCTGGAGGTGGGCAGACAGTGGTCGGGGGCATCCTGGCCCTGATCTTCTGGGGCGCACTGGACAAGGGCGAGTATTCGGTGAGATACTGCGTTCGGTGACTGTGTCTTGGGCAGACAGGGCAGTGCTGTCTTACTGTCGCACACTAGTGCGTGTGCGAGTGTGGCCTGATGTGTGACGAAGACGGTTTGTGGTGCATGCAAGAGTATGCGTTGTTCGAGAGTGTAGCAACCTGCCTCTGTCTGCGTGTGAATGATTGTCAATGTCATGCGGGCGTCGCACATGCGTTGAATATGTGGAGCATGCGTAGCGTGAGTCTAGTCTGGGAGGAAGAGTGACGAGCATAGTCTCATTGTCTCATTGTCTTGGTCTTGGCCATGTGTTTTGTAAGCATTTCTCCCTGATTGGTCATTGCGTTATCACCATTCAGCATCTGTGAGTTTGTTGTCTTTTTGCCTTCTCCTCTTATGTTCCTAACTACATTTTGTGAAGGTGTCCTAAGCCTTACGGCCAATGACTGCTCATGTGTTGTGGCTGGGCGGGGGAGGGGGGGGGGTAACATGTCTGTGGGTTGCCCCCCCCCCCCCTGAAGAAGTGCCGGGTACCGTATTTTACCGGTTGTAAGTCGACCCCGGTTATAGGTCGACCCCCGTATCCGGAAGTCTCAATTCTGCGTTTTTAAGTTTTCACCCAACGAAGCACTACCAACCACTCCCTGCTACTAACACATCAACAAATCATGTCAACATTCCTTATTGGAGGGTATAACGTCCCAATCCTTGAAAAAAAGCCAATAAACTGGTAAACATGTGCACACAGGGTGCACTCATGCATGCAGGGCAGGTCATTTTTTGTAAGATTCTGATAGTTCCCGGCTATATGTCGAATCCCGGTTGTCAGTCGACCCCCACCCTTTCTCCTTCTATTTTTAGTCGTAAAAGGTCGACTTACAACCGGAAAAATACGGTATGTTTCCTAATAGTGCAAGGCGAGCATGCATTTTGCCACTTCTGATATGCAACTACTCCCAGTGGTTGTCCTGTATAACTACCGGCATTTGCAAGGCATGTATGATATGTGAGCCTCTAGATCCAAAATGGGGGCTTATGTCATTTTTTAGCATTTTTGAGTTATCTTTACCATGACCTTGCTGTACCGCAGCAGATCACTCTGTAAAAAACCTAGGTCCAAAATCTTTATCTTTCACAGAGTTATGGGTGTTTCAAAAGTGATTTATACATCGCTTGATACGGAAAACTCAACTTTCAAATGCCTTTTTCTCAATATTGCGCAAAATGACATAAGCCCCCTTTTCGGATCTAACGTTAGAGGCTCATATTATCACTATTCTTCCTTCTTGAAGCTGTGGCAATGTATGTACACGTACCATGAGAGGCCGGTACTAGCACTGTGGGCGGCTGGGGATCCGCGAGGCTAGACCTGAAAAAAACCTACTTGTATAGTTGTACATGTCTGCTGTATTTATCCATTGCGATTTTGCCTATCACACTCTTGCTACATATCAGCCAACATGGACACCGTCATCGATAGCTGCCCTCCTCTACCTGATGATATTCTCCGGCTTCGGAGCTGCCACCTTGCTGTTTTTCCTGTACGGAAAGATTGGTAAGTTGAAACCCAGCTGTGTCACCCATGGAATGTGGCTGTGGTGGCTGGGTGTTCACCTGGCTGGGAAGCCAGCATTCCAGTAAACGCATTGGCAACACGCTGCCTGTAGTATAACACTTATGGCAAGAAAGCAGGCCAAAGTTCATCAATACCATCCTCGATTTGTTTTCCGTCATCATGTCTTCTTCAGGAGCAGAAGCCAAGCTACATGTATGTTTCTGGTTTAGACTGACATTCTGTAAATACTGTTAAAATGCAGCGCATGCCGGGATCGGAGTCTACGCTGACAAACCGGCATGGCATGCATGACACCGTGTAGGGAGCTTAGCACATGTAGTACTCGGACCCGGTGAATTCCGATCGCATGAGTCAGCAAGCATCGGATGCGGTCTCACCCCAGATGTCATGTGAGCGCTGGGCTTTGCACTGGTGTAGGGCGCTAGATTGGACGTTACTGGGGCCGGCTGTCCGTGCAGTGTATATGCACTATGACACTGAGTACAGTCAGACCTCGCATAACCGCACACGTCCGGTTTTCACAAAATATCCGGATAGGCGGGGGAGCCGGATAATCGAACACACAAACTGTATGTACCGGTATGCATGGCATATGCTGTAAATCGGTGACCAACGATTTTCTTCCGGATGGCGAGGGATCCGGATAAAAGAGGACCAGATAAGCGAGGTCTGACTGTACTTGGCTGGGTAGCCTGGCATGAGGGAAACATGGATGCAGCAAATGGGATTTTCGGTCTTTGACCACTTTGCCAGTGGGCTGATCCACTCACCTCCCACCACTCTAGGAGCTGTATCTGTGCTTTTAAACTTTGCAGAGTTGTGGCATTCCTACGGATACTGAAAACTCAGTCTATCTGAGTCTGAAGCGAATTGTGAAAAAAAATTTGACTAGGTTTCCCGCATGGCTTCACTCTGACCAACTGGTATCAATTCTTTGATTTTCTCTTTCAGGTGCCGTGGCAACCGCTCGTGTCATGTGCATAGTTCCTGTTGTTTCTTGGATTGAAGACCGGATCATCTACTACAGCCGAGGTTCACACGGTGTGGGACTGGAGGCACTTGGTAAGATCCCGCCCTGCCGTATCGACAGATGACTGGGCTGCTTATGCTCCATCCTGTGCGTGGTTGTTTGTGTGTGTGTGGGGGGGGGGGGAGGGGGGGGGGGCGTGTATCACGCATCATTCTGAAAGCATTGTGAGGTAGTCTGCTCATTATCATTTCCATCGGCGTTGGGCACGTTCAAGATTCAAGTTAGTTTCAAGGGGTGTGAGAGGTGGCAGGCGTTGGGCTAGTGACGTCATAACAAACCAGAAGAGAATTTGCTTTTGTCCATGTACTGTGACCGGAATAACTATGATGATGGAAGTCACTGCGGAAGCACTTGAACTGATCATCCATGTGCCGGGTCACAGTACTCCAGCAATAAGCAACTTCCTCCCTGCTGATGAGCCATTTCCCAAAATATGGGGAAACAAAGATGAAATATCAAGTGTGTGTGCGGAAGAGACCTTTTTTTGGGGGGGGGGGGCAGGGGGGAGAGAAAGAGAGAGACGTGGAAAGAGATAGAGAGATAGAAATATGAGTATGTGTTTCTCAATGAGCGAAACAGCTGTATGGAGGATTATCCAACATCTACGTATCCAAGAACAAAATTCCTCGCTATGGTGTTGTGGATGTGGGCCAAGAGCACGGTGTGGAGTGTTCCAAATTATTTTTCAAATGGCCTAGTTCGTCGCAACTTCTAGAGCTGTTCTGTGCATAGCGAAAATCATCATAGTCGGCAATTGTGAATATGACAACCTCTTCAGTCAGTACTTTTTTTTAAACTCAATACACAAGTTCGTTTTCATCTCAAAAATGTCTATACGGGTGCCAGTATAGGCTGGATTTATTGGCGCTGAGCATAACAAAGAATGTTCCTGTGAAACATACCACCCGTGTATTCAAGTGATGTGTGTTTTTGCCAATCCTTATGCTTCAGGACTGATCATCTTGATTGCTGGTCTCATCCTATTTGAGGGCAGAATCGATCAAATTTGCGGCATTAATGTTCCGTGTGTCAAGTACTATCAGCGACACAGGGATGCCAAACGCTTTAGCACCAGTTTACAAGGAGACGCTGAAACAAGGGTAAGGTGTAATAAAACAGCTCAGTGACCGTATCCTGGGCATAACACCCTACAGGATATGATGTACCACTTTTGAATTTTTGTTTAAAGGAATAGAAATGAATACTATGCGGTAAATACTGTATACCAATTATATGAAGCGTCCTTCAACATTTTGAAACAATTCATATACATTGCTGAAAAGTTATTTGGCTTTGGATATGTAGTACTTCGGCTGTGAAGTACAGACTTCCATAGTCCGTGGAGGTACCTTGTCCTGAAGTTTCACTGAACAGGAGCCTGGACTCCAATGGCTCTCAGTTATATGGTCACTCGCTGCACTAAACAAACAAAGAAAAAAACCCTGTAGGTCCGGTGTGTGTTCCAGTTCATTGGCACTCACCAAAGTAGCACATCTGCTTGTCATGCCTTCCCATTTTTTTTATGAATGCGCAAGAAGTCCAGCCGATCCTGTGCGTACTGATCATGATAAGCCTTCAGTTTGACTGGAAATCAACCAGCCCTTGCAAGTTTATGTTCTCGATGATGGTGCATATGCTTGGAGAGTGAACAAAGTCGCGTGTCTGTGCTATTTGCCTGCCTGTGCCACTAGGCAAAAAGCTTGTCGACTAAGCTGCTGGAGGAGGATTTTGAAGGCGTCGACGTTCAGGATGAATCTGATACGAATGAACTGGATGAAGCACACAGGAACATGGCCCTGTACTCATCCAGTGTGGGAGAATTTGAAGTCATCTTCTAATTGATCTGGCGGCAAGCAGGCATTGAGTGCATTACTGATGAGGAAATGTCATAGAAACTGAGAAAATGATAATTGTCCGGCTCAAGTTCCGGATGTTGTTGCCACTACTAGCCATAGTTCCCACTTTATTTATACTTCAGCTAGTGTCCGATAGATAGATAGCACTGCACTTCACTAGGTGCTTTCTTTCTGCCCGGCTTCACGCCATAGCACCAGTCCTTCGGTGGTCTAGGACACTGCAGTAAGAGCAGTGGGCTGTCTGTTTCAAGTGCCATACTCTCCAATTCTATTTTATTAGTAGTACAGGTCTACCCTCGTTGGTAGACAATCCAGGGGTTTAAAAAATACTTGTCTTATATCGAGTATTGTCTACTATCTGGACTTACAATGTACATGTACGCGTTTCAGGCGTCAAGGGATTCTGGATCGTTGTCTTCTGATGAGGTTTTTCTTGTAGCAGATGTGGTGCTAACGAGGGTAGACACGTACATGTAATACCCCATTTTTTTAAGCAGTGCTGATTCATCACCAGAATGCCAGTGGTATCGAATACTACTGTAAGACGTGAAATGATAACGAGGAACTGTTAATTCTAACGTTAGACTATTGAGATTTTTCATAAGAGTATTTCATTAGGGCCATGGTTAATAACATATTATGCGAGGGTGATATGCCTGTACACTCTCAGATCGTTAAACATACCTTCTTGTTAATTAACCTACGGATTTTGGAAATCATTAAATTTGCTATTCTTTGTGCAAACCGTGATGTCCTTTAGTTTCGATATCTTCCGTTTATATTTTAACAATAGACTTCTCGTTTTACTCATTGTTTTACTGCAGTAGATTTAGCACCACGTGCATGTACACATTTTACAGAGTAGTGTACACGTCTTCTAGTAAGTTCTACTATAGGCTTTCGCTGCATGAGACATGCGTTCACACAAGCCATGTCAGGCTTTTCCATATTAAGTTGTGGCTGAAATCCAGATTGACGTTAAAACGCTGAAGGCTGCTTGGCCTGGCGCACATACCGATGAGGTCAAAAATCCACTTTGCGCCACAGAAAGCTAGTGCAGGCCAGGGAGTCGCCGACTCGGATGGTAATTATGGGGTCTGACTTCTCCCTGGACTGATGTGCATATCTAATTGTTTTCCAGATTTCACTTGCCATAACTGCCTATACTTGCGCAATGCAGACACCCGCAAGTTTCCATTTGACTGCGGGTATAGGCACAGCTGTAAAATCACCGTTCCCAGGCAGGCCTTGAACCAGGTGCATGTAGATGATTGTGGTGCCTGTCGCTTCTCAATCACGGTCTTAGACCAAGCCACTGTGCTTGCTTAGACCGAGCCACTGTGCTTGCCTGATCATCGGCCTACATACAGTAAAACCTGTGACTAACGACCACCCCTTGCCTTGGGGCCAGAGAAAGCGGTCTTTAGTGGCAGGTGGTCCTTAGTTAGAGGTTTGCACCGCGCAACCATAATAATTATGCCTGTGAGACCGTCCGTGCCTGGCGAAGTGGTCTGTGGTACCAGGCTGATCGCCCGCAGTCAAGGTGGTCTTTAGTTACAAGTTTACTGTGCATGTACGTATGAGGCACACGAAAGCAAAACAGGGCACCCAGTGTGTTAGTGCTACAGTGAGAGCAGCAGCAGAGCACCCAGTGCAACAGCGAGAGCAGCAGCAGCAGCATCATTCCGGACAAAGCACACCGGGAAGAAAGAGATGGGGCACAAGTACAATGCAGCAAGCTTGCACACAATGCAATACAACAGGGCCGCCGGAACCGGACCAACTCTGGCTCAGGTCACCACTGGCCCTGGGATTCTTCTAAAACCGGGGAGATAAAACTCTGGGTACATGTAAATAGTTTGGTACATGTACATGTAATATCGATTATGCATACATATGTACGTGCACCCATCGCAGGCCATACATTGTACATGGATATCCATGCAAATTTATTCCCTGTAGCAAGAGTACAGTACTCTTGCCTGTAGTGGGCTCTGAAAACTTGTGAAAAGGTCAAATTCTGCTATTTCTGACCGAATTTTAAAAAAATGGCCCTGGGAGATCCCCCGGACCCCCCCCCCCCCCCCCCCCTCAAACCGGACCGACTTCGCCTGCCTTCCGACGGGCCTGTACAGAGAGTAACTGCAGTTAGATGCATTGTATTTTTTCCAAAAAACCAAGAACGCATTCTCATCCAGACACCAGTCAATCTGTGACATAATAAACCTAATACAAAACTCACACAAACTCAATATAGTCAGAGAAAGTGCTAGCACATGGCCAGGTTCAAGCAGCCACAGAAAACACAACATGGCTGAAGAAAAGGGATTAAAAAAAGAAAGAAAAGAAAAACAGCATTGTACCGCCACACAGGGAAAATCTGCTGGCACAGTACAGATAGCACTGAACATGATCATTATGGTTAAAAAGGTGTTTGGGGGGGGGGGGGGGCTCTAAGACTGAGAGCGATATCAAGCGTTTAGATTCTTAATGATTGGGCTCCAGGGCACGGCAAGCAAGTTCCGCACACTGAACCAAGGTGTTGTGAAGCGCGAGCTGAGCGCAAGCTGCGTGTGCATCGAACACAGCGCAATCTCGCACTGCAAGGCATCCTGAATGCGCCATGCGCCGAGCCAGCCATGCCGATAACTGAGCTGCCAGGCAAGCCGAAATCAAGTGACTTATAAAGCCAAAAGAGCGAAATCCCCAATTCGCACGTTTCTAGCCCTCACAGCATGAGTATTGAGTGCCACATTGGTAGTTAGACGAATGACAGTGGTAACAAGCTGGTTAGGTGCCATCAAGAAATGAATACTCATCACAGTCCGGAAACACTGCCTCCACATCTTTCTTCTGCAGAGTTTTTCGCTTGGCCATGTGTGTTTTCGTGTAGGACAGTTTAGATAGTGTACCAATGAACATCTCAGTGGCCTTGCAAACGAGGAAAGCAGCTTCGTGACTAGTTATACCCACGTCAGGGTCACTCTTCATCAGACCTTTTATCCTGCTCAATGGCAACCTGGCTCTGCACAGCGTATCAGCAGCGTTGGCCTGGCCTTGACTTTCGCCTGCTTCCCCATCATCAGCCTCATCCTCCATGGGACTGTCCTCCTCCTCATCTTCTGCCGCCTGAGCACGTGCATCCTGTTGCGACGACATGCTTTGTCGGATTGATTTGCTACAGCGTGAGCAAATGGAGCTCCACCATCCACCAGAAAACTTCTACATGTACTTCTCGTTTCAAAGCTATGGAAAGAGACTCCAAACTGAGAAAAGCAAACTCCAAAACACAGAAATAATTGTACCACTACGAGTACCACTTTTTAGCACTATACTACGCGTATACGTACTCTACTGACGCAAAACTCAAAAACAAGAAAAAATAATGAAGGAAGCATGCATGCGATCATCAGCGCAGCTTCGTTTGTCATTCAGCTCAGATCTAGTTTATACGAGCCTCCATCTGGCCGGCTCCGAGTGGCTCGTGGTCTGTGTACTATCGGACTGACCACGCACGTGAGATTTTGTCTTTCGCGGGGTTTTTCACGTTCTTCTTTATATTTTGCGTATATTTACGACTCTCGGGGATAATTATGGCTAGGCTAGGCCCTGACCCGGTACGCGGTACCGGTATACCCCTGAATGGGCCTGATCGAAACACGACGAGAAATCGAAAGATCAGAGCTGGCTATGCACCAGATACCCCCCCCCCCCCCAAAGGGCCAGATAGTACCTGTTTATGTACTCGTACTCCCTGTCTCAAATCGACCACGTCCACTGCACTGGCATGGTCCAGCTCCATGATCCACACATGCACAAGGACCACAGGAAAAGTCAGCATCAGGGAGTCGTATAGACTCCCTGGTCAGCATGCATGAACTCAACAACAAAAAAATAATCGAAACTCCAGTCCAGAGATTCTTGTTCTGTGCCTGTGGCCAGGCAGCTGTATTGTGTACGTGTGCCGGCTGGTTTCCTCTTCCTGCCCACTCCAAGTCCAGCCTTGTGTGCGAATTGTTTGTCTGGGGTCAAGAAGATGATTGCGTAACGACTTGTGCTATCCAGAATGGCGACGGACCGCGTAAACGACCCATCCATAGCTCGGGAAGGAATCGCTCTCCTTTTTCGTAGCGGAGTGGGAGATGCGGAGGCATTGCTGTCCAAGAACAGGTGAGAAATACTTACCGGTATCGCGAAGCGACCCTTTGACGTAACGCCTACTACTGGCCACATATTGTTTGAATCGTTGTGCACAATCATGTATTTTGGTATTTCTTCTCTACGATATTTTGTTCACTGAGTAAGTTGTAATGAAGGTGGACACATATAGTACAACACAGTATCGTTCAGCTGACAATGAGGATGCGTCACGTACGAGCACGGGTACACAATTTCGAGCCAGGGTTTTGTTGCGTTGTACGATTGTATCCCTGCACTCACCACGAAATAATTATTAGGATTGCACCAAGAAATATATTTGCGGACTTACGTAATTGCAGAGTCACGCAAGCTTGTACTGAGTGCAGGTAGCAGTGAGTGCATTTAAAAGTACAATTCCAACCTGCAGTGCTGCTACCGGGACATCTCAAGTTTAATGGTGCAGTGCTCACTGTCCGAATCTGTGCTTGCAAACACACAGGGACAAGGACACCTTGAATCCGTGCTTGCAAACACACAGGGACATGGACACCTTGAATCCGTGCTTGCAAACACACAGGGACATGGACACCTTGAATCTGTGCTTGCAAACACACAGGGACATGGACACCTTGAATCTGTGCTTGCAAACACACAGGGACATGAACACCTTCTGGCGTATGGCCGTTTCTATCCTCATTCAGGCCATTGGTAAGCCTAGTTCACATTCGACGGGGCGTAAGAAGGGACGGGAACCGACGGGACACTCATGACGCCGATTGACGGCGTCCAATGCGAGCACCAGGAACGGGACCGCAACCGCACTATCGTACAAATCGGGAAGCGACGGAAGAGTTGATCTGTTCGACTTTTCATACCGTATGCGGGAATGCAAGCGTGCAAAACGGATGCGTTCCGAGCGTGAACAGAAGACGGCGTCGTGCTCCGACTCCTCCCGATGTGCGCAACTGCAATTTAAAACTGTTGAGCATTTTGAACACTACGCTGCCCATGATACCGAGGATTAGCAAGACGAAATTCGCGTTCGTGTTCGCACTCCAAGGAAGGTCGAACTCAGTGACGGATTTCGCGTTATGAGAAGATTACCAAACAGAATTTGCACATGCAGGACGTTGACATGTTGTTGTGTGTACATTGTATACAGACAGTACAGCATAGTAAATTTATGACTGTCCTGACACGAATCCGCGGTTTGTGTTTCGACTACTGTTCCGAACGGAAAAATGCGACAGTTCACGAACCGAAAAATGTTCGCAAACACGAACGCGAATTTCGTCTTGCTAATCCTCCGTGATAACTCACCGAGTGGCTAGCAAGGTAAGATTTCATGTCACTTGCTCTATTTAGGGATAGTCCGGGAGTGTGACAGACGAACTGTGTATCTTTTCATGGGGCTATTATTAGAATGGGAAAACTTTCAGGGCTACTTATTTTTGGTCTTCATGACAAACTGGTATTGTGAGCGTAATTCCGCTTCATTTGAGAAGAAATAAAGAAGTCTCGAAAAAAACTTGAATTTGGGCCCAAATGTCAACTCGTCATGGACCGTGCCTTATGACTAGCACCGATCGACGATCAACATCGCAACAACTGCTACATGTCACGGCGTACGAACCATACAAGATTTTACAGCTCGCCCCAGCCGCCACGACAGGCTCTTACGCCCCGTACCGTCAGCGTTACTTCGAGTGTGAACAGGGGTTCTAGCCAGGTGGAAATAGCAGGGGGGGGGGGGGGCATGGGAAACAGTTAGCTGTAACCCATTTTTCATTTTTTGTAAATTGTCTTGCCATGCAAAATGCAACGTACGTGGCGAACCCCCTCCCACTTCATCACATACAAATGTGCTTCTCTGAACCCTCTAGTAGTAACTTCCGAATGCATTTTTGTTGAATGGCATGAAAAAAAACACAAACATAGACAAAAGAGTAGCGGTGCCACTTTAAGTTTTTTTTCACGGGGGAGGGGGGTGCTCAATCAGGGTAGGAGGGCGCTGCGCCCTACCCTCCATTGGCTAGAACCCTGGTGAACCAGGCTTTCGACTACGGCATGAAGCTCGTGTTTGTGGTTGCGTTTTGATCAGGTTATGGCGGTTGACAGACAAAGCAATTCAGATATACATACTCGATGTATAGTATGCACGTGGTCTGGATCAATGTCACAGCTGACGCACTCTACTTATATGTACATACAGTTGAACATCGATTATCCGCACATCGACTATCCGACCATTCGATTATCCGTAACAGTTTTTTTGGGCGCACGTGCCGTAGAGTACGCACTGTGCATGTAGTGAGCCATTCAAAAAATACGAAAATTTTGAAAAGTAAAAAGGTCGTACATGTACATGTAGAGGGGACGGCTCGATACCGGGACGCTTTGACAGCCAAATTTGTATGGACCCAAACCGATCATCAGCGTTGATTTTTCACTCGAAATATGTTTGTGGAAGGAAACTGGCATGTTGAAGTTTGCTCTGAGGCCAGAGTCAATCGAACTGAGCCACTCCTTTGTGTTGACCCATTGCCTCCAAGTTGCCCAATTTTTCGCTTCAAAAAAGTTCAAATCAGAGGTGGCTCCAAACCGGACACGTTTTAGAGTGCACGTCAAATTCACTCTGGGTCTGAAATTAGGTAATTGCTATCGCTCCACGACGGCCAGTACAGAATAACAATAAGCCTTGTGTGTGCTTCCATTAGTTTTGATTGGTATGCTGTGCTATATTGACGAGAGGCGAGCCGCTGTTTACCTGCGACAAGAAGTTGATTTTTCGAAAGTCGTAAAACTCAAGTCGCAGTGCGAAGCAACACGTCAAAAACTCACCTGCTTGGTATGGCGCTTCTGGTCATCGCAGAGCCATGAAATTTTGGCTCGGAGTATATCACATCGTAGTCTCACTGTGACATATGTTTTCTAATCAAAATACCAAGAGAGAAAGTGAATATTGAGTCCGATCCGGTTTGCAACCTATGTCCTATTTGAAACCGTCCCCTCTACATGTTTCTTATCCGGAACATTTGCCTTATCTGAACACCGCCTGACAGTTGTCTGCCCAGAGGTGGTCGGATAATCGATGTTCAACTGTACTCGATGTATAGTATGCACGTAGTCTGGATCAATGTCACAGCTGACGCACTCTACTTATATGTACATACAGTTGAACATCGATTATCCGCACATCGACTATCCGACCATTCGATTATCCGTAACAGTTTTTTTGGGCGCACGTGCCGTAGAGTACGCACTGTGCATGTAGTGAGCCATTCAAAAAATACGAACATTTTGAAAAGTAAAAAGGTCGTACATGTACATGTACATGTTTCTTATCCGGAACATTTGCCTTATCTGAACACCGCCTGACAGTTGTCTGCCCAGAGGTGGTCGGATAATCGATGTTCAACTGTACTCGATGTATAGTATGCACGTAGTCTGGATCAATGTCACAGCTGACGCACTCTACTTGTATGGACTATGTACTCCTGGCAGCGTGGACGTACCTACTGGATCAGGATGTACATGTTTGCACGCTGTACGCTGCCATGCACGGTGCAAATGAAGGGTTTCGCCAGCTACCTACTGATGCATGCACCTATCGTGCACATATGCAGGCCGAAAAAGTTTCAGAATTTGGGGAAAATGACCCGGTTAAACCGCGTGCAAGTAGTGGTGAAGCACTGTCCATGGCTTATGATGGCCATCAGGCATGAATGCAGTACTTTGACGTAGTAGTACAGTGCAACGCCGTGTTCATGTACATTGTATACTGCTCTTGTTTCTGGTGTGTGTGTTGCAGTGGTGGTAATGCTCAAATCGACTGCGCCCTGGCCTACATCCGTGTAGTGGTGAGTACATGAGAGTGGATACTTCAAGTCGACAAATTTTCGGCCCATTCGAATTTCGGGCTCCCAGGGCTAAAACACATTTCGGCTGCTACAAATTCTCGGCCTGTACTGCTGCTGCCTGTATACACTGCTACACTGAACCTTGCAAAACAAAATTTCGGCTGCAACAAATTTTCGGCCAAATATGATCAGGCCGAAAATAAATATGCGCCGAATATTTGTTGAGTGGTATCACAAGCACTGGTTTGCCTCGCCGAGTTCCACGTATGCGATGATGTCCCACAGTTGATTACACTAATTGCTGTAGTATTTCAGGTGATGCCATTCGCATAACTCCATAACTGATGCGCATGTATTCAACAGTGGTGGGATACCTGACAGGATTTCGCAAACTATACGTGTTGCTTCAAAGAACTTGTGCTCCGGGTCCAAATTGATGAGTGGAGGTTGTTTGTTTCAATGTTCATTCTTTCGGCAGCAATGCCTGTTATCCTGGGAACCTGACTCCATCGATGTGGCTATTGAATATCTGAAACAAGTGGAAGGACGATGCACCGCGAGTGAAGGTTCGGTAAGACAACTGTGCATGGATAGGTGGATTGCTGGTGATGTAATGAGACCTGTATGTGTGCGAGCACACGCATTGTGCCTTCTGCTACTCTGTGTGTGTGTGTGTGTGTGTGTGTGTGTGTGTGTGTGTGTGTGTGTGTGTGTGTGTGTGTGTGTGTGTGTGTGTGTGTGTGTGTGTGTGGAGGGGGAGGGGCATTGAGAGATGGCCAAGACTGATGGCATATGCCAGAAGTCAAGCAACATTGGGTGAGGATAGTACCTGGTTGAGTGACCAGCCAAGGTACACCTCTGTGGCTGGAAATGGTGAGAAAAAGAGGTATTGGCATTGGCAAGGCAGCCACTGTGTCGCCGAGGGCAAATCATTCCATTGACTCGCGTTGCTTCTGCTATCCTACTGTGGAATCTGGGGGGGGGGGGGGGGGGGCAAAGTAGTGTTGTTAGACTGAAGAACAATACCGTTGGGTTCCAGGGGATGGAAAGTGCTCACAACCCAGCAAGGTACAGACCCCAGGGATCCTTGGAGATTTGGCTCTTCCCAGGGTATCAGAACAACAATTACCATAGGCACGTGGCTAAAGTGAAGTAGCGCCCATTCCGCCTGCAGAAGCCGGGTCTCAGCCAAACCATATTGGGCAGATCTGAACCATTTGTCTGTGTGTGGGTGTGCACGTCGATCTTTTTTCATTTTCGTGACAATGTTTGTTTTGATACCATGTGCCGCCCTCTCGTGTGTGTGTGTGTGTGTGTGCCCTCCAGCTTCCCAGCCTTAGCACGCCGAAAGGAATTCAGCACCTGATGATTCTGCGCATCATCGGCGGGGATTGTCAGTTGTTGCGTGCACTACTCTGCTTTACCAAACTGTCCATTGCTGGTTATGTCAAAGGCGGTCTATTGCTGCGGTCGGCTAGCAAGGTCTACAAAAAGATCCACAAAGAACTCGAGAAATACAACGTTGGTAATGGACACGCAGCTGTCAATGATGAAGCCGGAGCTGATCCTTCAGTAAGTCCAGCGGTACAGTCAATGGGTCTCTCTTTCCTTTCTCTTTCCCTCTTTCTCCCACACCTGGCCCTACGTTCTCCCATTGTTCATGGATTGCAGTGGACGGCAGCAACGTGTAGTGTTGATATTTTCTACGGCATGCAATATTTTAGTTTATTTACCCTGACCGTTGCTTCTGTCAGCTTTTGCACAGGCTCTTTTCAACTTTCTTTGTCTTTCGTGTGAATGCAGGCATCGTTCGGTGAGGTTCGCGCTGCTTGTAGTCTTGGCTTCGGCATTGTCAACTTGGCAATGTCCCTGATGCCCGACAAGGCCCTAAGTCTCATGAAGTTCTTTGGATTCAGTGGGGAGCGCCAAGCCGGTCTTGATGCCCTGGCGTTTTCCTCTACCAGCGATGACATGCGAGCACCAGTAGCAATGTGAGGAACTGATTTATTGTGTGGGTGTAGGTGTCCATGCGTGTGTGGGTGGGGTGCTTGTGTTGTGTGTGCACGCAGCATTGTGGCCTACAAGTGCTGATTCCCTAGGAATCCCAGCTAGGGGTGTCATCGAGTAGTAGGGTACCCGTGATTGGAGAGGGTAGTCAGCTGTTTGTGCCTGAGAACTCAACCGAGTAGTTGGAGTATGATGTTTTCGCAACGGTGTATGTAAGAAGTGCGGCTACTAGCTTACTGTGCACTTTGCACTTTGCTATGTGGCACAAGTGTGGACTCACTGTTCGAACGCTTTGTGTCAATCCCGCTCATGCAACGCTGTGCACCAGTATACTCGTGCTATGTCAATAATACCCGATAGGGTAGCCGTGCTACCCGGATAGAACCACCCGAACTCGTTACCCTATCAAACCCCTACCCGTTACAGCCCTACAAAGTCCCGGCTACTACATGTACTATCACTGGTACAGCGGTGGCAATTAAACCCAGCCTCGTGAATATAACGGCCCTGTACATACACTAGGAATGCCCGACTGGGTAGTAGCGTTTCTTCCTAAGGACTGGGTTCAACCCCGAGGTCTTCCTTTATTGCCCATGGAGAGCGCGCTTGATTCCAAACCCTGGGAAATTCCGGAAGCGAAGTCAAACGGCCATGATCAGTTGATTATGCATGTAGTGGTAAATTGGTTAAGCAACATTCCACTTGGCATTCTTAATTCTGCAGAAATTGCGCAATCTTCGGAATCATTGAAAGTTCTAGATTATGACGTAACCATTGGTGTATGTGTATATGTGTGTGCCTGTGCTTTTCTTCTTCTATTTTAGGCTGTGTTTGGCGTGGTTCCACGGTATGGGCCGACCACTGTTGGGAATTGACGTACGGGAAGGCTATGAAGATGGTGAGATTGCGTGTAAAGTGCTTTCTCTTCTGGCTTCTTGGTAACCTGGGTGGCATACACTACACTGTATCCATTGTGTAGCCACTTGTCTTGAACAATGTTCCTTTCCGTTTCGTTGCGCGTTCCGCAAGCAGACTGATGAGTGGTTGCTTTGTCTTTCTGGCTTTCTTGCCGTGTCGTAGCTATTCGCCAAGCACTTCGGGTTATTGGCCAGGCAGAAGCGGAGCTTGGATCCGCGCCAATCTTCGGCTACTTCAAGGGTAGAACTGAGTACCTGAAGGTGAGATCCCCGGATCACTCAACGGAATACGCCTTGCTTTCATTAAAGGGGAAGTTAAGGCAAAAATTAAAATTTCACCAGTTGTAGTCTTCGGGGTGCTGAGTCGAATGGTCGTGGTCCGAGGAAGCTGAGACGCTTCCTTCCTACTTGAATCCCAATCGAACTCGCGCACTTCCACCGAAACTGGGTGACTGCGCCCTACTAGATGGGGATTTGTATGCAAAATGTCACTAAAAGCGCCATTTCGTTCTTATAAAAGCACGGATGACCGCGATTGGCCCATATGTTGTAGTGTTTTGGACGCTGAGTCGACTGGTTTTGGTCCGAAAAGGCTGCGATGCAGCGTTCCTCCTTTATTCCCAATCGAACATGGTTGAACAAGCAGTCACGTGCTCCTGGGTGCCCAAATCACCTGGTCACCACGCCAGCAGGCGACAACTTTCACACCAAGGTTCAACTCGAGTGACAGGACTGCACCCAAAAAAGGTCAAACAGGCTAGTAAGTTGTACCCTGCAGGCACGGTGACCAGGCGACTGGCGTACGCAGCAGCACGTGACCGCTTGTTCAACCATGTTCGATTGGGAATAAAGGAGGAACGCTGCATCGCAGCCTTTTCGGACCAAAACCAGTCGACTCAGCGTCCAAAACACTACAACATATGGGCCAATGGCGGTCATCCGTGCTTTTATAAGAACGAAATGGCGCTTTTAGTGACATTTTGCATACAAATCCCCATCTAGAAGGGCGCAGTCACCCAGTTTCGGTGGAAGTGCGCGAGTTCGATTGGGATTCAAGTAGGAAGGGAGCGTCTCAGCTTCCTCGGACCACGACCATTCGACTCAGCACCCCGAAGACTACAACTGGTGAAATTTTGATTTTTGCCTTAACTTCCCCGTTAACGTTCAGGGACTGGTACGGCCGGTAGGGCCATGGTTGCACCAGATTTTACTAAATTCCAGCATTCATGTACTGTCCAGTGTATCGTTTAATGTGAAAGCACCAACACGCTTTCCTCCCTAGAGTCTTTTCCCCGTGAACTGGTCTTCTTGTGCAGTGAGGACTACTGTGCTATCTGTATATTCGTTGCTAGCGGAATGAGTAGCTGAAACGACCAGGAATGATGCAGCATGCATCCTGCCATGACACTAAAATTTGACATGGGGCAATGAGCGGCCCTGTAGCCGACCTAGGGCCGTATCACCCCTCATGAGCTGGCTCCGGGCCTGACGCGTTCTTTGTGGACATGCTGGTGTGGCTGGTGTCATTCACCTACATGTGCTTTCCTTTCGTGTTTAACTTTCCTCCCAAATCAATCCCTGCGCACAAGTAAGAAATCACCCTCTCGACTGCTATGTATTCCCGGATGGTGCTTTGAGATGGGTAGATGAGCTATCTTGCATATCTTTTGTTGCTAGTCACGCTCTTGTTTACTGCGTTGAAGTACGACAATTTGAAATGTGAACAGTTGAATTTTTATTCATTTCCCCTCTCAAACAGTTCCTCTGGAAATCTTGAGTTGAACTTATAGTCTTCTTAGGGTTTATTCGCGGACATGCGGTATCCTGCTGTTCTTCATGTAGGTTATTCGTAGCTTTCAGCAGAATGACAATGCATGGCAGTGGCAGTGTTAACCTGACTCACTGCTATTCATTTGCATTGCTGTGTTCCCTTGATCTAGAACAACACAGAATTGGCGTTAGAGGCGTTCAAGGAAGCGGCGGCAAATCCGTCTGCACTCAAGGAGATCTCCCAGCTCTGTCTCTACGAAATGGGTAAGCACTTAGCATGTGTTGTTACAGACACTTGCACATGAATTTATAATTATTGTATTTGCTCGTTCGAATTTATTTGTATTTTGTTTCTCTCACCCTTCACTATTCCCGAGTTGATCACGTACGTGCGTGCTCCACTCTGCTGCAGTTAGAGGCAGCTACTCTACATGCAGTCGAGTCCATTCTATTGTGTATCTGCATGTCTCCTTGATAATACCTGTCCAACTCTAAATAATTAGAATTAAATTCCTTCTCTCTTCTCTCTCGCTTCTTCTCTTCGATTTATTTATTTTCGCTTCTCTCATGATCAGTTACTTTTGTTTTGTTTGTACTTTGTACGCTATCGCTCTATCTGCATGACGCGATGCAGTTTATGGATGCCGTCACTCCTTGGGGCGCCGTGCCTGCACTTTTGGGGCGCAGTGCACCGGATGCGCAGTGACCTCTACGCGTATACGATGTACGCCAGAGCTAGGCATGTTTTTGGCTGCATGTTTCCTTTTGCGCTGCGAGCTTTTTTGTTTTGAGGCTACATGTACGCGTGTCGCGCTTTGCCTTTCAGAACTCTTTGAGTTTCAGTTTTATTCCACTTTGTAAAGAACAAGTAATGGTTCGAAGGAAATCTTGTCTACCATGGCCACAGGGCCGCAACATGGTCCTTTGAGCCGGATGAGCAGTTCTAAAGAAATATACAGTCTTCAGATTACAGAAACACAGCAATGTTGCTGCGAAATCGTAGAGGTAAGGGCGAAACGGATATGGCCGATGTCGCCGAGCAGGCTGCTGAGCTGGAGTTGCCAGCATCCCCTGCCTCACTCGCCTCATCGATGAGATCGTCCTCCTCCGTGAAACGGCAAAAAGCGGAGGCCAATTTGGAGATGGCACGACGTTTGATGGCAATTGAGGAGGCGGATGCTCAAGAACGACTGGATAGGCAGAGGCGTTTGCTTCAATTGGAGTTGGAGGCGCGCCATGCCCAAATCGACAGCACCTCGTCCTCTCGTTCGCGACGATCGTCTCGTCCTGCATCCAGTGCGCCGACACAGCATTTGAGGCCGTTGTTGGCATCGTCGACTACCCGATCAGCAGTGTCGTTGATCAGCCCTGGCCAGGAGAATAAAGTAGAAGTAAGCTCATCTCAGCCCCGATTAGAAACAGTGTGTAAACTTCCGGGAAAGTCCGCCTTGACCGCTACTAGGCATTGGGTAGAGACCCAGAAACCCGGCACTGCACACGCCACATTTGCGCCAGTTGCGGCAGGGACAACAGCAACAAAGCCAGCTCAGGAGAGTCCTGAGGCTGGAGGCCTGCACCCAGCGCAAGCAGCAAACGGCATGCAGAAGTTTCTGATCCGACAGACGGTTGGTCGTGACTTGCCGGCATTCTCTGGCGACTCGGTGGAGTGGCCCATATTCGCCTCTACCTACCAGAGGACGTCAGACGAGTGTGGGTTTTCGCCATCGGAGAATGTAATTCGTCTGCAACGTTGCCTAAAAGGCCCAGCCAAGGCTGCCGTCGGAGCGATGCTCACCGTGCCGGAGAACCTGCCGACAGTACTCCAGGTCCTGGAAAGCCGGTTTGGTCGACCGGATGCTGTGATTGCTGCCATGATCGGGAAAGCCAAGGCCATTGGACAGGTCAAGCCAGGAGACTTTGATAGTCTTATCAACCTGTCCACTGCTGTGACGACTCTAGTTACTACCATGGAGCACCTTCGAAGTGAAGGTCACATGTACAACCCTCAGCTACGTCAAGAGCTTGTTGGTAGGTTGCCAACATCCCTGCGACTGCAGTGGGGAGAAGTACTTGTGCGTCAGGGTAGCCATGACATCAGCTTGCGAGTGTTTTCTTTGTGGCTGGCGGACAAGGCCGAAGCAGCTGTGCGCGTCGTGGATCTGCCGGGTACCCGAACCGACAAGACGCAGCGGGTGTACAGTCACCAGGAAGTTTCGACAGTACACAGCACAGCAGCAGCGACGGCACCAGCAAGTGCAACCAGTAAAACTCAGTCAGCCTGCCTTTGCTGCAAACAAGTGCAGCATGCCCTCAGTAAGTGTTCAACATTCACGAAGCTTGGCCAGAAAGCCCGTTTTGAGCTGGTAAAACGTCATCGTCTTTGCTTTTCTTGCCTGGCCAGTGGACACGCTACCAGGGAGTGTGGCAGCAGGAAGCAGTGCAGTGAGCCTGACTGCAAGTACCACCATCATGTGCTCCTGCACAAGGGCAAGGCCGCAGAGAAGCCAGTCGACACTTGTGGGCACACTGGTATTCCTGGTGCAACCCGAGTGTTGCTGAGAGTGTTGCCAGTGACGGTTAGTGGCCCAAAGGGCTGTGTGGAGACACTTGCTCTGCTGGACGAAGCCTCAACTGTCACGCTAATGGACAAGGCCTTAGCGGATGACATAGGTGCTGTTGGACAGTCGGATCCCCTGCATATGGCATGGACGAATTCGACGACGCACACGGACAACTCGTCATGCAGAGTCTCTGTATTGGTCAATGGCAGCGATGGCACCCAGCATCAAATGGATGATGTGAGAACAGCCAAGGACCTCAAGTTGCATTCACAGTCAATAGATGGCAGAGGGCTGGCGAGTCGATGGCCTCATTTAGATGACTCCAGAGTGGCGTCATACCCAGCAGTACAACCGAGGATGCTCATTGGGCAAGACAACGGACACCTCACAGTGGCACGTGAAGTCGTCGAAGGCCCGCCAAATGCACCTATGCTGACGAGAACCCTTCTTGGTTGGGTCGTGCACGGTCGCATTGGAGCTCGGACTCACCAAGATCAACTCGAACCGGAGGCGATCTACCACATCTCGCAGCCAACGTCAGATGAGTGCATCGACACGACCGAAGTGAAGAAGGAGTTCGTTGCGGCGACAACATCCCCGCCAAGGCCCCAGCAAATTGCCGAAGCGCTGCCTGACGTCAACCGATTCTCGTCATGGAAACGTCTCATCTCCACAACCGCGTATGTTGCCAGGTTCATCGCAAACACACGGGCCAGAGTTCGCGGCCAAACTGTCGAAGCAACCGCAGCCATCTCAGCCAAGGAAATGGATGCGGCCGAGCAGCTCTGGATGAAATCTGTGCAGGCGGAGTGTTTTGCCGAAGAAGTGGCATTGTTGAGCGATGGCCAGCCTGTCAGCACCAGCAGTCGTCTACGTCAGCTAGCACCAGCCATTGATGAGGACGGGATCCTGCGGGTTCAGGGTCGCCTCACACATGCAACGGAAATGGCGTACAGTGCGAAACATCCGGCTATCCTGTGTCCGAAGCATAGGTACACACAGCTCCTAGTCCATGAATACCATCTGCGTTCTGGCCATCATGGACACGAGAGGACATTGAATGAGCTTCGCCAGCAGTACTGGGTGACGACAGGTCGAGCAGCTGTGAAGCGAGCATGGTCTGAGTGTCAATACTGCAAGAACCAACGAGCCAATCCCAAGCCACCTGTAATGGGAAATCTACCTGTCCAGCGCTTGACCCCGTTTCTGCGACCATTCACGTTCACCGGGCTGGACTATTTCGGGCCGTTGCACATCAAGATCGGGAGGCGCCGCGAACTACGCTACGGTGCGTTGTTCACATGTCTGAGTACCCGCGCTGTACATTTGGAAGTGGCTCACTCTCTGAACACTGATAGTGCCATCATGGCAATCAGGCGAATGTGTGCCCGGCGAGGTTGCCCCCAAGAAATCCACTCGGATAATGGAACCAATTTCCGAGGAGCTGACAGGGAGCTGAAGGCGGCATTGGAAGATTTCCGCCAAGACCGACTAGCTGCTGAGTGTTCCAGTAAGGGCATCTCATGGCACTTCAACCCGCCACTTGCTCCCCACATGGGTGGAAGCTGGGAGCGCCTCGTCAGAGCAGTGAAGATCGCTATGAAATCCGTCATGAAGGAGCGTGTCGTGACAGAAGAAGTACTAGCCACAGTCTTCGCTGAAGCCGAGCAACTCGTGAATAGTCGGCCGCTGACTCACGTCTCAGTAGATCCTGATGATGAAGAGTCCCTCACACCCAACCACTTCCTCATTGGGTCCAGTAGTGCAACTAGTCGGCCAGGCGTGTTTGTAGATGCTGATTTGTGCCTGAGGAAGCACTGGCGGATTGCACAGAAGATCACCGACGAATTCTGGAAGAGGTGGATCTTGGAATACCGGCCAGAACTCACTAGGCGGAGGAAGTGGCAGGACGGCACACCGTCACTGGCTGTAGGTGATGTCGTGGTGATCGTCGACAGCAACCAGCCACGAGGGCAGTGGCCTCGGGGCCGACTAGAGGCTGTACACCCGGGCAGTGATGGCGTTGTGCGGGTGGCAGATGTGCGCACCAAGTCTGGACTGTACCGGCGCCCAGTCGTTAAGCTTGCCAAGCTGGACGTGCTGCGCTAAGTTTGTTTGTGACGTGTAACAGGTCATCGGTTCCCTGTTACCAGGGGGGAGAATGTTACAGACACTTGCACATGAATTTATAATTATTGTATTTGCTCGTTCGAATTTATTTGTATTTTGTTTCTCTCACCTTTCACTATTCCCGAGTTGATCACGTACGTGCGTGCTCCACTCTGCTGCAGTTAGAGGCAGCTACTCTACATGCAGTCGAGTCGATTCTATTGTGTATCTGCATGTCTCCTTGATAATACCTGTCCAACTCTAAATAATTAGAATTAAATTCCTTCTCTCTTCTCTCTCGCTTCTTCTCTTCGATTTATTTATTTTCGCTTCTCTCATGATCAGTTACTTTTGTTTTGTTTGTACTTTGTACGCTATCGCTCTATCTGCATGACGCGATGCAGTTTATGGATGCCGTCACTCCTTGGGGCGCCGTGCCTGCACTTTTGGGGCGCAGTGCACCGGATGCGCAGTGACCTCTACGCGTATACGATGTACGCCAGAGCTAGGCATGTTTTTGGCTGCATGTTTCCTTTTGCGCTGCGAGCTTTTTTGTTTTGAGGCTACATGTACGCGTGTCGCGCTTTGCCTTTCAGAACTCTTTGAGTTTCAGTTTTATTCCACTTTGTAAAGAACAAGTAATGGTTCGAAGGAAATCTTGTCTACCATGGCCACAGGGCCGCAACATGTGTGACCCGACCTTCAGAAAGGATTGTGTTGCCGATCTGATTCACTGTCACCAATACAGTCATGCACCCTTTGCAAACACAGAATCTGTTGATTGTTCTTGCTCTCGGTGGAGTGGCTTTGGTATTTTGATGGTTTCCTGTGTGTAAAGATTGGGGGGGGGGGGCTTGCTTTCTTAAATATTCATTGGCCAAGCTCAATGTAGTAAAATTGGCACTGATCTCCTCTCTCTCTATCTCTCTATCTCCCTCGCTCTCTCTCGTGTGTGTGTGTGTGTGTGCTCTGTGTACGTGTTGGCCTTTACTTGTGTCTTCCGTCATAGGATTCATTAGTGTTTTGAACAAAGACTTTGCCGCAGCTGCACCCATGTTTGAGACGTGAGTACTGCTGGGTATTTCGCATGCCACATCACCGTGTGATCACGTGTGCGACCAAGAGCGCAGGGCACACGTGTCATAATGACTTGTCTTGCCAACTCCGCAACGTGTACACTGCTTGCACAGAGTGCATGCAGTGTGGGTTGATGTTGCATTCATGTGTCAGTGACAAGACGACGCCTGACCTGGGCTTTTCGTACATGTCCAATGCCATTAAGCACGTCCCGAATTTCCTGTAGTGACCAGTGTGATGGCTGCATTGCCTGTATCCCATATTTGCCTTGCACTATCATATACAACACTTGAATGGTTTTGACTACAGGTACAGCCAGCATAGTGAGGGGCCCGAGCAGAAGCTCTTTGCTTCTGTAAATTTAAACGTGCCCGTGGTTTGAGTTATGGTTTGGTGAATGAGTGAACTGGTCTCCATAGACTGCCTTTGCTGTGGTCATGTCTTTGCTGCAGGTTTGCTGTACATGTCCTCTAACAAGCTAGTAATGTTGTGTGTGCCTGTGTATGTACTGGTGTTTGTTTGTGTGTGTGTGGCGTGCCGTGTTTGTGCAGGTTATGCAAGGAGACACGTTGGTCACCTGGCTTCTATGGCTATCTCGCCGCATGTAAGTGTGCTGGGCGACGTAATGCACACCGCCATCTTGTGCGGATACAACTGCTGGACTTGGCGGCTTGGAGTATATGGGGGGTTGTACTTCAGAAGTACATGCTGTGTATGCGTTCTGTTCGGCTGTGCGTCGGAACCCCCACTCCCACTCTGATAGCTTTCATAATTTATCCCTAGACTTGCACTGCCGAGGACGCTGCCCTCGAGCGATAGAATGCTGCTAAACATGCACATACATGTAGAGGGGACGGTTTCAAATAGGACATAGGTTGCAAACCGGAACGGACTCAATATTCACTTTCTCTCTTGGTATTTTGATTAGAAAACATATGTCACAGTGAGACTACGATGTGTTATACTCCGAGCCAAAATTTCATGGCTCTGCGATGACCAGAAGCGCCATACCAAGCAGGTGAGTTTTTGACGTGTTGCTTCGCACTGCGACTTGAGTTTTACGACTTTCGAAAAATCAACTTGTCGCAGGTAAACAGCGGCTCGCCTCTCGCCAATAAAGCACCGCATACCAATCAAAACTAATGGAAGCACACACAGGGCTTATTGTTACTCTGTACTGGCCGTCGTGGAGCGATAGCAATTACCTAATTTCAGACCCAGAGTGAATTTGACGTGCACTCTAAAACGTGTCCGGTTTGGAGCCACCTCTGATTTGAACTTTTTTGAAGCGAAAAATTGGGCAACTTGGAGGCAATGGGACAACACAAAGGAGTGGCTCAGTTCGATTGACTCTGGCCCCAGAGCAAACTTCAACATGCCAGTTTCCTTCCACAAACATATTTCGAGTGAAAAATCAACGCTGATGATCGGTTTGGGTCTATACAAATTTGGCTGTCAAAGCGTCCCGGTATCGAGCCGTCCCCTCTACATACAGTGAGGTACTGGGAACTGATCCAGGGTGCCGCCAGCTTTGCACTCTTTGGTTGGATTCTGCCCAGCACAACTGTAGTAATCATTGTATGCCGACACAAATCTTCCAACTTTTTTGCCCTCTTGTTTCAGTATGTATGGGGAGCGATGGCCAAATTGAAGCCTCGCATGACCTGATGAAGAAATTGCCTAGTATCATCGTGCGCAAGAACTCCAATTATGAGAAGTTTGTCCTGAAAAAGGTAAGCACGCATCTGTACCTTTCTTCTTTGTCCTATGTCGTTTATTCTTCAAAGATACTTGTGATTTAATGTGGGGCTCCACAGCTGCAAATTCTTTACGAAAACCTGTCTTTCTTCCATCGTGTTTCAGACGGCTCGCTTCCAGAAGGTCGCACCGACCGTGCCAATAGCTCGCACTCTGCTTTTTGAAGTTGTCTATCTTTGGAACTACACGCTGTTTGCTAACATCAAGCAACGTGAGGAGCTCCTTGCACTGGTCGAAGGCGAATGTGCTGCCTTTGACCCGTCCGAGCAGATCCTGCTTGCTGCCAACCTCCTTGTACGCAGCAGTCTCAACTTTGAGTTGGATCGGCCATCAGAGGCAGAAACGGTATGTGGAATCCCCTCATTTTCTGTCTTCTCTGCTTACTGCATGTAGTCTTCTTTGTTTTCTGCTCCACTTACAATGTACTCTGCTTTTACCTGCTATGCCTATTGCCTATAAAGTAGGGGTCAAAGGGGTGTACCGGGTACCCGACCGTTAATCTCAGGTACCGTTAGTAAATGGGTACCCGTTTGGATTCTGATGAACCAGTCAGTACTGAACAACACTGCTGGGATCGTGTATTCCAGGCGGGAGTCAATTATTTACAACTCCACGCTGGATGTCTGCATTGTTGTTGCATTTTCGTACCTAGTAGATCTACTCCTGCGACAATCAGACACCAATCGATTTGCGAATCACAATGTGATATCAAAATGCAACCCAAGAACAGATGAATTAAAATCCCAAGGGAACTGACGATGGCCATTAACATCCAGAAAATCCACGTTCTGATGTTGACTACTGATGAAACCCTATTCATCTTTTGGGTGGGTTGTTGCTATAATTTCTGCTGCTTCTTCTGTTCATCTGTGCATGCTGCTGTTGTGCTTTTATAGTGTGCAAGGCAAGTATTGCAGTTTGCCGATGTGTGCGTCAAGAAGAAAGAGCAACACATCCCTGCTTATGCCACGTTTATCATCGGCCAAATTTACCAGCAGAGCGGAGATGTAAGTGATCTCTTGTGTGTCAAGTGCCTTTGCAGTGTGACTGCTATTCTCCATAACCCTGGCTCACTGGTATGTGTGTTGCCTCGGCCGTATCTCCTGTGTTTGTGATTTTTCGGAACCTCCGTGTACAAGGTACTGTTTGTGTGTGCATGTGTGTGTACATGTGTGTGCATGTGCCTTGGTGACTGTGAACTGCATGGATCACTCACACACCACACGTGTGCTCTGCTCTACGCTTGTTGTCACTTGATTGTTTGAGTGTGGTGTGTCATTGCATTCATGCATCATCGTCTTGTGTCCATCTGCATTTCTTTCCCCTGTTTGCTTACAGTTTGTGCAGATGAAGCAAGCGATGAGCAAAGCTAAGGTAGGCACAGTCCCATATCATTGTGTGACTCACACCGGCCAACTTACCAGTACATCGTACATGTATTGGTCGACTTGAGTTCCCGGTTTAGATGAAGGGATGGGGGTTGTGGGATGTTATGTGGACTTGTAGGCGCCTGTTTCCGGTCCCTGCTTTTCTTTGGCCGATAGCTGTTTCCTTTGTCGAGTCCTGTTCCGCCAGGACGAATTGGATGTGAATCTTGGTTCAACACACACGCGATGACTGTCTTTTGGCCGTTTGCTTTCCTGTTTCTCTCTGAATGCAGTCCGCCTACAGTGACTATGAAGTAGAAGGTCGTCTTCAAACTAAGATCAAGGTTGCTCTGGAATCAGGAGCCACGTAACAACACTATCTACAAACTATTTTTTTGAAACCGACAAATTAGCTTCAGTTGTGTACCCTAGGAATTCCGCCCCGTAACCAATTGAAATGCTAGCAACTTGGTTTTCCCCGTATGTTACCAAGGCGCAGCGTGATGTGGAGGCTGTGCCCACACGTGCTGCGCTTCTAATTTAAAACATGGAGTTCATCTTGGTATGCTGGCGTCCACGTATCCCGGACGACTCTCGCTTGTGTGGACTGTGCCCAAGCAACGCCATGCACGTCTTAGCCCTCCCACCTCTGCCGTCACTAGCTGGTCATGGGTGTGCCTTTGTCGTCGTAGTCTTTGCTGTTTATCGTGGACATATCTCTTATTATTCATTGGTGTGAGGGAATCTCTATTAGTTCTGTTCTCCTCCTCTTGGTACGAGTCCTTGCGAAACTCGACTGGAATTGCCACCGATGATGATAACAACTCATGACGATGACGACAATGTAAGACCTTGCTCAATTTGACACTGCCGGTCACTTGGCACCTAGGACCCCGTTTTCTCTCTTCTTCTCTCTATTTTCTATGCTACTCTCTTGGTACTTGTGTAGGTATGTGCCACGATGTATTGTCTCATTGCTACCATATGTGTTCGTGCCACATGCACAACAAAAAACGCATCTAAACCCTAGCTCTATGCCCTATTCGTACTCAGTATCCGAGCTCCCCTGATCCATATTTTCTGCTTCGAGATGTGAATGGGTCAGTTTTTCCGTTCTCTTTAGTCACTCGCTATTTTTTCTGCTGAGCAGAAATCGCACTTCTCGAGTTTGATTTGACATGATCCTATCCCTTATTTATGAAATTTCGTAATTCTCTCTAGTCGAATGCTATTCTTTTGGTATATTAACGTATCAAGCACATAATCGGGTGCCGCCGGTTGACAGGCATGATGTGTTATGTGCGTGTGGTGTGTGTGCGTGTGGGCGTGTAGGAAGGCCACCCTCTTGCCAAAGCATTTGGAATAGATGATATGCCAAATAACGTGCAACTAGACTTGAGAGGGCATTGCAGAGTAGCTGCATACACAAGTTGTACGGTTACCTGTGACTTGCATTCCTGCAGAGCTCAGGGCCTACCATGTACACATTGTATAATTTGTATGCAACTTGTGTGCGATGCCCTCTCAAATCTAGTTGCACGTTATTTGGCATATCTATTTGGACTAATTTCGGCTCCACAATCCAGTGTGCCGTTACTATAATCATAGCTTGCATGGCTGAGGTTGTTGGTACGTCTATTGGCCCTGGGTTCCCAGTACCCAGTTGCCGAGGCTGGTTGGTAAACTAACTCCAATTTCACTTCAAGGTACCAGTGCATCTATACATTGTAGTGTCTGCTTCTATCAAAGCAGTGTGTGACCTTATTCGATAAACGTCACAGTCACGTGAACCGGGGTCCCGGGAACCAGGGAGTGGCAAGAGACCTGCACTCACTGCACAGTGGACTCGGCGTGGGAACATAGGAGTAGATAAGTATCGGTATTTTACTACTCCCTTGTACGAAAAGAATTCGGGTGGACACACCCATTCCCATAGCGCTGCATATCACATCCGAACCAGTTCCGTTATTTTACAACGTTTCGGCACTTGGCCATCATCAGGTAATAACCATGATAACAATGAATACCGTGGAAGCCACACAAGAGCAGTATATACGCAGAGTGTAGCGCCAAAAAAGATGCGAATTATGTCACCAAGTATGACACAGAGAGAGAGAAAAGGCGCAACTAGCACATCACGGAGGAGAAGCAGCAGAAGGTAAATCTGGGGATCAATCCCTCTCGCCGGCACTGCAAAAGAAAAGACAATTGACACTCGCTCCTCTGCAGCTTCCAAGACCATTGTACAAACCGCCACGCTGCCTCGCTCCGGGAAGAGGAGAACCAAGTCTGAAGAAGGGCTGAGGCTTCCTGCAGCTTCATCTGTGAAAAGTCCGTGATGTGCTAGTTGCGCCTTTTCTCTCTCTCTGTCATACTAGGTGACATAATTCGCATCTTTTTTGGCGCTACACTCTGCGTATATACTGCTCTTGTGTGGCTTCCACGGTATTCATTGTGGTACCTGATGATGGCCAAGTGCCGAAACGTTGTAAAATAACGGAACTGGTTCGGATGTGATATGCAGCGCTATGGGAATGGGTGTGTCCACCCGAATTCTTTTCACAGATGAAGCTGCAGGAAGCCTCAGCCCTTCTTCCCTTGTACGAACTGAGCGTTTCTTGCCACTCGTTTCATGCACGCGTGCCCCAGCTAACGACAAATCCCTGGAGGCGAGTCCAAAAATCACGTTATCGAATAAGGTCTTACCCCAGCAAGTGTAGGGTGTGCATAGGTAACTACTCTCTTGGCCGTCCTATTCCGATGTACTCCCGGTCTCCGTGTGGTGTAGACCAGGTGTGCATTGGGGGTCGATTCACATGGCTTCGCCAGTTGTGTGGATTACTTGTAGACAGTTATCTGGCGCTTGTCTTGATCTGTTTCAATCAGAATCAGATCCGCTATCGTTGCTATAAAGAGACAACCTGTGCTTGTTTCTCTTGCGATGGGCGTTTACATGTACATGGTACATGGTGTGCGTGTGTGTCTGTGGTGTGTGTGTGTGTGTGTGTGTGTGTGTGTGTGTGTGTGTGTGTGTGTGTGTGTGTGTGTGTGTGTGTGTGTGTGTGTGTGTGTGTGTGTGTGTGTGTGTGTGTGTGTGTGTGTGTGTGTGTGTGTGTGTGTGTGTGTGTGTGTGTGTGTGTGTGTGTGTGTGTGTGTGTGTGTGTGTGTGTGTGTGTGTGTGTGTGTGTGTGTGTGTGTGTGTGTGTGTGTGTGTGTGTGTGTGTGTGTGTGTGTGTGTGTGTGTGTGTGTGTGTGTGTGTGTGTGTGTGTGTGTGTGTGTGTGTGTGTGTGTGTGTGTGTGTGTGTGTGTGTGTGTGTGTGTGTGTGTGTGTGTGTGTGTGTGTGTGTGTGTGTGTGTGTGTGTGTGTGTGTGTGTGTGTGTGTGTGTGTGTGTGTGTGTGTGTGTGTGTGTGTGTGTGTGTGTGTGTGTGTGTGTGTGTGTGTGTGTGTGTGTGTGTGTGTGTGTGTGTGTGTGTGTGTGTGTGTGTGTGTGTGTGTGTGTGTGTGTGTGTGTGTGTGTGTGTGTGTGTGTGTGTGTGTGTGTGTGTGTGTGTGTGTGTGTGTGTGTGTGTGTGTGTGTGTGTGTGTGTGTGTGTGTGTGTGTGTGTGTGTGTGTGTGTGTGTGTGTGTGTGTGTGTGTGTGTGTGTGTGTGTGTGTGTGTGTGTGTGTGTGTGTGTGTGTGTGTGTGTGTGTGTGTGTGTGTGTGTGTGTGTGTGTGTGTGTGTGTGTGTGTGTGTGTGTGTGTGTGTGTGTGTGTGTGTGTGTGTGTGTGTGTGTGTGTGTGTGTGTGTGTGTGTGTGTGTGTGTGTGTGTGTGTGTGTGTGTGTGTGTGTGTGTGTGTGTGTGTGTGTGTGTGTGTGTGTGTGTGTGTGTGTGTGTGTGTGTGTGTGTGTGTGTGTGTGTGTGTGTGTGTGTGTGTGTGTGTGTGTGTGTGTGTGTGTGTGTGTGTGTGTGTGTGTGTGTGTGTGTGTGTGTGTGTGTGTGTGTGTGTGTGTGTGTGTGTGTGTGTGTGTGTGTGTGTGTGTGTGTGTGTGTGTGTGTGTGTGTGTGTGTGTGTGTGTGTGTGTGTGTGTGTGTGTGTGTGTGTGTGTGTGTGTGTGTGTGTGTGTGTGTGTGTGTGTGTGTGTGTGTGTGTGTGTGTGTGTGTGTGTGTGTGTGTGTGTGTGTGTGTGTGTGTGTGTGTGTGTGTGTGTGTGTGTGTGTGTGTGTGTGTGTGTGTGTGTGTGTGTGTGTGTGTGTGTGTGTGTGTGTGTGTGTGTGTGTGTGTGTGTGTGTGTGTGTGTGTGTGTGTGTGTGTGTGTGTGTGTGTGTGTGTGTGTGTGTGTGTGTGTGTGTGTGTGTGTGTGTGTGTGTGTGTGTGTGTGTGTGTGTGTGTGTGTGTGTGTGTGTGTGTGTGTGTGTGTGTGTGTGTGTGTGTGTGTGTTCGCCTCTGTCCCGAGAAGAATCACAGCAACCGCTACTGTAAAATGGCTTACTTTGCGATGTGATATTTTGGCGATTTTAGCGATGGGAATGTTTTCGCAAAAGTGTAACTTACTTTAATCTACCGTATTATCTCTAATATAAGCACGGTCCTTTATTTTTTCAATGTACCTCCGCCCCGTGCTATTAATGGAGACGTTCCTTTATTGGAGACTGTTCCATTATTATTTCAACCTCATTTTAGAGGCATGTTGCCATGCCAAATGTATGACACACACATTTCAGGGTTTTTTCGCCGGTACAGATAATGAATTTACACAGTGTGCTTATAATGGAGACTGAGCACTTTATTTTTTGAATGCCGCCCCAAGGTGTTCTTTTATTGGAGACGTGCTGTTATTGGAGACTGTGCTTATATTAGAGATAATACGGTAATCGGAAGTTAGTTACATGAATCTTGAGGCTCCTCTTTCCTGAATGAAATGCTTCAATATCGCTAAAAATTTTGCCTTGCAATTTTGTGCCGGATTGTAAATCGCTGAAGTTTTCATCCGCGAAAATAAGCCGTTTTACGGTAAAATGGCGATCATAACTTACATTTTCTCAAGCTAGATTCCTCTGTAGTGGTAGATCTACAGCGTCGGTTTTGTCCATAACCCACGAGAGTGTGCATGCAGTTCCGAGGGAATCATCCTACACTACAGCGAAGTGGAGGGTCCACGTTTTCCTGCTGTTCACATAATGGCACTTCCTTTGCGAGTGTAGACTACTAGTGATGGCAGTGTGAAAGGAATGGTGTTGTAGAGGCCACATGGCTACCGTAACTTGCGTTTCCAACTCCAACTACAACTCCGCTACAGCGTTTTTCTTGCACCTTTTCTTGCACTTGTAAACAAGGCTTATTATTAATGATGAATCGGACGCCTTGCGACACACCATTTTCCTCGCCAGTGTACCTAGCGCCTCCAGTTTTTTTGCTTACTTGCTTACTTGCCGTCCGTTGAAAAAGTATGGCTTTTCATTGAGCAAACGTGCAGGGACGGCTTGTGTCTCGGCTAAGGTTGGATGCCACCCGGCGAGGTTACCCACTCATTGTTCTTGTAGGCGGGACCATGGTATTGACCAGGGAGTAGTACTACTCCCTGGTATTGACCATGGTTTGTCCTGTCTCTTGTTGGTCAAGTTTATCATTATCTGCCATAATGAGATCCGGGACAGTCTCTCCTTCTAAAGACCTGTCACAACGTTTCCATTCAGTCACTCACCAGGGAGAGGATGAGGTACAGGTCCGCCATCTTGAAGGAGCGTGCGCGGCTCGATGTCGCGGTCAGTGGCTTGTGGGGCAGTCGTTTCGCTCGCTCAAATCGATCTGCAACACACACCACCGTCTAGTCTATGTCTATCGGCGCGGCGTCATGAAAAAGAAAAGAGAAGATGCTGTGAAGAGAGAGAGATGGAGCATGCGACGTTGTTGTACTGTCGGCAAGTGGTGGCATGGGACGAGCGGCTACAACACTGTATCGCCGATTCGCGTCTTTGAGAGCTGACAGGAGGAAGGAGCAGTACTCCCATGTACATGTAATATCCTACATCCGGTGCCATCTCTCATTTGCTCTGTTGCGATCATGTACTAGTATCCTGTGTTTGCGAGGTTCACAAAGTCTTTTCCGCGAGCGATCGGTTCGGCATCCAGAGTCTGCTGAGCTGGTTGTTGCCGAGGCCCAGGTTGCTCGCATGATGTGAGAACTCAATTGCCCCAGATTATTCTTATTATAAAATACTGGACGTGGATACTGGATGACTATACTCTTTACATTTTACAGGCTACATGTATTATTATATGTATGTTTTTATTACCAATTAAGCTTTCCTCTTGTCTCTCGTTGTTGTGTTTTCACAATACATGGTCATGATTGTATTGTATTGCATTGTAAAACGAAAAACCCCCCTGACTAAAAGACAAAAAAGAACAAAAAACTTGTAAACACTTCCATTCTCTTTCCCACGAACAGACTCTCGGCTGCACAAAATGAATGAAAAAGGATTGCCAATGTTCGCCCTTTGGGGATCATCAGGGCATTGATGAGGAAGGGGAGGGGGGTAAGCACGGACTACAAATACGACAGCCAGATAAATGTTGTAGACCCCACAGGCCATACATCATAGTCACACAATTGGCAAGAAAACTAAAATAATAGTCTTCACTTGTAAGGTGACCAAAAAGCAGCCTGTGACAACAGAGCAAAGGAAGAGAAAACTATTCCCGATAGCCCCAGGGTTAGGTACTCTTACTACATGTATCACGGCACACCCCAGAATAGTATCTAGCAGGGAGTACTAAAGTGTATGTCATGTATTTTACTCCATGTGCATGTACTCCCGGCCTTGGTATCGAGTGTGGGAATGCTAAAGTTCAGATTGTGTGTACATGACGATTGTAATAATTATGACAAGAGCAAAGTGTGTGTGTGTGTGTGTGTGTGTGTGTGTGTGTGTGTGTGTGTGTGTGTGTGTGTGTGTGTGTGTGTGTGTGTGTGTGTGTGTGTGTGTGTGTGTGTGGTGTGTGGTGTGTTCGCGCGCGCGTGTGTGTGTGTTTGTGGTGTACATGGTGGTGAATTCCAGTGTTTGTTCGAGGAGATGGCAGTCAATTGCGATGGCGGTTGGCGCCTAATTGGTAAGCTCTCACTGGATCCGTACCCATTTCCTCGAAATACCACTGGAATTGACCTCCTGATACAGAAAGCACACACGCGGCTTAGCTCTTGTACTTGTCATTATACACACACACCTCAACTTTAGAATTCCCACACTCGATACTATTCTTGGACGCGTAGGGATAGGTTTCTCTTCCTTTGCTCTGTAGTCCCGGGTTCTTTTTGGTCACCTTACAAGTGAGGAAGGACTGTTTAGAGTCAGTGACCATGATGTATGGGTTCTACTTACAGCATTCAACTGGCTGTAGTATTAATTTTGTACATCTACATGTACATGTATCTAAAGCCTACGGTTCGTTCTTGCCCCTCCCCCCCCCCCCCCCCCACTCCTCTTTAATGCCCTGGTGATGCCCACTGGGCGAAACATGGGCAGTCATTTTTCATTCATTTTGGGCAGCTGAGAGCCTGTTCGTGGGACGGAGAATGGAAGTGTTTACAGGTTCATTACATAATAATATTATGGTCCTTGGACATTGTTCAACAGAGTTCGGGCACTATTCAAGGGAGGGGCAGAGGTTACATGTGCTATTTTTTTCAATGCGGGTACATGGACATGGACATGTACATTTACGTCTGCCAGCATAACACAAAGAAAGCAAAGCAGAATGGAGTCTAACGGTTACTCCAATTTATCACCACTCAACAGCAACTGCAACAAGAACTGCGATGTTTTGATCCTGAAACCACCAGTACAACGCCACGGACAACAGCATTGGCCAACAACACCGAACTTGGACACTTGCTTGGTTACAGGCCGGGGGGGGGGGGGCACTATTCAAGAGAGGGCTTTATCTTTCATCGGCGCTCGGAGACGGGGGCACTATTCGCTGAGACAGGGCACTATTCAAGACAGGGCTCTATTCAATTTCAAGACAGGGCTATCATCTAATCGCCGCGCAAGTACGATAGTGCGCTGTCCAGGGCTTTTGCGGTGCGTATTCTTGCTTTTCTGCATTGTATTGTTCTTGGAAGCGCTCCCTGACACATCGCTCCATCTCTCCCGCATGCTCATCTCCGCAAAGGCGCAAACCGAACAGAACATGGAGTAGACAACATTCTGTGCCATACACTGACCGCCACTCATACCAATTTAACGTCACATGCACGACATAATTATTAATCCCACTGACATCCCCTTTCTCTTCTCTTTCTTCATGTACACCTCACGGGGACACTTGGGACTAACTCGACTGGCAAACGAAGACGACACCAGCGTATCCTTCAGAGACTAACCAGCCTGAAAGACGACACACACGTTCTTGCAGTACCGTGTGTGTGTGTGACCGAACATGTGTTAACAGTACGACGAACATTACGTGTCTGACGATCCTTGATGAATGGAAGCTTGAGCAGTGAGAATGGAGGTGGATGTAATCTTCGTGCGGTTTGTGGCTTGTCGTGATATGGATGCTTTGATGCGTTTTGCCGATCGCATCTCCGGTTGTGGTTACAGGCATTCTCCCTTGGTATGGCGATGATCTTCTCCTCTCTTCTACTCAATCCGTTCATGTTCCGTTGATGCGCTGCTGTGGACTGATGGAAATTGTTCCCGGGCTACTGACTTCTTGGCCTCCATTGCCAGTAACGGCTCACGGTAACAGGCTTCCTGTTCACGCTCCGCTACATCACTATACACGAACAGCTGACTTCGGCACACTATCATCACCAAGCACCTTAGTCGTCACCCCGCGCTACACGTGCCAGGCACTGGCCTTTGCTTCTACTTCCTTTTGCCGCCGCTTGCTGATTGGGTGCTGAGTTGTGTTGCTCCTATGTTGCACCTATACTAGTATTATTTATAGATAGCAGCATAGCAATTATATGTTTGCTGTTTTCTCCTCTTATATATTCAATCAATACTGTTACATTTGGGAGCAGAGGGTGGTTCCTGCCTCCACGTGCCACGTTATCGCACTGCGGCGCTCTGAGCACAGTATTATTCCAGCACGGCGCCAGCCGCCTCCCACCACCGTCTGTTTGCCTTAGACGGTCAGACGAGATATGATGGAAATAAATTTAGGTCATCGCTGTCGCGATCACCAACATTGACAGTACTTGGTCAGGTGGCGGAGATTGTGACCCAGATGACGAAGCAACTTGGGAGCCAGAGGAGAATTCGCTGGACAAGTCAGGCCTATTGTTCAACTTAGGAACTACTCGTCGCTACTTCTTCTCAATTAGGAACTGCATGTACCAGTATAATTATAGATCAAGACTGCATTTATGAAGTCCAGGCAATGTAAGAATAGTGTTCACGTCAGTTAACTTTGAACTTTGAACATCTAACACTTTACTTCTATTCGACACTATCACGTAGATTCCTACTGGTCACCCTGCGCTCCACCTGTACTTCCTATCCACGTGCTAATCTCTCACCTTTCCCCGGCCCCGCCGCTCACGGTTCTTTACTTCTACTAAGAGAGTCTACTATCTACACCTTCTTCTACGCCGTCACTTTTCCGCCGCTCTTGCAGATGGGATGCTGAGTTGTGTTGTTTCTATATTATACCGGTAGTTCGCTGCATATTTTAGTTTTGTTGTTTTTCTCCTAAGTTGTTCTTAAAAAGGACACAAACTCCATCAACTTCTTACGACCATGCAGCCAAACCAAGATACAGTCGTCGATGTGCCGACGGTGCAGACCAGGCTTACAAGGGAACAATGATCGAGCGCTTCTTCCTCCAACTTCAACATGAAATACATGTATAATATTATTGTCAAAGGAGGGACAGTGTGATTCTCCATCGCCAAACCCTTACACTACCTGAACACATACTGTACTGCTATTGAACTCAAAACAATTCGACTTCAGAGCGAATGTTACTTGTTAGCAACCGAGTCACGAACATCGGACGATGACAAGTGTTACATATCCACTTCCCGTCGATGCTCTTCCAGTAGCTTCGTCGCAGGGTCAATACTCTTCTAATCTATCCAAGTTGGTGGAACATAACAGTAGGAAAGGGATCAGTTGGAGTATAGAGACACAGCATATGCAACAATACAGTCGGACGGATGATTTCCAATTAAGGTTACGCGGAGACTTTCCTCCGTGCCGTGTTTGGCAAATGGGCTGTGACGAATTGAGCAGCTTAGTACTCTCAACTTCTGGTGACATTCTTCGGTGTGTGGCAAATGGGCTGGGACGGATTTGGGCCGCGACTGATTGAGGGTTCGCAGCTCTTGGAGACATTCCTCCGTGCCTGGCAAATGGGCTGGGACGAATTGGTGCAGCGTATTGAGAGTATTCTCCACTCCTGGATCCTCGAGACAGTCCTCCCTGTTTGCCCGCATAATTATGGTTTTACCCTCAAAAGGCCTCGTATGATGCGGATAGGACATCGGATGATCCTTAGCCGATACTGTCTACAATTGTATATTATCTGACCCTCGGCCCCCGCAGAGTCGGAGGCAACCGATCGACTGGTTTGCATGTGTGTCAGCTTTGGTGGCTTTGAGGATGGCTTTACCGATGATCCGTCGGGCAACCTCGCCGACACCAATTCGGCCTGACCTCTGGCCTGCCATGGTCTGGGTTCTTGTCAGGTGCGATGAGGCGACAGACGGAAGGCATGGTCAACGGCTCTGAGGCCAGTCGTCTTGCACATGATCATTGGGCTAAAACGCAACGACTGTCGACTCGCGTACGGTCATGTACGAGTCGCGTATACATGTGTTGTACCCCATGGGGCTCACGTCATAGTTAGGGGCACGTGTCGAATGCAAGGGCCTTTCCCTCGATTCCAACTCAGACAGCACACGATAGCGGCAGAAAGACCGGCTGCTCTCATGGCTCAGTTGAAACACATAAACAATGACACATCCATTCCGATAGGCGTGAGGAAAAGATCAAGGCCGAAGGCTGACTACTATTGCGACTTGATCGTGAAGCCGACTGCTTGCGCGGCATGGCCGCTTGGCAACACAGCATTTACAAATTCATTAGGAGAACTTGCTCTTTGTCTGCGAGCATGGCGAACACGGCTGGTCAGCTGGCGTTCACGATGCCAGCGTATGTTAGAACGAAGTAGAGTTTCAATGGCCTGGCGTGAGCTCCAAGCCTATGTCAAGGGCAGGCTAGCTCACTGTGACCCTGTTTCCAATTTGAGGAAATGCAAACGGGTCCACTGAAGGCAGTGGAAGAAAGCAAGTGAGACGCAGAGGTGTTATTCGTTTCTCAAGAAGAGGAGAAAACCCAACTCTAACTGAGAAAATGGTCGAAGTTGAGGACCAAGGAGAGGAGATCGAGCTCATCAGCTTGGATGAGTCGACGTCACCAACTGGAAACGAGTCTGGGGAGTGCACGAGTGTTGAGGACTTTGGTGCACCACTAGAGGTGCTGGATGAGACAGCGGAGTCACCATGGCGGATGCTGGCCCAAGCACTACCGTCCACGTTGGTAGCTGGGTTAGGAATGGTTGCAGCTGGAATTGTCCTCAACATTGTTCAGGTAAATCCACTGATCATTTGATTGTAGTTTGTAGTTTCCAATGTGTAATGAAATTTAAACACTCCAGGCCATGCGAGTCACATTATTGGTGATGAAATTAAGGGAGGACGGATATTTGAAGTTCGAGCGAATAGGGCACAGTGCATGCACATGGGGAGTCATACGAACATCTTGAGTGGTGATATCACTCTAGTACCCGGCATGATGTGCGTTTCATCATCCTGGACCTGGAAGCTCTACTTGGTCTGTGGTGTATGCAACTCGCGACCACTGTCTTGACCTGCTTGCCCCAACCGCAGCCCAGTCCTACAATGCCATATCATGATGATTATACTATCTTGCAAAATCAGCCCTGCCCAAGGGGCAATTGTAGCCAGCAGCGTAGGAGCGAAACTCACAACGCTTCGCGGCTCCAGGCGCCTATGTAGTCTCCCTAGATACTAATGCTCAGTGCGATGCACATGCACTGACATAATGTGTTCGGATTGCAATGGTATACCTGCACAGCCATGTACTGTCTGGCTAAATGTTACCCATGCTGGCATGCGAACTGACAAGAACTTATGCCCTTGCCATGCAGTCTTGACAAGTCTGTGTTGGCTCAGTGATGGATCACAATAGTGGCCCTGAATACATGCCAAGTGCAGTGACATGTACGTCACCAATGTATTCTGTACATTGTTGTTTCGGTCAGTTATCAGCTTCCCTGTTCCAGCTGATGGTGCTGCAAAGTGATCTGGTTGTGTCCCTGGGCAGTTTGCATGAATATGCCGAATGTGCAGAGTCTGTATGACCAAGTAATCCCTGGGCATATGGAACTGCATGGCAATGCCACAGCGCAATGTTCAGCCAACTTGTGTTTGCACTTTGCAGTCATGCCCTGAGCGTGACAAACTATTCTACTTTTTTTTCCATTCCCTGAACTAGTGAACATTATTCTTGATTTGTCAGGAGTATCATGAATTGTGTGGGGATGACTGTGCTAAGTTACCAGCATGTCAGAAGCTGTCACCACTCTTTCTTTGAGCTGTGCAGAGAGTCTGGTGTGTAATGGGGTGGCTCTGACACTCTCGCGCTTGAGTGAGCACAGGCTTACCTCTCTAGCTGTGTGACATGTACTGCACTAGCCTATGTTACAGATGTAGTTGTACAATGGCCATTGCGTTCCCAGCAGTCAGTGCTGTATGATTGTATCCTTGCTTTTCAACTGGGGCTAAAGGTACTAAGCACACTTTGTCCCCACCAACTAAAGCAAAGTTGGTTGTCTTGCCACAGTAGTCAATCCACAAAGAGGAGCCTGCAACATCCCTTTTGCCATGAAACTCAACAGAAACAACACAGCAAAGTTTAAAGATAAGAAATGACACATGGGCACGAGTTATGAGTAACTATCCACTACTGTAACAATATACTAAGCAGTCAGAAAGTGTGGTATTACTACAGGGTGCGACAGAGCTCATGTCACTCAGAAAGTGTGGTAACTAAGCAAAAACGCTGACAGACTGCTGAGACATTCAACGGCCTGACGCCTAGCTCTAGCACATCTCCAGTGCGCATACCAATAGCCTTCCCGTTTGGAAGGTTCAAGGTTATGGTAGGACCTATGAGGGGAAGAAAGTGTCCTGCCATTGTGAACATGTATTGTACTACTGTCTATGTGCACACCACACTGGCCAGTGGTTTCATTGCAGAACAAGATGCAGCACAAGAGATGCAGCACTTTGGGCATGCTATCACCGAGCTGATGAGGCAACCAAGGGCAAAACAGACTATTGTGACTGACTATGCTGTCCACAGATTGAGTGCACTACTCAAGGCTCATATTACTAGTATCCCCACACTGAGATATGCACTGCTTTGATGGTAATCACATGTGCCCTCTTTTCTTTCTTTCTTGATGTCTTGCAGGACTGGGATGTGTTCAAGTATGTCAGCGAGCTGTTTATCCTCATACCGGCACTTCTTGGTCTCAAAGGCAACCTGGAAATGACGCTGGCATCCCGTCTGTCCACCCAGGTATGGACTGCATCGTGATGTGATGTCGGACTTCGCAGAAGACTTGAAAGGTTTCACTCTGAGCACAACCAAGCACGCACTATATTCCTGAAGAACACGATATTTGATTGGGGGGGGGGGGGGGGGGCAAGGACGTTTTGGCCGAGTTAATTTTGTACCGATGAATTTTATTTCTGTGCCCTCATACTTTGCATTATGTGTGTGTGTGTGTGCTTTTCGTGCAGGCAAATCTTGGCAACATGAGACGACCGAGAGATATTTTAGAATTGTGTTTCGCAAACTTGGCCTTAGTTCAGGTAATCTTTCACTCGCTTACCGGTACTCTCGCTTGTAGCTCTTACCAGTTACGTCTCTTCAAAAGTGTCCCTTGTAAGGGTGAAATAGAAGTCTTTTCATGCTGTTCTAATCCCATCTCAAGTTGTGATTTACCTCACCTGGCATTGTACTGCAATTTCCTGTACACCCACACATCAATTTGCATTGGGATTATGGCTTTGTGTAGCGACAAATTGAGATGCCTGTGTGTAGCTTGCCCAGTACGGTACTAATAATATGACAGATGCGGTACTGTTGAAGTTTCTTTTCGGCTCCCTAACTTTTATTATATTTTCTTCGTGTGCGGAGAGAAATCTTAGAAGACTCTGTGTGTGTGGGGGGGGGGGGGAGGGAGAGGGTGAGAAGAGTGGTTCACAGGTGTTTGTGTGTTGTCTCAGGGACCCAGACTACGTCTGATGGAATAATGTTATTCATTTTTCAAGTTTGTGTACTTGCATTGAAGTCAGCATTGTTGAGCAGTTTTTCTTTTTTTTCTTTTTTTGCTCTATGTGTAATTCCAATCTTTGATCTGTCCATGGCACTACTGACGCTGTCTTTCCTAGCCGGATTGGAGTAACCAGCTCTCTATTCTCGTTCAGTGCTTGGTTTTTAAATTACGTTATACGGCCACTGAGCAGTGCTAATGATCTGACCGTTTACTGCTGTCACTTGCTTTGCCCCTTCAACAGGTTCAATCCGGTGTTGTCGCTGTATTTGCGTCAACCATTGCTATCGTTGTGAGCGTTCTGAACAAATCCCACGTGGTCGGTATCCACTGTATCGTTCTGTTCTGCGCGGCCAGCGTCACATCGTTCCTGACCGCACTGATTCTAGGTAGCCTGACGTGTGTCCTGGTGACGGCGTGCCATCGTTTCAACATCAACCCGGACAACGTCGCTGCGCCGCTGGCTGCCAGCATGGGCGACGTCACCACACTCTCCATCCTGGCTGGCTCGGCTCACCTTCTCTACAGCATGTCCGTGCATGGTCCCGCTCTGCTCATTGCCCTTCTGGTGCTGACGCTAGTGCCGGTGCCCGTATGCAGTTATCTTGCCTGGAAGAGCAGACACACTAACGAGGTGATGAAGTCCGGCTGGGCTCCCGTCATGTTCAGTATGGCCATCAGCAGGTAATGCACGACTACGTGTGAATAGACTTTGTTGTGTGCATGCATGCGACTGTGACCAGTGAAATTCACACGGGTAACGTGCGTTTCCAGCACGGAATGCCGTGCACTCCTTGACACCGTGAGCTCTATATGCAGCTTGGCACACTGCGACGGTCGGGCACTTGCCGACCATGCAGCCCGATCAGCATGCCACAGCTGGCTCACGACACTGGGGGTAGTGCACATAAGTCTGGATGGTACTTGCCATTGCACCGGCTGTTTTAGCAAGTTTGGACCGGCATGCCTAGCCCAGTGTTCGCTGGTCTTGGGCTGCACAGCACCCAGTGCTGGTTGACTCCCACAATCAGATGTCATCGAGTAGCACTGCAGTAGACGCACATTCTTACTTACTGTACATGTATGCAGACCCTACCAACTATGTCGAAATCGCATGGGTTCGTTCAGTTGAAGATCTTCTTCAACTTCTTCTGTTGGTCTTTCACAAGTTGTCTTACTTACTGCTTTTCAGCTGTGACTTACTTGAAGCATATGCTGAAAGCAGCACAGAAACATCACCTGGTCTATCATGGTATCATCCCTGTTTTGCAAGGTTGTTCTACTGTCATATTCTCTTCTCTCTCTTTTTTTTTTCAAAGATTTCTCTTCTGCTCTGTTTTCTTAACACTCAGCTGCGGTGGATTCGTGCTGGACCGGGCAGTCGTCATGTATGATAATATGTCCACATTCACACCACTGGTCAACGGAATCGGTGGCAATCTCGTCGCCATTCACGCCAGCCGTCTCTCCACATTCCTGCACAAGCAGACGATGCTGCACGCGAATAGCCTGTCTGACGCCAAGCCCGATATTGAGGTCAAGCCAGTCAAGTCATCCAAGCCGTCTCTGTCATTGTTCAAGTCAAACAAGCCGTCTCTGTCATTGTCGCCCGCAGCTAAGGTGCAGTACAAAATGCTGTCCAAGAAAACTTTCAAAGTGCTCATCGCCCTGCTTGCTCCAGCCCATCTTGTATTCTTCACAGTCATCGGCTTGCTCAAGTCTCAAGTGGAGCATGGAGAAGGAGTGCCAGCTTTCTTCTTTGTCTTTGTCTTCCTTGCATCGCTCATGCAGGTGAGTGGTGTCTGCCATGTACTCGAAACCGAGAATCGTTTGCGATTTTCGCTATGGTTGTGAAATCGCAAAATGAATCCTGTGCCCACAATAGCTAGTGAGCTGCAGATATGAGATTACTGCATGCAGAAGATCTCAGTATTTACTATTTAGTAGAACGGTTATCGCTGTGCATGTTGTGTGCAGTGATCATGAATGTGGACAGATTTTCAATTCTTGATGTCTAAAAAAATCTTGCAGCTAGATGTGGCAGGTGTTCACGGATCTGAGGTGTCCGGATACGGCAAGTTTCACTCACTGTATTGGATCTTGTGTGGCTACGTGTGTGCGTGCGTACATGCTTACTTGTTTCAGGTGCTCGTTCTACTAGTTATTTCGCACTGGCTGGTCCACTTCCAATGGCGGTCTGGCCGTGATCCAGACAGCTGCACTATACCGTATCTAACGGCTATCGGTGATCTCATGGGCACCGCTTTGCTGGCATTGGCATTCTTTACATTTAGTGGAATCTTCGCACACGCCGCCGCTAACCTACCGACAGACGTAACACCTACAAACTCTACATCGCTCCCTTGGCTAAACGCTACATCGCTCCCTTGGCTAAACGCTACAGCACTCCCTTGACTGCTCTCACCCACTATATTATTATTTTTCCCTGGGCCAACTCCTGCTCGAGTGTGACAGTATGCTGCTCATGGTACGTGTAGCCGGCATGCGCTTTGCACTGGCAAGTAGCTGGGCGATTGTGTCAGCCTTATCTAGCCTGGGTGGTGCATCATCTGACCTGGCCTACATGTATTTGGCCATACTGTTTCCCTTTTTATACTATTTCAGATTATTTCAGATTATTATTTTTTGCACTTGTCTCTATCCGTAGTTAGGGGGCTCATTGCCTTATATTAATTAGGAGGCATTTTCCATAGCCGTATATTGTTATAAGTTACTCTGCTCTGTTCGTGTTCAGCGGCACAGTGAGTCACGTCCTCACTAATTTATTTTTCAAACACTATATGCACCATGACTTGAGTTCTGGTCCTATTCGATACCAAACCTGTACAGAGTGATAATATTCTTCGCTATATGCATCTGTGTTTGAGCATTTTGCTTTTTAGTCTCCTATCCCGTGCCATTTTAGCTTACTCCGACCTTTCTCTCTTCCTTAGTTCAGGTTTCTCGTTACACCCCTTAACAGTTACTAGCTCGGGTGTCTGCATCTTTTTTAATTCATTGTGCCTGTCCCGTTTCTATTGACATTACATGTGCATTTATTTTTCTGCACGCATGTGTTTTTTTCTACTGTATGTCCACATTTTGGGCTCTCCGCCTTCTCCACGACATACAACAAACAAGGATAACATATAATACTACTACACTCATAATTGTGATATCTCTCTTTTCGATCCGGACCTCGAAGCTACGGGCACCCTCCGATCTGGGCGAGTTCTAGTGGACGCGGCTCGCACTGCTACTGTTTCGCAATATTGTGGAAATACATGTAGTGGCTTCACATGCCAGATCTCTGGAACTTCCCCATCAAAACGTATGTGATTATGGTTCAGAGTTGCAGACACTTCCAAGTTATGGGCAGAAGCAAAACTGAGATGTATGAAGGCCCAGTTTTAGGCATTAAACTACGTTTTTCTGAAGTTTGAGCTGCGTGAAAGTTTCAACTAACCGTTTAACACTTAGTAATGAGTATACTCAGCCTATTGAGATTGTTGAAGAGCCAGGAGATTACAAAACAAGATTTACTTAGATTTTCTATTTCACACAGGGATAAGGTCTGGGGGAGGTTTCATGCCCCTTATAATCAGTTGCTTCTTTGCAGAATTTGCCAGACCACTACCACAAAAGGTACCCTGATGGTAGGAAGAAGTGATTGGCTTCCGTGCCGCTGGTACCTGCACACACCGACTTCAGTCTGTAGAAGTCTCGTGATCAGACCCTGCAGCTCAGATTAGAGCAACCCAGAGCCCGACACCAACACGCTGTCCAGCAAAGGCATACCAGAAAACAATACACAAACGATAGTCTTGCAGAACGCTCTGACAGGACAGTTTGGTCACGTTATGAAACGCGGCCATAATACAAGAGTTAGATGTTATTATACAGAACTGAGGCCAAAAGAGAAAGGAGAACATAAAAGAAAACGGAACGAAAAAGAGCAGCACAGGTCAGAGACAAGTGCTGTGAAAAGTGAGTATGTGCGTTGCAGGCACTGTGCGGTAATGAGTATGTGCGTTGCAGGCACTGTGCGGTATGTTATAGACATAGACCGCAGGAGCAGCATTTGCATGCTATGCTGTAGTGGCTGCTGCAAAGGTTGCATACGCCAATCAAAACCGAGGCAAAGCAGTGTAGACACTGGCTTCCAGGTGCAGCAGCAGCTAGCTAGCTAGCAATCAGTGCCGTAGCAGGACACGCATCTGCAAATGTATGTACAGCGATAGCTGATATTCCAGCTTCAGCAGAAAATAGGCCCTCCAAGGAAAAATAAAAAGCCTCCACGCAAGATGTACCGCTCGGCGAGCAGTCTCAGGGTGCACAAATTCATTAACAGCAGTTGTGGGAAAGCAACAATCGGAGAAAGCTTTGTTCATAGTCAACACGACGACTTTGTACACAAGTTAGGCATTAAACAAAGGGCAGGGCCACAGGAACAGTGCAACGATATATTAGGGCTACCATTACACAGGGGTGGCTAAGAAAGAAATTATCATCCGATCAATAGCACGACAAATGCGAACATGACGAAAACTTTGATGTAGTTGTTCAAGTTGTTGTTGGATACGCCTGGTTAGCTCTTTGGTACAGGCCGTCTAAAGAGAAGGATGTGCGGCTCTGCGAAACACATACGTACGGAAAAGAAGGCACAGAGAATTGCTTAGGGCAGATCGTCGTGTATTGGTCCGCCGCCAGAGAGATCAACCCTCGCTGGTACATGTACACGTATACACGGCTTAGATACTAGATACTTAGTAGTAGTTTACACAGACCATACAGGCCATACAGGCATGGAATCAACTCTCACCTGGATTGTGCAGCATATAGTGAACCCAGCCTGGGGATTGCTCTACACCGATGCCTCTCCATTCAGCTTCTGATAGAAGCCTGCCTTTGGGAACAAGAGGAATCAACTCCTTCGGCATTATGACGTGTCTGCAACACAAAACCAGACACCCAGTAGAAATTCATTTGGAACATCCTTATAAACTGTTACTCCAAGCAGAGAAGCTGAGTCGGGAGGAGGATGCGGCCTCTTTAATTTGACTGGCTACAAAATATGCTGCGCCTCCTCAGGCAAATGGCAGGAACAGCCATGCGATGACAGACGTGCGAGCTGATGAACGATCATTGGCTTCGCCTCAAGTAGAACCGCAAATCAAAACAGCTACAACTATTCAACACGAGTAAACAAAATTAATTAATTCTTACAAGCTTCGAACTGGCAAAGGAAACATCCAAAGGAATCAAACACATTCACCATTGCTAATATGAATCTGTCTCGAAAGAAATTGTAGAAAATTTAAAGGCAAAGAAAATCGAGTTCTTCCCTTTCGAGGAAAACACAGCTCCCAGGCGAGACAGTTCTAAAATGCTGATTTCGCGAAGCAACCAGGGCAACATATACTATACCACAGGAGTGGGTGGAATGACAAAAAGACAGAGATATGCAAGCTACACCATAAAATAATCCCCACTGCAGTTACCCAAGAGCAAGTGGAAGCATGGGAAACAGTTTCAAGCATGGATATACGCCTACGTCTGGGTGGCTCCTCGAGGAAGGCACGAGGAACGTAATATCGAGCGAGAACAAAGGACAGGATAGAAATGAACAAAGGTGGATTGACAGCATATGGGGCACACGGGGTAATGGTACATGACAAAGTACTAGATGAAGAACGAAGAATAGCACCTACAAAGTTCTTTACAAGGAAAATGTTCAGGGGAAGTAGAAACCGAGTCGTGGAACATCTCTCCCCAACCCATTTTGTTCGTTACTGCATTCAAATCGCACTACCTACCTGTATTCAAATTCGTCGTCGAAGTACTTCGGAGAATAGTAGACATTATTGCTTCCAGTAGTCATTTTCAATACTACAAAGAGGAGTAGCTGAATAGATCCAAGTAATCCAAGCTAAACTAAAATCATGAAACAGCAAGAAAATCACTAATAACACGCCTGTCTTCTTGCACTGTTTGCCAGAGGTAGCTTTTCATCTTCGCACACCTTTCCTTTGTTTCGAACTGAGCTTGAAATCCCGCTGAAAGTGCCGATTGGCTAGAAATCTCAGATGACTGTTGCCAAGACACTTTTTACCTTACGATGTATGTGACGTCAAAGAATGGCGTGAAAATTAATAATTTCGAAAAAAGGGTCGTAAAAACTAGCGTCGTAGCGACTCGACTCGGCGGCGGCGCGGCGGATATATCCGCGCGTCATGATTATGACTCATGATCAGCCTTTTTGCTTTTGCCGTTTCGAAAACAAAAAATGCAAGGACATACACATGATAATGAGGAAGTCTTTTGGCATATCAACAGCAACACAATTAGGCTTTCTAGCATGACGGTGCATGTATGTGTGTTTTCCGACTCGTGACGAGGCTGTTGTAAAGCGCTACTGTAGTTTTGTAAGTAGCTTTGGGAGATCTTTTCGTTGATTCATTGTGTCGACAGTGCAGCTACATTCCCGTTAGCAAACAGCAACTTTTTTGGTACAATGGTTTTCCAGTATTGTTGATGCTGGGCACAAATCAACCCTGCAATATTCTTGAAATCTGGAGGAAGCATGACCGAGCGAGTGTTCAAAATTCTTGTCATTGGTGACTCGACGGTGGGAAAGACCTCATTTGTGCAGCGCTATGTAAACAACTCATTCACGAAGGATTACAAGTGCACTATTGGTGGTACGTACGCTTTTACCTGTAGTCAAGTCTGGAATATTCAGATGCAAGATCCGATTTGACTACTATTTCAACACCTAATATTAAATAAATGTTATCATAGAAATGAGTAGTATAAATCTGTCGTCGTGTTACACATAAAGTTACTTTTTGATCTTTGGTCTTGTGTTACTACGGGTAATCTTCGTCCATCAGTATCCATTGATGATAGCGACAAGAAAATCGATTCTGGAAACCGGCTGTGACTTGTATGGTCGTTTATTTATTGATAATTATGAATAACCCAAAGGCTGGAGTGCCTATGTCAAGGGGTGTTTCAGGACAAACAAGCATCATGTATAAATGAGCTCAGCAGTCATGGCTACAACATTTATGCTATTCATTGCTACTATCTCAAATTGTTGTCTCCACAGCGCCTATATGCTAATTTTATATAGAATGATAATACTTTGCTCAGTAGACTAAGGCCTAGTTCATATTTGACATAACGCTGACTGGACATAAGAGTCTTGCGGGGCGGCTGGGGGATGGGGCGAGCTGTAAATTCTCGCACGATGTGTACGGCACATGATGTAACAGTTGCGGCAGTCTGTGGCAGGTTCAATTTGAGCAATAGCGTCTTGTTTTTGGGGGTGCTCTTGTCAGCTAGCACAGCACCAGTTATTTCGCTAAGCTGGACGACTGTAATCACGGGCTACATCATGGGCTTTATCTAATTTAGATGTCTGGTGAAGGGGTGTTCTCATGGCTGTGCTGAGGGCCCAATCACGCATGCACTTGAGTGTGGTTGAACCACTGAAGCTGAAAATACCCTGACAATTGCGGAATTGTGAAACTTCCGCTGAAGCTTTGGAAGTGGTACCCTTCTGCAACTCCGCTAAAGCGGAAAACAACTGAATTCTTTCTTTCTTCTTCTTTTACTGTATATGAACTCGCTACAACCAGTTGTAATACAATGTGCGTGGCGATAAGCATGCGTGGAAGATGTTCCTGGTCCATTTTTACAGTACCGTGTGCACCACAGTCCACTTCACTTCATGGCTGCCAAACGTAGGAGCTTGCCCTGTGTGTGTGTGTGTGTGTGTGCGCGCGCGCGCGCGCGTGCGTGTGACCTGACAAAACGGGTCCCTTTGGAGAGGCACAAGCCTCGCTGCCACGAAGCCTTGCGGCCGAAAGCAGCAGCGTGTTGGCATGATCTAAGGGGATGTTGCTTATTGTAGTCTGCTTGTGTTTCCCCATTGTTGTGTCCGTGCCTCGCAGTTGACTTCTCTCTGAAGGTGATCCAGCGGTCAGAGAATGAGACCATTCGTTTGCAACTTTGGGACATAGCTGGTGAGTAAACTTCATGTCATTAGGATGGTGAAATGAAATTCTGGCACAACTCATAAGCAGTATCTACGGTACTGCTCACTGAAATTCGATCGAGTCACTCAAGTACGCGCCGGGCGTTGCGCAGCCCTAGACCTGCGAACACTGGGCTACGGAATGGTGCACTGTTTGCCAGCGTAACCTTTTGAACTTTGTGGTGTGAAACCCTGCGCTAGAGATTGTACAAGAAGTTGCACACTCTCGGGTTAGGTATCTTGCTACCGGCAAGATGGCAAAACTAAAATGGAATTGTGAAAGCGTTCTTCTAAGCTTTCCACTGTGGCAGCTGCTTTTCTGGATTCCTCCTCGATGTGAAAGAGCTGTGCCTGGTTCCCACACCAGCCTTATTCAACCTCACGGCGGGTGACCCTCAAGGGGTTTCGGATGCAATAGTGCTCTCTCTCTCTCTCTCTCTCTCTCTCTCTCTCTCTCTCTCTCTCTCTCTCTCTCTCTCTCTCTCTCTCTCTCTCTCTCTCTCTCTCTCTCTCTCTCTGTCCAGGCCAGGAGCGGTTCACGTCCATGACTCGTGTGTACTACCGGGAGGCTGTTGGCTGTGTTATTCTCTTCGATATTACCGCACCCAAGACATTCTACAAGGTGGTTGACTGGAAGAATGATTTAGATTCCAAAGTCACTCTAGCCAGTGGCAAGAACCTACCATGTCTACTTCTAGCTAATAAGGTCAGTGCATTACATGTTCTGTAACTTTCTTCCAGTACATATTATACAGTACATATTTATATAATACCCACTTTCCTATTGAGGTCAGGCTTGAAGCTGCCAACAATACAGTCATACCAAAGGAACCCACTTAACCAATTGCTGCCTGACCATGCTAGAATATCGATTCACATTTGGGTTACCACAAAAGAAAATTGAGATCAACTAGCTGCCAAGCACTATACTGTGTGTGTGTGTGGGGGGGGGGGGGGGCAAATACTGACCGGTATTAGTACTTTGCAGTTAGCAGTACTCACGTGTACAGTCTGCTATGAAATGGTGCTGCCTGTCTATGGTATGCAGCCAGCTGCTATTTGGGACATACACTTGCCAGCCCTGGTGGTGGTATTCTACAGGTGCTCATGAAGCCACCTGACATTGCCTGTTGCTTGGTTTGTACTTGTACAGTCAACTTGGCTAATAATGACTGCGGATATAACGACAATTCGCGAATAACGACAGAATTTCGATGCCCGAGCAAAGTCCCATCTAACTGTAACACATAATAATGAGACTTCGGGTATAACGACACTTCGCGAATAAGGACACTTTTCTCATGCTCCGCCGAGTGTCGCTATTCGCAAAGTTGACTGTAAATCAAAACTAAGTTGTTGCATTGATATTGTGCACTACCTGTACCTGTACATTTGTACCTCTACAGTGTGATCTGCCAATACGACCCATTAGTGTGGACGAGATTGAACGCGTCAGCAAGGAACGGGGCTTCCTGCGCTGGTCTGAGATCTCGGTGAAGGATGATGTCGGTGTCACGGAGTCGATGAAGTAAGTTGTGTGGCACAAGCGGCATGATAACTGTCCGTCTTTTCTCTCCGTACCCTTCTTAGTTCTTACTCATCTATCTCGACAAAACACAGTGTGTCATTGCGCCATGGGCAGCGCCATCTATCACTATCCACAGCTTCCACGGTGTGGCCCAAAATTAATATAAAGCGCATGGTCAACGTATGCACCCAAAGTATAAGGTGTGTGCTCCCATCGGCATGTTTTTCAGCCACAAAGACATCACGGGCATGGCAGCACTGACGCAAGCTGTCCACGCAGCTAACCCGTTGTGGTCCAAACAAATGTATGGGTACGGGCCAGATGAGTCTGGAATTCAGATTTAGAAATCAATCGTTCACTATGTGCTGGCACGTTCTTCCATTCCCGCTATGCCCAAGGGCTTGAAAGTGACAATGTAAGAAGTCAATAAATGACGACTTCTGGGCCACTCTGGCCATAGCGAAATACAGTGCAGGGATGAATTTATCCTGTATCGCATCGCAGTTTGCGATGCAAAATCGATCTACTGCTACTCAAAAGTCACCGTGACTCGCAGAAAACTGCGATACATACAGTCTATCCATACCTAGCCTGTGCAGTCAAGTAACATACATACAGTGCGGTGTATGTCTTGCAGGCACTCTCAATCTGCAGTGGCGGATCCAGGGGGGGGGGGGGTTCCGGGGGTTCCATGGAACCCCCTAAATTTTGCAACGTGTGGTGCTGAGAAATATCGAAAAATATCATGTGTGCACAAAAGGAGTGCACATGTATGATTCAGTGGGTTTTTTTGCAAATGGGCTTTCAGGCATCACTCAGAGAAGGACAATGTGGTAAACACCCAACCTTCAAAGAAAAATGCTAATCAAAATCAAAGACTGCTACACATTTATTGTGATTTTGTATAGCAGAAACTGCTATGTAAAAATATGACAATAAATTCATCCCTGCAGTGGAACTCAGATAGATAAGGAGTACCCCCTCGGGGAGTGGAAAAAAGTATGTAGTGTCCGAGGTACTTCTTATCCAAAGTTGGCTCCTGCGGCTCCACTACTATGATACATGTGCAGTATGTCAAAATGCTCGAAATTATTTATTGCACTCAGAAATGTACATGGCTTGTGCCACCAAATCAGGCTTTCAGCGCTGCACACAGCCTTCTCCACACTGTCAACATACTGAAGTACCTGTTTTTAAAGTGAACCTGTCATGTGTAAAGGTGTATGAAAAAATTGAAAACACCAACAAGTATGTAGTATGCAAGGCTGGCTCTGTTGAGGTCTGCTGAAAAGTCTGTTATACACGAATTGTAGGTCTTATCAGAGTACGTCGTATCTGTACACATTTGCGCTTATGGGAGGGAAATCCGTGCCACGAAAAAGGACCGCGTCCGTACTCGGCAGGTGTATGTCTTACCCGGGTACGTACTTAAAGTGAGTTCCACTTTACAATCTACTTTCTCTCATGGGGAAGCCCCTCGGGTCGCATGCAGGTGTGAATTTTCCCGGTTCTAGCCGTGGGTCCCTGGCCAGTAGGGCCAGACCAGTCACTACCAGTGGATGTGTCATCCTGCTGTGAAGGGAAACTACTCAATCGTGTGTCGGTTCATACTTCCTCCGTATACAAAAACTTCGTGACTTTTTTTAACAGTGTTTTTGAGCAAGAACCTGCTCAACGAACGGCACCAAAGGCTGTCATCGACAACCCACGTCCATGTCGAGGTTTGTTTGGTTGATCCCGAACAGATTCTCCACGGACGCCCTGCGTGTGAGGACGTTGCCGACAGAAACTCAAGAGTCATAATGAAAAACTAACACTTGCTCGAAACTGACACAGTGACGAAGTGTAGCTCGTGGCTGGAACACGGAGTCACGCGGCACTCGCTGCCCTGAAACTGGCCAGGCTCGTACTTGCGGTGCGCGGCCCCATAGATCTACGCGGCGTGAGAACATAGATTTGTTTCGCTCGCACGGCAAGATGAAACATTTCAGTCGTCGTGCAACCAGCACAGACTCAGGATCAGAATGTGGATCGCCTGGCTTTCTTCGCCTCTCTCCAGTCAGACGTCTCCATTGTCGCCAAGGGGAATCGCAGGGACCTCCTCGAAGCCATTGTAGAATGCTTGGCGAGAAAATGCGAAGCGTGTGGATGTGCTTGTACGACTCGTTTCACGGCATAATGGAGGTCGCGGGTTGGAACAACTAAATATAGTCGACACCGATTCGTACACAGCTCTAGAGATGAAGAGGACGTAGCCAAAGTCCAGCGTCGGATCATCACTGCAGGTGACAAGAATCTGAACGAAATGCGAGCGCAAGCAGCGACTGTTGGCGATGCGGAGTTGGCGTCGTCAGGTGACAATGACATGAGCGACGAAGACTCTGAAAAAACTCAATCTCATTCGTCTGAGTTGCTTTTTGCTTTGTATATAGCTTGTAAACAGGTTAGACAATGCCACAAGTGTTATTCCGAGTCAAACGGAACAATTCCAGAGCTGTGCGCAGCTTTCAAAAAAAGTCACGAAGTTTTTGTATACGGAGGAAGTACAAAACCTGGATCCTAGTGGATCGAAACGTCGGCGTTGTCATGAGTCCGGCCTGCTTGTGACATAGCACTTTCAAGCCCTGTTGCCCGGGTGCTTGCTCATCCCTGTATGTTGCATGATTGTGTTGTGTGCGCGCCGCCGTGTAGCTATCTCGCCGAGGCAATCCTGGCTGACAGCGAAGACACAGTGAGGTCTAGTTCCGATGGCAACCGTGGGGCCTTCATTCACCTTCGCAATCAGCAGGGCAAGAAAGACCCGGATGAAGGCGGCTGCTGTGTCTTCAGCTAACATTACTGCACGCCGATTCTAATCCATGATTCTGATAAAAAATCCATCAAGATATAAACGTTTTTAATCTAACCTGATTTTGGTCAATTTCTCCCAGATGCTCATTTTTATTTTATCCTATCCTTTTCCGAAACATGTACTCGAAGCACATGTAGCATTCTTGGCAGCATGCGAATTGCTAGGACAATCCTGCGCTGGCCACATCGTATGGTAAATAGATGTTTTTTTTAATGACAGTTCCGTCAATTCCTTTGCGTCCAGCCTCTGCTTCCCTGTACATATTAGTAGTACGGTATCTCTTAGTCTTTGTACTATGCTAATGATTTCTCATCTTCATGCTGGTCATGGTATCATTTTTCTTGCAGCCTAGGTTACTGCTGCATAGTTGCCTCCAGGTTTGTGTCTTGCAGCTTGCAGAGCATACAGACTTTCATTTGACAATAGCTTATCCTGCCCTTGTTTATTACGGTGTTGTCCGGATGCTGCTTGGCGATAGCACTCTTGTGAACACCTGCACAATCATCTTGAGTCACCTTTGACGGACTCGTCTTGTTCTATCTCTTTTAGCCTATGCCGCCTGGCTGTAGTACCATGTAACATTAATGTTCATGCGATGTGCTAGTACCAATACCTGTAGTTCTTTCTGTCTGCTTGAAGGAATTCACGTACCGATGGTCTACATTTATAGATGGGTTTGTAATGAATAGCTGGGGACGTGGTATTTGCACACGCAACCTCTGCTATAATAGCATGAGTCCATAACTTGATATTAGTACATGCATGTTTTTTGTTTTGTTTTTTTTTAAACTATTGAACACTCACTGCATGATGAACTAAAATGAGGAGGAGAACTCGACACCATGGTACGTATCCAGCAGGACGAAGCGGGTGGGACCTGTGAAGCTCAGCCGACCATGGGTCTCAGCATCACAGCTGCACATGTGCACCAAAGGAAACAAAATGGGGAGTGGAAGGGCGGGGAGCAGGAGAGCAAGAACTCTAAGGGTAGGAAAGAGAGGAGGCATGTTTATTGAAAAAGCCATGCTCGGATTTTGCAATGCAATGTAGTACTGTACATGTATAACAAATAATTGAAATTTGTTCAAATTGTGAAAATTATCATCTCATCAGGATGGCCCCTAATATGACTTGTAGTACTAGTATGGTACGAAAAGAAAGCCTATGCCAGACGGCCGTGTTGTTAAAGAGATCCATCCATCTGGCATGTGGTAGCAAGTGGACGAAGTGAAACACGTGCACAGGATTCCCGGGAGATCACACTACACTTTTTTATAGGACATTTCAAATAATTCAGCTATCGTCTGCTTTGTTAGAGATTTCTGCAGTACAGTGTTGTATAATTATTACATGTACTCTCTGTTCGGACCTACATGTATGCTCAGACAACGTATGGTTGCTTGTTCTCATAATGATTGGTTTCTATAACTTTCTAAGGGGCCGTCCGAGGTTACCGATTGTTTTTACAAAACGAAAAGTTTTAGTATTTTTCAGCCCCCACCCACCCATCTTTTCTGCAGGTAAAACGAATTCCAATAAAATATTAATGTCAATTTTCGACACCCAGAAGTAACTGGACATTCTCCATCTACATTCAATAATTATTTTCAAAACGAAACTCCATCAAACCCACCCACCCCCAAACGAAAACATTTCGTTTTGAAAATATTATTGGTAACCTTGGACCACTACAACCAGGCCCAATGAATGTTTCCAGTCAAACGACCCTGCATGCATAAGGAGACCACATTTGTAAGGTCCCTTGAGCGGTCGCCTTAGGCAGGTTTCACTGTGCATGTATGCACCAAATGCAACACAAAAATCAATAAAGGTGTCGTCTCGTGAAAGGGCTCGACCCACGCAGCAGCGCAGAGGGACCTGCAACACAAGTTATTTCGCAGTGGTGGGAAACTGTGATCTGGTGTAACTGAGGTTCTGAGGTTCATGGTATTTGGTCCAATCATCAGACAAGATGTTCCCCGCACACAACTTGTGTACCACACAGCTACAGTCGTCCCTCTCTAATCCGGCACTTTATAATCCAGCACCCTCGATAAACCAGCACAATTTTCAGTAGCCAAAATGTCCTCTTCATGCACATTGCAGCAGTAAATCAGATTTGTTAATCCAGCACCCTCCCTAATCCAGCAGATTTTCGTGGCACAAATGGTGCCGGATTATAGAGGGACCACTGTATTATAAATAACTACCTGGGGGTTGTGGCCCTTGCGGGAAAGATGCAGGGAGCTGATCAGGGAATGTGTTTTCTTTTGCGTGTGCATGTGTGGAAAGGATGGGCAGTCTGTAGATTTGCAACCCAGTGCATGTACATGTGCACCGTGTTAATATTTACAGGCGCACGGACAAAGTGCAGACCTCTTTCCGAGGGATAGCCCACTGTGGTGTGCTTTTAGGAAGGGTGGAGAACGGGAACACACTCGAGACTGAGAGATCTCTTCTCATAGGGGAGATAGTGCGAGCATGATTAAATTTTGAGGATAAAATGTTATTTTTACAGTGAGTTCTGCTCTGCAGTCAGCGGTTGCCTGGCTCATAGAAATGGAGAACATACACCAGCAACACTGGCATTATCTGAAAATGACTGTCTATGAAAGAGAACAGACTATTTTAAAAATATGGTCAGTTCATGTATGTCACCAGACAGAAACAAGTTAGCACATATCCATGACAGTACCAGCTGCCCAGTTTTCATGTCAAAGACTTTAAAGTATAGGTGTAAGAAAGTAGTGATTTTATGGCCGGTGTAATGATAATTATTATTATGTGAAACATATAAATAAAAATCCCTAAATCGCTAAAATTATGAATGATAAATAGAAGAACCTAAAGGCACATGTCACGTTGACTCTAAAAAATAAAGAATCTGCGCACATGCACGCACACACACACACACACACACACACACACACACACTCTTTCTCCCTCTCTCTCTCTCGCTCTCTCTCTCTCTCTCTCTCTCTCTCTCTCTCTCTCTCTCTCTCTCTCTCTCTCTCTCTCTCTCTCTCTCTCTCTCTTCCTTTCTGTCTGCACTCTTGATTGTACTAGTATATGTAGTCGTTTGTTCTACTGTTTTCCACAAACACAAGCTGCAAAGTCGCTTAGTTAGTCGCCAATGTGATGCCTTACCCGTCGCATTCCCCTCCATTGCCGGACAGCCAGGGAAAGGATCATGCAGACTGACACAATGGCAGAGGCCAGGATCATGTCCGTTGATGCACTGAAGCATTGCGCGCCATAGCAGGTAGCCGGAGTGGGCTCGCTGCTTTCGATTCCCAGCCCCGGTGCCGGCGTAGGCTTTTCCGCGACGTGTGCGTCATAGACTCTACCGAACACAACCTGGTAGAGCACCGACGTTGCACCGCTGAACAGCATGACGATGCCCCAGACCCGGCCAAAGCTCTTTACACCACTAATCTCAGTCACCACGGTTGGCACAAGACACCACACGCCAGCCGCAGCCAGCGCCATGGTAACCGCGTTGAACATGAGCACCCAGACCACACCTACCTTGACTCTCAGCAGCACCAAGCCAACACACAAGAAGCACATCGTGAAGGAGATGAAGAAGGACCGGGGAATCACCTTGATGGTCCTGTCCGACGTGAATCCCAAGATGATGCGAAACACTAGGCCTAGTCCTGGTATCATGATAGTCAGCAAGCGGCGATACTCGTCCTCCATGTGGAACGCCTTCAGGTAGAATGTCACATTGGCAATGAACATGGTAGTCATGGCTGACACCATGATGAATGGCCAGAACAGAAGATGAAAGTCCAGTGAACACACCAGCTGCTTGAGGCTCTTGTCCTGAGTCTGAGCGTGGTCGTCATCATCATCAGGCACTGTGCTTGAGTTGCCGTGCGAGTCTGATAGAAGCAGAGCATCTCCATCACCGCTATCTATGAGAGGATCATCAATTTCTACATTGGTGGCGGCGGCAGGTACCCGGGAGGAATTGCTGGATGCCGTGTACCCATCCTGCTGAATACCAGCATGCTGTTTGGTCCCCTTGTCGGGAACAGAAGCTGGTGACGTGTCCATGTCGAAGGGAAGATGGCGCACCGCCACGATGCAGACGAGGCCGGCAGCGGCTGACGCTGCACCAACCGTGTACAGGTAGCCGGCCACGTTCTGCTCTGCGGCATTGTTAGACTTGCCAAACGTCTCGCCATATATGGTGCTCCAGATTGTTGCACTGCCGCCGTACATGGCGTCCAGAAATCCGAACATTGTTCCGCGAACTTTCAGCGGGAAGTTGACGGCCGTGCTCATTAAACTCAGCATGTAGAAGAAGATGGATCCTTGACCTGAGGATCAGCATGGACACAAATTTAAAAGGCACGGAACACAGGTCGGCATTCAGAGTGGTGATATTACATGTCACCAGCCACTGACACAGACACAGACACTGGTCATAGCATGTCATTGAACTTACTAGCATACTGGCAAATACATGTAGCTGTTAGAGAGAGAGAGAGAGAGAGAGAGAGAGAGAGAGAGAGAGAGAGAGAGAGAGAGAGAGAGAGAGAGAGAGAGAGAGAGAGAGAGAGAGAGAGAGAGAGAGAGAGAGAGAGAGAGAGAGAGAGAGAGAGAGAGAGAGAGAGAGAGAGAAGCAGCTGGGACGAAGCATCTATGACTATGTATTCACTGCTGTCATCGCTGCGTGGTCAATAACAGTACTGGGGGAGCAGCGATGCATTGAGTATTTTAAACTAGTGCGATACCCCCCCCCCCCTTGCACGCACACACACACACACACACACGCGCGCGCACAGCGACGAGCAGCACAGGTACAATTACGAGTTCGGATGACGCCCTTTACCTGTCAAGAAGATAGAAAACGCTAAGAATCCATAGCTTCTTGTCACCTTCCCATCCAAAGTCAGTCCCATGAACAGATAGCCCAAGAAACTAGTAATTGCCGCGACAGTGGCTGTCAGCTGTAGGCCAAAATGCTCGATCAGAAGGCCAGCGGTGAAACCAATGCATGTGGCAACAACACCAATGGATAGAAGATCTTCCTCTGCAGGCACATCACAAGCAGAAAAGCCGGTCAGAATCTCAAGAACAGGCTGCAATGGCAAACATGTGTGTGTGTGTGTGTGTATGTTTGTGGCTGGAATCTTACGTGACATGTCGTATCAAGTTCGGACGATGCCGCTGCCCTCAAGAGATCATGGACGGCTGGTGATACCAGCACCAAGCAGTGGCGGCGGTATCTCACAATCTGAACCAATTCAATAGTGGCGCAGCATGTTTTCTCTGCTGAACTCTGAGCTCCAAATGGCAAGGAACTTTTTTTGCATGAGGTTATGCCCCCTCCCCATACCCTGAAGAAGGGACCCCCCCCCCCCCCCCCGTGTCCCAAGATAAGAGAGCCCCTTCAGGGGCGTAGCTGGTCCCACTTTTAGGGGGGGGGGGGTGCATGGCCACATACATGTACATGTTAGCGTAGGATGGCTGGTGTATGTCATTCATGGTCATTATGATCTCTCTCCCCCCCCCCTCCACTTACAACCCGGTTCTCCCTCCTCTCAGAGACTCCTCCCGTAGCATAGATGTACAAAGCAGAATTCTATAACTCAGCTGACACAGCAGAGACTGAAAAGCAAGACCTGGTTAGGCCCCATTCACACACGGTACAAAACCGCATACAAGCATCATGTTCTTTGAAGTGGGCATGGAAACATGCGCGAAAAGTGAAAAATCACATCAACGTTCAAAGCCATACCGGAGCGGCTTTGAAGGCGGCTTTGAAAGCGGATTTCGGCTTTTAGTTTTCAGGCAAGTCGAAACAAGTGGTTTGGTGTGTCCAGTGCGCAGAGTTTTTGTTAGTTTTTGGAGAGTCCGGTAGTACCATGCCTCGAGTTGTCTTTTCTGCCGAGGCGGAGCTACGGCTGATAGAACTATGGCCCAGTATGGGGAAAATACAAGCGAGAAAAGTGAAACTATGATGAAAAGAGCTGTAGCCGAGAAGAGGATTGCAGATCGGAGCTGAATTTGTGCGCAAAGCAGCTACCCGGAGTGATCAGGAAATGATATACACGGCCTACCCACGGCCGCTATCGTTCACAACTCCAGCACACTCAGAGGAATACACCAGTTGTGGAGGCGTTCCACCGAGATCATACTAGCGGACCAAGAAATAGTATTTTTGAAATGTTTAGCCGTACCGGTGCGCTCAGCTCATGCAGAAATCAAAATATTTTAATTCCGCTATCGTTCACAACTCCAGCACACTCAGAGGAATACACCAGTTGTGGAGGCGTTCCACCAAGATCATACTAGCGGACCAAGAAATAATATTTTTGAAATGTTTAGCCGTACCGGTACCGGTACGGTACGCGGTGCGCTCAGCTCATGCAGAAATCAAAATTCCGGCTCTTCGCTATGGGAGTATGGGTCACGCGGGTCACTTTTTACGGGTTTGGCATGCACTGCATTTGACTGTGTGAATGCACAGGCGTTGCAAGTGGCTTGTACCGTAATGTAAACGCGAATTTTTGTACCGTGTGTGAATGCAGCCTAACTAGAACATACCGTAACCCTTGGTGCAGGGAGTTGTTATGTAGTACTTGTATTGTACACAACTCCCTGCGTTGAAGGTAGGTCTACTAGTACTAGCACTACTGTAGTGAAGTCTATTGTATAATACTATTGGCTGTCTTGCAGCTTACCCTGTGACTGCGTCAGGCTGAGCTGGGTCTTCAGCCCATCCGAGTAAGCATTGAACGCGTACACAGATCCGGCGACAATCATTGCCGGAATGCAGGCACCAAAGCCCAACCAACGATAGACTTGGATTCGACGCTTGCTGATCCTGGGCGGACTGACAGCGGTGTGTGAGAAACATCCCTCCATCTCTCTATGAATTCATTGATTGATTGATTGATTTTCGGACCAAAGACTGTCGAATTCAACCCAACCTCTCCACTCTGATGTCTTTGCTCTACGGTCCGGGCATCGAATTTGGCGCTTCCATTTCCAACCTTACCATGATTACTTCGAAGTAGTATTCTACCATTTTTGTAGCGGGCTTTTCCATGAAAGATCCGACAGAACCGTCAAGAGTCAGTGGAGTCTACAGCTCTATCGACGCAGTAGACTACAACAATAATAATAATTATTGTAGACGACGAGCTGAGCAGATCTACTGACTACCGGTACCACCGGTACATCATCAGTAGGCCTCCGCGGAATATGCCGGCATAATTTCGGGAATTATCGGTGTGATTTTTTAAACGGGAATTATCGGTGTGATTTTTTAAACGGGAATTATTGGCAATTTTTGTGGAATAATCGGTAAAATTTGAGCAATGCCCCCCTTTTTTCAATTTTTTTCCATTTTAACACCCTGATTTGTACCAAAAAGCTTGTGATCCTGAATGAGTTGATCGCCCGGTATTTCAAAAGAGAAAGAAAAAAAAGCTTCCAGCCGAGTTTCACGCGAACCGTGATTTTTTGCCCGTACAAGTGGCAAAAAACCCCGTAAGCGGTACGGTATCTGCAAAAAAGGGAAGAAAAAAAGCATTATTGTGAGAATTATTGGTGGAATTACGGGAATTATCGGACGTAATTTTGAGCAATGCTCAAAGGAATTATCGGTAAAAATACGAGCATATTCCGCGGAGGCCTAATCATCAGTAGATGACAACCAAAAATATAATTATTTTTGACACATAGTCATTGGTGCATCTGCTGGTGGAAGTAAGATCGTAGGCGTAAAATACGGTCACACCATGCATCATGCGCCAGCTGGCCCCATGCTGCTGGCCCTGCGCTAGGAAGTCAGTGCATGCAGGGGGAAAAAAAGGACAACAAAAATGATTATGTAGACTGATCTACGCAGCGCAGCATGTCTAGTCGATCGAGGCCGAGGACTGGACTGTTGTTTGGCTAAGTAACTAACTAATTACTTACTAGTACTTAGTTTTGACAGAAGAAAGTAAAAGGCAAAAAGGCTAGGCTGATGCCAAACCAAGTACCGGTACGTATCAAGTAAAAGTAAACAAAACCCTCACTTGTTTCGTAGACAGCGCACTTGCATGTAGCGGGTGACGAAGTCGAAAGCTTCTGTCCGTTCCGAATGAAGCAACAAAATAGGCATTTTATTTGGGGCATTTTGGCATTCCGGAATGGGTTTGGTTCAAGCTTCTTGAGCTGCAGCAGACTCCGAGAAACGTTTCGCTGTGATTCAGGATTGGAGAATTATTCGAAATAGTCAGACAAATAGTGCCATTAGTGGCTAGTGTCCTTGAACGCTTGTCTGATCCGTGGAGCAAGACGATACAGCTGCTAGAGCTGCTGCGAGTGTTGCAGTGCAGTCACTGAGTCAGGTAAGTTGTCTGCTTACGTAAAATACTGGACGAGCACTGCAATCATGTAGGACCGGGTGAGGAGTCCTAGCCGGATACTCTTTAGTGCTCGTAAAGCGGGTCTAAAACTGTGTTCCAACTGGCTTATACAATGCCATGTACCAGGACCGTGCAGTCTATAAAAAAATCAACTGTATTTAGAACTCAGATGGCGAGTCAAGGAAAAATTGCAACATGGAAAAATGATCGCATAGCTTGTGCCCACATTTTTCCATGTTACAACTGTATTTAGATGAATATTGACTGGTTGAGGGAATGGAAAAGGGAAAAGTCTGAAAATTTTTGACTGTTACCGCAAGGACTCGAACCAGGGACTTCCACTTGAAGCAAGCGATGCTCTAACCACTGAGCTATGGTGTACATGTATTTAGATGACCCAAACAAAAAGCTGGCCACCGCATTGAATAAGTACTAGTAGTCGGCCGTACATGGCCAGTATGACTGTGATCTTCCGACCCTTTTGTTTGCTTTTCCCATATTTTGCCATTGCCACCAGCATGCACCGTTTGTGAGTATGCGGAACGTTACGCAGTCCGTGTTCTTTTGTGTAGCCTGTAGGACTTGCATGGCAGTGTGTGGTTGGAGTGGACCTGCCGATAATGAAAAGGTTCCAGTAAAGTACATGTACTACATGCATTGCCCAGTGTGTTTTTCAGTTTTACATTGCTGTGCGGGCATGTGTGTGTCTGTGTGTCTGTGTGTGTGTATGTGCTGTTTACTGCTATCTATAGACACTCGGGAAGGGATCATGGCAACAGATCTAGTCGACACACAGCTACCATGCTATCTTGCCAGCAAGGATGTGACGCTATCACCGACCGCTCGTCAGCTGGGTGCGGGCAGCTTTGGCGAGGTTCTAGAAGGCCGTTGGATCTCCTGTGCAGTCGCTGTCAAACGTCTGTACCCGCCTCTGTTCAGTCCAGATGGCAGGAGGAAAGCCGGAACGAACCAGCGGAAGAAAACGATAACTCTGAAGGAGATGATGTCATCGTTCAATACGTTGATCGGGCAACTCTGCACCGTTCACCACCCGCACATTGCAGATTTCTATGGAGTCACCGTACTGGCCAATCACAGCGCTCCCGTTCTTGTCAGTGAGCAGCTGCATCGCAACCTGCTGGATCGCCGCAGGGACCCGGCGTGCCCCCAGCTAACAGTGCGCGACTGTGTCGATGTCGCCTTGCAGGTTTCCAGTGCATTGGCTTACCTTCACGAACGTAACGTCCCGATTGTCCATGGCGGCGTGAACTCACGGAACGTCCTGTTGTCAACCAGTGGACGGTGCAAGCTCACTGACGTAAACCTTGCCAAGTGGTTTTCTGAATTCGAGGAAATCGAACTGCACGAGTCTACGTATCTACCATGCGGCTTATCCAAGGAAGAGAGATTCTCCTGCCCTGTGGATGTGTATGCCCTTGGGGTTGTGTTGCTGGAGGCAATGTCAGGCCGAGGTCAGTTTGTAGCACAAGATCCACCCGTAGACTCAGCAGCCACAGCGCAGCAGGAAAAGGACTCGTGGGAGACAGCGTCAAATGCTTCTCAGAGCAGCGACAGTGGTCGCTTGTCGATGGCTCGTGTGCGCTTCAAGAAGTACTTGGATAAGCTTGGTGACAAGCCCGATCTCGTTCGGACTGTAACCGTGCTCTTGCAGCCGACCCGGCCACGTATTGAAAGTGCGCGCAAAGTGATCTTAAAGCTCGCTACCGTAGATTCATATCTGAAAAGCAAATCTATGCTGAAACTAGATGTGGGCTATTTGGCCAGTGAGGTACGGGACTTGCGCGAGGCAGTTCTCGAAAGCCAGGAGAGAAACTCTTCGGCAGGCGAGCAGCTGCAAGACGTCGTCGACGACCAGCACAGTGTGGTACTAGACTCTGCAGAAGTGGCCAAAGCATCACTGTATCACATTCGACTCGTCCAGCAGCAGATGCACCGGCAGCACGACGACATGAGCAGCGCTTTCCTGAGCCGTCTCGAAGATGTTCATATCGCTGCGCACAACACGTATGCAGCCATGTATAATATGGCAGGTGAAAGCCAGGCTCGCGCTCAGTACGGAGCTCACGGCCATGATATGGCCCACAGCAATGGGCCCAATGGCAGTGCCTTCCCTGGCACCAATCAACTCAACTCTTCACAGGAACAGGTGATGTACGCCATGAGATCTCCGCCACATTTCTCCGCACCCGCAGGACAAGAGGAGTTCACCGATGTGTTGTCGCCGGTCACCTCGCCAAGTCAGTTGGCAGCGATGGGCAGCTCTGGCGTCAGAGAGCACCTGCACTCTACACAGCATGTAGAACAGGTACCCGTTCCACGTGCCGCCTCATCGTCATCTGAGCAGAGCGCTGGCGAAGATGGATATATAGAGGACGAGTGGCCATGCTCCACTGAGGAGCCAGGCGCTGCTGCTGTTAACACTGCTGGTCCAGTTCCGTCACCCATTGCTCCGTCAGATAGCCCGGAAGTGGTGGACAAAAGTGAGGTAGCAGTACAGCAAGCAACGTCACATGCTGTCTGTGTAGAACGACCGGACGGTATGCTTGATGATAGTCTAACTGTACATTCGCCAGACATCGAATTGGATTCCCCGACGAACGAGTCAGCTGATAAGCTGCACTCACCAGTGAGCGAGACAGTGCTTTCCGCTTCGAATGACCAATGGATATCCGGTAATGAATTCGAGTCAACGGAAGAAGTGCGCGACCAGACGTCCTGTGATTCTGAGGTGACTCCCTGTGTGCGAAGGCGAAATCCATCAGCAGTATGCGCATCTGGCACAGAATCTGCCAGCGAAGGAGCAACATCGCCCGAGCTCAGCGACTCGGCAATCGAAGTAGATGAGCTGATGGACTATTTTGGCAAGCAACAGGACATGCAGACAAATGAAATCCGCCAGATACTTGCTAGCCACCTGCAGGCTGTTACTGCGGTGCAAGAAGATTGTGTGCAGCGTTTACTGGCGCTGCAAGAGGAACAGAAGCAGCAGCATGCGGTGCTGCAAGAGCGCCAAGTCCCAGAGGAAGCGGTGGAGGCGCATGACCAAGATCATTGTGATTTAAACTCCCAGTCATCCAGTCGATTGACGCCGGATAAGTCATCCTCTCCCGTTGAGGATGAACCAGAAGAAACCGACGGGTCGCCAGAGGAGCCTTGGGGAGAGGATGATGCTACCGTTTTGTCTAATGGCTTCGGGGCTCTCGTTCAGAATGTCCGTTGGATTATGTACAGTTTCTCACAGCTCCTCGAAGTGTCCTAGTGAAGACGGGTACTAGTATCTGGATCAGAGCAGTGAGGAATAGCGGCATGCGACCTTGACTATTGTTGTTGCTTCTGCTGCTGCTGCTGCTGCTGCTGTTGTTGTTGTTGTTGTTGTTGTTGTTGTTGTTGTTGTTGCTGCTGCTGCTGCTGCTGCTGCTGCTGCTGTTGTTGCTGCTGCTGTTGCTGCTGCTGCTGTTGTTGTTGTTGCTGTTGTTGTTGTTGCTGCTGCTGCAGCGCTGTTGTTGTTGTTGTTGTTGTTGTTGTTGTTGTTGTTGTTGTTGTTATCGTCGTCGCTGGCATCAGCATTGTACCTACCTACATACATTGTACCTTGTCATATATATTTTACTTCAACCAGATGAATACGCTTTGTTGCCATATTCGCGACTCGTGACCTCCAGGCAAAATGCTTGAACTCTGTGTGTTTTGTACTTCAAGTATATTATTATTACTGTCGCCAAGTTGCTACCACTACTTCATAAAATTACTAGCACAATCTTGTGAACCAGATCGCGCGCTTTCCTGCTACGGTGCGGGTCACCATTGCTGTGGTGCCACTTGCACCATGTGCTTGTTCTTGATTTTAAAAAGTATCCACCCAGCAGCCATGCAATTATCTTTTGCCGAGCCCATCTGAGAAACTGAACACAGAGTTTCTTTTTTATGCTGTAAGCAAAGCCTCCTTTGAGCCTGCATGTAACAACAATCAAGTTGAGACCCTTTTTCCTCTTTTCTTCTTCTTTTTTCCACTAATTATTCGTGAACAGCACATTTTTCAACAGGCTTTCATGGCAAGACCAATCGATATACATGTACTTAAAAAGCAATATATATTATCTGGATGCGGTGTGTTGCCGATACACACTCTTCTAGCTACCCGTACGCTCCGACCTAGTTCGTATCTCGATCGTCCGATACATGGTTGCCTGGTAAGCAGCTAGACTGGGGATTTAACCTTTTGAGCACGACGCTACCTGAATGCCGCCCCACGTCAACACCTGCAAAAATCGCGTTTTTCCTATGAAAGTAGTAGCTGTTCAAGGATCGATAACTTTACCTTTCTTTGGACGAATTCCACGATCTTGAGCTTCCTGCAAAGGTCTTGAGACGAGGAACAAAATAGTTCCGAGCTCAGCTCGGAGCGACACCAAAAGCCCATGCTACAGTCTGGCAAACTTGACGCACGCGCTCGACAGACTTGAGCACGGCCAGGAGATCAAATCCTCAGCTGCCATTTCACTCTCCTTGCTCGTATCGAGCTCAAATTTTTTTTGAGGGCTCGCCAGATCCGCTGCCATCATTTGAATCTAGTTTCCATGGCAGCAGATAGCGCGAAAATGATCGAAAATGGAAAATACGCGTTCTGCAGAGTTTGCAAAAAAATCGATTTGAATTTGCCGTGTCGAGTCGCATATCTCAACAACCCGGGGTCGTATCGCTTCGGCGATTGTTTCTATCGCAAGCTGAGAGTTTTCTCTTGCAGATACATATTTCGATCGTGAGAATCGGCCAAGAATTGACCGAGTTACGATAGTTTGAACTCACGCGGTTCATGCAAATCGCGTTTGTACGCTATGTACACTCGTACTCACGACGTAATAATACGTCATGCGTGGGTGCAGTGACACTGTACGTGACGTATTAATACGTCATGCGTGCTCAAAGGGTTTTTAATGGTGAGGTCATTGCCAGCATTGACCCGTCCTTGTGTGACATCCTGCGCTGCTGCTGTTCTACTAGGCTACATGTGCTGGCATGTGCACATGACGCCATTTTTGCAATAATTTTCCTCAACACATGCGTACCCTTGTAGGTCCCCGTATAACGTCGTGTAATGGCACAAAGTGACAATGTGATTGTGCTCTTCAGAACACCAAGACTATAATCATTATAAGCTGGGGGCTTATACTCTTGATAGCACAACGCCAAATATTATATTGCGGATCGTCCCTCTTTTTTGCCGTGTTCAGGCCTGGTATTTCGGGGCAGGCTTGGCCTTGGGCCTAATTGGCGCATGGCCAGGGGAGGCCGAGAGGGGGGGCGGGGGTACAACATAGCCATGGGTGTGTACGTGTACCGACCAAGGAGTCGTAAAAGCCCTGGTTGTTGTTGTTGTTTGGCTTTATTCTGGTACCGACCGACACACTACCGGGCCGACAAAGCGTAGTTGGGGGTTATGTGATTGTACTCTCACCGTACTACATTGTACCAAGAGTATTATCCCTTGGGTACTACCAGGGAGTAGTACAATACGATGGTATTGTACTACTCCCTGCTACACTGCTCGCTGCGATCGAGCTACTGGCACTGCGCAAGCGATGCGACTGTGCCGCAGCCGAGATCTACGCAGTGTGCGTAGACCATGCATGGACTCGTACGATATTCGCGAGTACGAGTTTGAAAGTCTTTTCGATTTCTTATCAGCGTCCGTTCAGCCAGTCATTGGCGTTTGGACAGTCTTTTCAGGGCCTACTGAGAGCACCTGGTGCCTTGACTTTTCTGCACTTCGCCTGGAATTATGTGCTCCTATGTCTTGCTGTGAACTAGAACCGAGTATTGACCAAATCGAGTTGAGTTCGGCAGCACGTGGGGCCAGAGTTCGTGGTTGGTTGTCTCGTACAGTTGCTGCAAATAATAATTTGGTTTCAATGATAATCAATTTTTAGTTGATGACTATGCTTGGCTGAAGGCAGCTTATTCACTGATTGCCACACTCAGTAACCTCTTTCCAATGAAATCCCTCTTCCCACTGGCCGCATCTGCACGGTCTCAGTCATCCGCTGCCAATGCCTCAAATGGTAGAACACGAAGAGGCCATGTACGAGGCGTTCTCCTCGACTGGTGGTGATGACGCTTGGTGAGTGTCGCCCATGCCTTGCAGCATACACACACACACACACACACACACACACACACACACACACACACACACACACACACACACACACACACACACACACACACACAGAGTCATGTACTGGTGCTGCGTGCTGGCCAGACACACATCTCAGTTTTTCTCTGTCAGTGCAATCACATCCACCATGCAGAAAAGATAGCAAGCAGCACTCCATATCATGGCCAAAGCTCATACTTGTACTTTGAAGATACTGAAGACAATAATAGCAACAACATACTGAAATAATTTATTACCTGACATTGTCTGAGATGAGGATTGTGAAAATTCACTTTGAAAATGATGTCGAATGTAAATTCAAAAGGTATCAAGACAAAATTAGTGTGGATGTAAGAAGAATACACACCATCGTACGCCACCATAACACTGGAAGGACACATACGCAATGATTTGAACGTCTCCATATTTAATAGAATGAGATTTCATCAGACATAATGTGCATGGGTATGCGAGGAGCTAAACAGGCCTATAACGTAACCATTTTTTTTAAACTCGGATACTGAGCCAGTAGCAAATGTAAAATAAAAGAAAACACAAGGGAACGAGTTATGAAGCAACTACAGTAGAGTCGTGCGCTGAAGAACGTTGAGCCCAAGAACGTCCAGCCTGAAAGGCTAAGAACGCCACAGCCTAAAGTTAAGAGCGGCGGTGTTGGTTTTCCAGCAGCTTTTGGAATAGATATGATCCAGTACGAATTGTTTCTAAGAACGTGCTATAAGAACTCAGCCAGATTGCCCAACAAAATAAAACGTCCCAGGCTAACCCCTTGGAAACAACGTTCTTGGACGCGCTACTCTACTGTGTTCACGACTGTAACAAGATGATAAGCAGTCAGAAAGTGCGATAACAGGGCACAACACTGACAAGCTACTGAGACATTCAACGACCTGAGGCCTAGCTCTAACACATCTCCAGTCCGCAAACCAACGGCCTTCCAACTTTGGTCGTACCTTACCACGAACCTTCCAAGTTGGAAGGCCGTTAGAACTTCTTTCTGGCCTTTCAATCGCAGTATATGTGTATGTTACATAGTTTGACTTGCTGGGCCTTGTTCCCTTGTATCCACTGGTGACAATGGGTTGAAAAGCTGTTAGAAAATTGTTTGAGTTGCCTGTGTGGTGAAATTGGCAACCTTGTTGCTATGTGTAATTACATGTTCGCCTCCTAAATCCCGTTGCCTGTGGCTTTAATTAGACTCGGGTCGAGTCCCATGGCTTTCTGTAGGCATGATCATCTCTCCTGAATCTCTCCTGGTACAAGCGTAAGCTGCGTAGGAAGTACGCCAAGCCTGCGCTTGGCATCATCTTGATATTGGGAGCGTGATTTTGATGTATGTATTTCTGCGTACATGTATCTTGAATTGCCAGTTGATGGTGACTTGCGCACCCCTGGGATATGTTGACTTGCCAGCCGGTCGGTGACTAGTTGGTGACTTACCTACCCACGGGGTGCCGAAAGGCCAGTCTGACTGACTCGTGCAAATTATGAATCTTTGTTTTGTCGTGAATAATGCAGGCAGCTGGAGGATAGCTGGAAGCATCTAGGAACTCTGATCAAGAGAGGCGTAATCAGTGAGGATCCTGCTGGCCAGCTGGAGCTTGAGCGTATCCTGGCCTATGTGACCGCGCAGTATCCGCCCAAGTTACACGAGTGCCTTGGCTACTGTCTCTCGGAGCAGCGCAAGGATGAGCTGCTGACGATCTTCGAGAACACGACTGGTATCATCAAGTCGTGCCACACCAATGCGGCTGTGCTGAAGCCATGCCTGCAGATTCTCATTCACCTGGCATACCCACCACAGCAGCCCTGCACGGCGCTGTTGGATGGGGTTGTTAACCAGCTCATCTCCACCAAGAAGAACATCACGCGCCTGCTGCGCGCTGTCCCTGCTAACCTGGAGAACGAGCCGGTCGTGCATGACGTGTTGCGGCTGATTATGCGCATACACCAGTGCAACGCTCGCTCCCTCTGGTCACTGGAGCTATCCAGCGTTTATCAACTGCCGGAGAAATGGAAGGGCCCGACGGCTACTGACATCGCATCAGCTAGCGGCAATACAATGCTCCATTCTCCGCCGGACTGTGATGCGGTTTCGGACACGCCTGATGCCACCAGTTTGATGGATCCGCCGGCGTCCAAACGCAAACACCAGCCCGACTACTATAGATGTGAAGTCTATTCACTGTCATATACGTGTTTGGTAAGCTTGCTGTTACAGTATGTATATACCTACAGCCCTCGGGCTCACTTGTCGGGCACTGGAAATCCATTATTGCCCTCCCAACCATACCACAATGGATTTATCACTTTCAGCCTAACATTACCGAAGACACTAACCTGAAAGAATCAAAACTAAAGGAGAATGTCGACCTCGTGTGCAGCAACACTTGAAAGGAAAGAAAAAGAAAAGCTGAGATCGCCACTTTCGAACACGCGTTCGTATGTACATGTCCATGTAGGTCTACACTGCACTGTTCACAGTCACCAGGTCGCCGTGTGTTCAAATCCCGTAGATTTCACGCGTCCAGTGTCACTGTCAGGGTTGTCATGGACGACGGGCTTTGGACGTGGGCGGTGGACTGATTTATTGCCCACTCATACAGATCAGTGATTGGCCCGATCCAAGGAAACAGTCACGTGACATGTGATAAGCATATATCAGAGAGGTTCAGCGAGTTGTGAAAAAAAGTGCACAGCGAGTCTCGCGTTTGTGTCTGACGAACTTGTCTAACACTACGGAGTCTGCAGGCAGACAGGCCAGGCTGCAGATGCACTGAATAGTTAACCCCCTAGCGGTATCCTGATGTAATTGTCGACAACTTTTTAAGTGCAAAGGAAGAAAAACAATGTTTCTATCGCAACACGTGGAATCCTGATAATTCGAGCATGTACGGCTTTTAGAAGTCCCACGAAATGCGCTTGCATAGAAATGTGTGGGATTCCTGGTGATGCTAGTACATGGAGTTCGAAGTTAGCAAGGCATAACACGAAGTTCACTGCACCCTGTACTGGTCAGTTCATCGTGTATGAGCAATCTATACAGTCCAGTTCGGTGTGCTCAAAATCTGGCAATGCAAGCATTTTTGACATGCAAGTACATAGTGTGTTGTGGGTGCATTTTGGATGATCAGAATGTCCGGCTAATTGGAAGTCTTTCCCCCAGCAATTTGGGATTCCAATTATCAGGATTCCACCTGTATAGTGACTAATGCTAGCGCTGTCTATCTCTCTCTCTCTCTCTCTCTCTCTCTCTCTCTCTCTCTCTCTCTCTCTCTCTCTCTCTCTCTCTCTCTCTCTCTCTCTCTCTCTCTCTCTCTCTCTATCCGTACAGGCTGGCCTTCTCCAGGTTCAAATCACTGGAAATGACACTGTTTGATCTAGGCTCTAGTGCTCTGCTGGGGCAGATGGTCGCCTTGTCAGAATTTTCCTCTTGACATGATGTACTGTACATGTGGTTGTTTTGTCCGCACTTGTATGTCAGTTTGGTAACGCTGGCTCTTTGCTTCGAGGGGTTCAATTCTCCTTTCCGTGCTGTGTTTGTGTTGCTTTGCGCCACTGGCTTGTGCAGTCTGTCTTGAAGCACCTGGAGCAGTCTATCGACGTAGTGTCGCTGGTTTGCCAGGTCATCCAGGCGTTGTGCAGTCGTTCTCAGAGTCTCTACACCAAGATACTGGCTCACAAAAAGGACATTGGTCTTATTGAGCAGCTGCTGCTGGTAAGTCACCTACATGGTAATCAGTGGTAATTTGGCAGCCAAGTTCACCTGGCTTCAACCGCTTGATACTCGTTTGACACGCATTTTCCGTATTCCGCTGTTGCCCTGCGGTGGTTTCTGTTCACCAAGTGCCGGAGATTGTGTGTGTAAGGAACTAATACTTGCACCTACTGTCCAGGATAACACAAGCTTTAAATAGCTCCTAGCAGAATTCCTTGTATTGGTCATACCAGGTTGTGTGCTGTGAAGTGCTCAAGGAATGAAATGATATGAAAGCGAATTGGCCTGTCTTTGAGATGATCTTCTTGGCAAGACCCAAGGGAAACCGTTCATTCATAGAAGAACTTTAGAAGAAAAAACCCAGTATCATAGCCCAATGCCATAATTGAGTGCCTGCTTGCGCAGAAATCAAGTCTGTGCGATGCAGCTAAGTGCTGAGTGTCTGTGTGCTATGTGTCTTTGTGTCTTTGTGCCTGTGTGCCTGTATCTACTTTGTCGCTAATAGATATTTGCACAATACATTGATGTATATGATGTGAGTGCTGACGAGAGTGTTGCCAAGCTGCTGGACTCTCTCATCCAGACTTTCATGAAGCTCATCATGGTAAGGCGTTTCTAGTGTGTAGCCAGCACGACTCTTGCCATGCTTAGCACAACTATGGTGCCTTTGCTAAGATTTATTTTTTCGTCGGGGGGGGGGGAGAGAGAGAGAGACACACACACACACATACACACACACACACACACACACACACACACACACACACACACACACACACACACACACACACACACACATGAAGCGTTGGAGGCTGCCAAACTCATACTGGAAGCGTTCAACTGGCTTGCATCATGCTTACTTTTACAGTCAAGTAGTGGCCACCTATATTGTCCAAGTTCCCAAGCTGTATGTGTGTGTGTGTGTGTGTGTGTGTGTGTGTGTGTGTGTGTGTGTGTGTGTGTGTGTGTGTGTGTGTGCATGTGCATGTGTGCGCTTGCTCCGTGTACAGGTGTGTAAGTTCTTTCATACGGACATGAAGGAGCTGCAGGAAGAAGTCTCTCTACTTCTGATGAAAACCTTGCAGGCCGCCATTAAACATCGGAAGAACTCATCGACGCCATGCTTGCCAAAGGACTACACTCTTTTGTCCACTGTTTTCCGCTACTGTTTGCATCTACACTTCAAGCCGACGTTGAAAAATTGCGATGTCATCGCCTGCTCTGTGCAAATTCTCAAGGAGTGCCGCCTGCATCTCAAGGCCTACCTGCCGTCTGTATGTTGCACGTTCTGTGTTCTGTGTGTGTGTTTTGCGTGCGCACGTGCGTGTGTGTGCCTGTGTGTGTGTGCCTCCGTGCGCATCTATGTGTGTGTGTGTGTGTGTGTGTGTGTGTGTGTGTGTGTGTGTGTGTGTGTGTGTGTGTGTGTGTGTGTGTGTGTGTGTGTGTCCCATATGGTGCAGTGGTATGTGCAGGGGTTCCCATCGAGAGGTTGCGGGTTCGATTCCCGACGATTATGGTCACACACGTCTTTCTTCTCTTTCTCAGACTCCTCCTGACTTTTCTTTCGTTCTCCTGGGTGGTTACCAACAGCCAGTGCATGCCGGAGTATGTGGTGTGATGTGTGTGTGGGAAAAAATGAAAAAGACCAAAAATAGGGATTCACTGGCCAGAAAAGCCACTTTATAGCTTATAGCTTCATTGTGTTGCAGGTTGATGGCTGGGGCTGAAGGTGGCTGAGTACACTGTACCCTCCATCAATGAGTCTTGGCTGCTTTGCTTAGGTGCAGTGAATTTCTGTCAGGGAATGCTATTTCTATTACTCCATCGACGCACGTCTCGTGCTTTGTCCTGTTTGTATGCTCAGGCGCTGCGCTTTGCCTTTGGCGTGGGCTCAGCTCTCTCACAAGCCGACTGGGTGAAGACGTTCCGGACAAAGAAGGAGCATGGACTCCACACGGTGGTGCTCGAGTGCCTGGAGGGCGGTCACGTGCAAGATGACAACGTGCTCAAGGAATCCATGCGCCTTCTCCGCTCGCTCGTGGCTGACCCACAGTGGAATGTAAGGGCCCGGGGTTGTGGTTTGCACTGGAACATTCTGGGCACTGGTATCACAGCAGTCCCGTTGAGAAGACCTTACAATCACACTATCATCAAGCGAATGTCTTGCTTGTTTATCCCACTGTGCAGGAGGAACTGTTCAGTCACGGCATCTTGGAGTGCCTGCTGGCTCTGTCCACGCGTCTATGTCACGGCGATACGTACGCCACCATCATGCTGGATTTGGTGCGCGTCGGCTTTCAGCTGACCTGCTGCAGTCTGGAGCAACGACGCGTCTTCATCAACAAGAAGTACCTGGACGTGCTGAAGGCCGCCCTGGTTAATCACGGCACCAACTGGCCCATTGTGCGCTGTGCTCTTGGCTCTTTGTCAATGCTGTTTCGTGTCAAGGAGGTAGTGGCCGAGTCCTACCGACTCGGCTTTCCTAAGCTCTTGCTCGAGGTGAGTTCTCGTGTTCTGATTCAGCTTTGCTAGGCTAACCATGAAGTGCGCCGAGCACCGTAGCACGGTTCATCTCTCCCCTCCCATCCCCCAGCACATACTGTGGTGCTTCCCCAGCTGGGGTTTTCAGCGTGGAGCTAGAACCAGATCCACGCTGTCAAGTGCAGTTCAATGTACTTCAGAAGTACAACAACGCGGCAGGATCGTTAAGCCTTGTGCACGCTATCAGTAGGATGATTTGTTACTTGTTAGACTCATCGTACTCTCAACTCGCACAGTGCACGGCCAGTCTAAAGCCCGTGTCATACTTCAGTTCACGTGCGGGAAACGCTTCGCAATGCGTATGGCGGCGGTGGCATGATGGGCCAACAAGTTGTACTCAAGTCGAATTTCTCCCCGGGATGCGTATCGACGTGCATTCCAAGTCCCAAACCAAGAGTGAAAAAACACGCATCTATTAAATCTGCACGTCATTGTTACTATGAAATTGAAGACACCACTGCTGTACTTATGGTTGATAAATATGGTGGTAAAGACACACCTGGCAATATTGCAGCCTAGAGAGCGTGTGTGGGCAGGCATGTGTTTACCGCCATATTGCCAGGTGTGTCTTTACCACCATATTTATCAACCGTCATTGTTACTCACTGAGAACATGGTGGACATCATGCAACTGCTACATACCCCCTAGTCATTGTTACTCACTGAGAACATGGTGGACATCATGCAACTGCAACATACCCCCTAGTCATTGTTACTCACTGAGAACATGGTGGACATCATGCAACTGCAACATACCCCCTAGTCATTGTTACTCACTGAGAACATGGTGGACATCATGCAACTGCAACATACCCCCTAGTCATTGTTACTCACTGAGAAAATGGTGGACATCATGCAACTGCAACATACCCCCTAGTCATTGTTACTCACTGAGAACATGGTGGACATCATGCAACTGCATCATACCCCCTAGTCATTGTTACTCACTGAGAACATGGTGGACATCATGCAACTGCAACATACCCCCTAGTCATTGTTACTCACTGAGAACATGGTGGACATCATGCAACTGCAACATACCCCCTAGTCATTGTTACTCACTGAGAAAATGGTGGACATCATGCAACTGCAACATACCCCCTAGTCATTGTTACTCACTGAGAAAATGGTGGACATCATGCAACTGCAACATACCCCCTAGTCATTGTTACTCACTGAGAACATGGTGGACATCATGCAACTGCATCATACCCCCTAGTCATTGTTACTCACTGAGAACATGGTGGACATCATGCAACTGCAACATACCCCCTAGTCATTGTTACTCGCTGAGAACATGGTGGACATCATGCAACTGCAACATACCCCCTAGTCATTGTTACTCACTGAGAACATGGTGGACATCATGCAACTGCATCATACCCCCTAGTCATTGTTACTCACTGAGAACATGGTGGACATCATGCAACTGCAACATACCCCCTAGTCATTGTTACTCACTGAGAACATGGTGGACATCATGCAACTGCAACATACCCCCTAGTCATTGTTACTCACTGAGAACATGGTGGACATCATGCAACTGCAACATACCCCCTAGTCATTGTTACTCACTGAGAACATGGTGGACATCATGCAACTGCATCATACCCCCTAGTCATTGTTACTCACTGAGAACATGGTGGACATCATGCAACTGCAACATACCCCCTAGTCATTGTTACTCACTGAGAACATGGTGGACATCATGCAACTGCAACATACCCCCTAGTCATTGTTACTCACTGAGAACATGGTGGACATCATGCAACTGCAACATACCCCCTAGTCATTGTTACTCACTGAGAACATGGTGGACATCATGCAACTGCAACATACCCCCTAGTCATTGTTACTCACTGAGAACATGGTGGACATCATGCAACTGCAACATACCCCCTAGTCATTGTTACTCACTGAGAACATGGTGGACATCATGCAACTGCAACATACCCCCTAGTCATTGTTACTCACTGAGAACATGGTGGACATCATGCAACTGCAACATACCCCCTAGTCATTGTTACTCACTGAGAACATGGTGGACATCATGCAACTGCAACATACCCCCTAGTCATTGTTACTCACTGAGAACATGGTGGACATCATGCAACTGCAACATACCCCCTAGTCATTGTTACTCACTGAGAACATGGTGGACATCATGCAACTGCAACATACCCCCTAGTCATTGTTACTCACTGAGAACATGGTGGACATCATGCAACTGCAACATACCCCCTAGTCATTGTTACTCACTGAGAACATGGTGGACATCATGCAACTGCAACATACCCCCTAGTCATTGTTACTCACTGAGAACATGGTGGACATCATGCAACTGCAACATACCCCCTAGTCATTGTTACTCACTGAGAACATGGTGGACATCATGCAACTGCAACATACCCCCTAGTCATTGTTACTCACTGAGAACATGGTGGACATCATGCAACTGCAACATACCCCCTTGTCACTGTTACTCTCCTCTAAAAATTGTCTGACAACGTCTGTCGTTGAGTTGTCATTTGCCATGCTGCGGTGGTGGCATGATGATACGAGATAGTAGATGTTCAGACCCCATACTGAGGACAGCAATGCACTAGTACTAGTACAGTCAGACCTCGCTTAACCGCACACATCCGCTTTCCACAAAAAATATCCGGATAGGCGAGGGAACCGGATAATCGAACACACACACTGTGTGTGGGCATAGCATTGCTGTAAATCGGTGACCAACAATTTTCTTCCGGATGGCGGCGAGGGATCCGGATAAGCGAGGTCTGAGTGTAACTTCATGTCCGGATAAGCGAGGTCTGAGTGTAACTTCATGTCCGGATAAGCGAGGTCTGAGTGTAACTTCATGTCCGGATAAGCGAGGTCTGAGTGTAACTTCATGTACACTTATCAGCGGTGCGTTGAGATTTGTCTGTGTGGAACCGATATCCAAGGGAAAGAACACTTAAAGTGACTTTGGCTCCCGCATGTGTGTGTGTGTGTCCGTCTATCTGTGTGTCTGTTTGGCTGTATGTCTGTCTGTCTGTCCGTGTGTCTATCTGTCTGTCTGTGTTTGCCTTGTTTCCCTCGCTAGACACTGCACGCGCACAATGGCGTCGAATCTAAGCAGCGCTACCTTCACAACGTCATCACTCACATGGCATGTTTTGCCGTACCGGTGCAGACAACAACGGCCCTGGACAACCTGCCCGATGAGGAGAGTGTGTCACCGTGCGGTTCTGGCAATATTCACCAGACACCACCAGTGTGTTCACAGCTGCCGGGCTGTGTTGTCTCGGACGGAACGTCATCGGCCGCTCAGCATGTTGCGCTTAATGATGTCGACCGCGACAAATGCTCACCGCCTGCTCCCGTTGCGATGACCCCGCCTGCTCATACATCAGCGCAGCTGACCGCGTCACCACCCGAGCTAGTTGTGGAGCGTCTGCACGGGATGGCCAGCCATGGCTGCTCAACCTGTGCTGGAGCCACTGCCAACTCACTGGAGCTGATTCTCACGGCGCAGCCTATCTCCGTCGAGATGTACGAGGAGCTTACCATGCGCGGCTGGTTTCGACGCGGCTCGGTACCGCTCAGTCACTATCGTCACATTCACCATCCCGACTGTGGTGATTATGAAACGTGCACTGACGTCGAGCGTTTCGATCCAAGCACATCGTCCACCTACAAGCGCGTGTTGAAACGTGCCAGGAAGGCTGGTATCACCGTTGAGACCGTTCGACCGCACATGGACCCGGCATCATTTGAACTCTACAATCGCTACCAGCTGACCAAGCACGGCAAGCTGCTCAAGGCGTCCGATGGCTACTGTAATCACATCGTCGACACACCACTGCTGCCTGTAACTCGGAACGGCGTGCCGTATGGTACCGTGCATCAGCTGTATCGTATGGATGGGCGCTTGATCGGTGTCGGTGTGCTAGACGTGCTACCGCACTGCCTCATCAGCGTCTACATGTTCTATGACGTTGGCTGCCGCGACGTGGCCAAGCTCTCTCTCGGCGTGTATGCCGTGCTGCAAGAAATTGAGTATGCCAAGCGTCTGAATCGAGAGTGTGGCGCGCAAGTTCACCACTACATGCTCGGCGGCTTCTGCCCACTGAACAAGAAAGTGTCGTACAAGGCCAACTACCCACCGGTACGGTTCTGTGCACCCTGGGCTAGCTCACTGTGGATGGATGACCTGAGGATGGCACGCCTGCTCTCTGGCCTCAGCGCCCTGCGACAGAGCGTTCGCTCGTCCCGTTTCGCTGCCGTGATGACCTTCCTGGCCGTGCACAAGATCTTTCCGCAGGCCACGGCAGTGCTGCGCTGGCTGCGCCTGTCACGTCATCGCCTGTGCGATATCTTTCACCTGGCACAGCCGTACAATGTGCGCTATGCATTGAAAACAATGGAGGATGCCCGGCAGCAGCAGCACGAGGACGCGGATAGCGAGGAGCATGTTGCTGAATTATCAACATCTGACCAGGGCCCGCTTGATCCTGTTGAACTGCTTCTCGCCATGACTGCCAAGACAGACCGGCGATCAAGTTCTGGGAATTCTGCCGGCGCTATGGATGAAGCGGATACTGACAATAGCGTAAGCCAGTCAGCCGAGCTCGAAGGTCCTTTACAAGACCTTTGTGAGTATTTGCAGCAGCATTCGGCTTACAAGGCATTCCCTGTGTCCGGCGAGCTGCGAGAGAAGCTGATCAACCTGCTTATCACTGATCCGTGCTTCCAACACCGAGACACAGGCGGCGAGAAGCCAACGTTTGGCATGCTCCTAGAAGCCGTGTTTGAATGTGATCTCGATGAGACGATAGACAGCCAGCTGTACTTCAAGTCCTGCGGTGTTCTCGTGCGCGATGTTCTGGAGCAGCTCAACACCTGCTGCAGCACTGCCTTGGCTGGGGAAGTGCTGAAAGACATGGCTACGCTGCTGATCTGTTCCGAGCGGAGCGTCAGTGATGTGGATCCGGATTACGCTCGGACCGTGTCGGTCGAAGAGGCATATCATGGCCTGAGCGCTTCAACCGAGCTAGATCTGACGTGCCTCTACCGCGGCCTTGTCGAGCACCAGCAGGTGGCAGGCGATGCCGACGACATTACCATCCGCTTGCGCCGTCCGTCTGGCTCTGGGCACACGGAGGAAACTCGCATGTCTAATGTGTGGTACGAGGCTGGCGACGAGTGGTGGGTGACTTGCCATGAGCTGCTGCATCAGAATGTCCAATCCTTAGCCAGTGCGCTGGGTCCGGACTTGGCACGGCGCACCACCGTAACTATCTCCCAAATCCAGTGAGACGACCATGCTTCTTCTTTTCTTTCTTTTTTACCATCCCCGAACACCCTCTTGAGAATGATGAGCTAATAGTTGCACCACTTTCTGTGCTGATCATCGAAGTGCTAACCCTGCCAGCTAGGTGCTGGTCTTAGTCGGCACATATGATGACTACGCCAAGCGCCACTAGCCCGGGTTTTTTTTCTTAATCTCACCCTTCTCCACTTTCCACGACATTTATCACAACCCTAGCACGCTCAAAACTACTGCACCACGTTCTTATCCGCTGGTGCTTGACCTCCATGTTGCCGTGTACGGTGACCACGGTGACTGATCCCGGATTAGCATTGACCGTGGGCTTTTTTCCCGGCACCCAGTGCCTTCACGTTTTTTAGGTTTTTTTAGTCAATGTCCATTTCGGTCCGTCGCTCTCTTTTCTGCTGATTTTCACCTCACAACCCGGTGCACGTGTTGTATTTGTTCATCGGGACTTTCGTCTTGTTTGTTTTCTGTCGTTGTATTGTGTTAGTGCTAGTAGTCATGCATCCATATGCAGTCGCTCTCACCTCACCTGCATCTTCATGCTCTTTTTTATTATTTCTTTTTCCTTTTTTCTTTCTTTTTAACTACTGCCGATTCCTATTTTGAATCTTGCTTTTTATTTTTTTATTCTGCCTTGATCTAGTTTTTTAGCCTTATAGGTTAGCAGACCAGTGAGGTTGTAGAGTTGTTATCTTATTCCAGAGTCATGCATCTGTTATTTCTGGTCATTTCTCTCTTTAGTTCTAACCCAGCGTTCCCGCCTTGTTCACGATGCTCTCCCCAGTATCCCGCCTCCACCTGTCATATCACAATGGATCAATACCCATGTGAAGTCTGTGAATCACCACGTGCCATCAAACCTCGCTTGTCCGTATCTCTCGTCTACTGTAGTTAACATGGTTACCTCGCTGACCAGCAGCGGGGATCAGCTTGAGGTGCATAGCGTATACGCCATCCTATTGGCCCATGACCATGTGCAGCCATGTGATCATCTCTCCCAAACTGCCAGACGTATGTATAGAAGAGGGTTGTGCGAATGATGTCATGACAGTATAGAAGTTGTGCAAATGATGTCATGACAGTATAGAGGGTTGTGCAAATGATGTCATGGTGGCGAGTCAGCGGGACTGCTTATGTGCGCTATGTATACAGCGTGAGTCGCTGATGGCGTAGTGCTTCGCCAGAGCACCTCAACCAAGAGTACATAACCCCCCCCCCCCCCCCGCCAGGGGTTATGTACTCTTGCCTCAATTGATCATGTAAATCGCGTACTGTAGCCTTTTTTGGGATCCGCACATTTCCTGTACCAATACAGTCATGGTCGAGTCTGTGCTCAATACTGCTTCAAATGTGCACTGGCCCAGATTTCCATCTCTTCCCCCAACTGCATACATGGCGTGCAGCAGGGAGTACTAAAAAACAGTACTCCCTGGTGTGCAGTACAGTAATGTTACAGTCTGTATCAGGGAGTAGGTTTACCGTAGTTATTATGTTCACGAAGACAATGAAGTAAGGACCAGTGTCTGCTCCAGAGCCGGGTCAGCCACCCGGTTGGGGGGGGGGGGGGGCATTTGGACCCGTTTGAAAAAGAACACTGGGTCACCTGTGACCCGGTTGGGAATACATTCTGTTATGTCAGGGAGTACATACTCAAGACGTTGACTCAAGTCCTAAAATATTTACAACTCCCTGATGTACATGCAGTAGCCGCACTTGAATGGACCCGGTTGCAAGGGTTGTGTCAGATACACGCATATACCCGGTTGGTTTGAAATCCTAAAGCAGACACTGGGACAACTCTTGGCAGTACAGTAATGTTCGTCATCAAGAGTACATCACCGGTATCAAGAGTACATAACCCCCAGGGGCTTATGTACTCTTGATATCGGTGATGTATTCGGATATCCTGACTCATGCCATGATATGATGCAGGTTATCATGGTCATAGCTAGGCCTGTCCGAAAAATGTGTTTTAATTTGCGGAAAATGGAAATGCAAAATGCACGGTTTTCCAGTCAACATTCAAACAAGAAATCAAAGGGAAATGTAAAAAAATCAAAAAATCAAAGCCAAACAACCCAAAACGCAGAGAAAATGCATCCGTTGCCATGGCAACCAGAATCTAAAATGGCCGCCATGCCATGGTGATCACAAAAAAATTTCCATGTCACACTGTACATGTAGTAGTAGTCATGTACGTATACCAGGTCTGGGAAATCGCCTAGTTAGGGCATCGGAGGTTTCCTTGGAAATCACGTACGGTGCGTACGCGTCTGCAAGCGTCATATTTTTTTCTGCACAAAGTGAACATGGATTTGTAAGCACCGTGAATCAGCAAATTTCTTTCCCTTGCATGTCCAATGCGGAAAAACCTGCTGAGTTGCGGAGATTCTGTGCATGCGGAGATGAGAGTAATAGGACTCCTTGAGATATCCAGTGAAAAAAAAATTCACTTTCATGTGCCGATTTTTCAAAAAGTGAAGAAAATAGATCGCTTGGAACGAATTTATCACAATTTGTCGTAGTTTATTGAGCTGAGGCAATGAAGAAGAGTGGTATCCAGACGCGGCGCTCTAAGCGTAGAGTTAGTGTTACTCCTGGACACTACTCTTGTCCTAACCCTTTCCATTCGGATTGTGAAAGCCCTTCCTCGTCCGCCAAGGACACGATAACGAGAAGGGCTGTGCTGAACGTCCTCTCCAGTATTGCTCGACGTCCTGTTTCCTCGATCTGCAGAGGGTGCAGAGCTGTGGCCGACTGCAAGCCAGAAGTCGTCCAGCACGAGCTGTATGCACCAGCAAGGACGTCCGCAGACTCGCTCAAGGTTCCATCTCAAAGTGAGGTACCTGCCCCACCTAGCCCACTCCCAGAAAACAAACCTGTAGGGTGTGGGGACTGTGAGGAACTAAGGGATTTAGTGGAGAAGTTGCAGAAGGAGGTTGAGGGGTTGCTGAAGTCAAGGAAATTTTTAGATGAGCTTCTTGCGACAGAGCATGGTAGGGTAAAGGTAGTTAATGAGATATGTAAGATAGAGAATAAGTTTCTGTTTGCGGAAACTCTAGACGCCATTAGCCACTCAAAGGAGAGTAGGAAAGTGGAGTCATTGCTGGGCATCCCCGCTGGGCGCATCACTTCCCGCTCCTATAATCCCGTAGTAGAGGCTTTTGTGTGTGGTATACAGTCATGTAGTATCCCTGCCTTGCTAGTACACATGTACCTCTAATCATGTCACATGTACACGCACTGCATGATCATAATCTTGTCACCCCTTTTGCTGACATTGCCTGACAAGCCTGCAAAGCTAACCATCAATTTTTCTCACCATTGCAAGTCACATGTGTTGCCTTACGCTTGCTGGATTGCATACTACAGTGTAGAGGCGACGGTTTCAAATAGGAAATAGGTTGCAAACCGGAACGGACTCAATATTCACTTTCTCTCTTGGTATTTTGATTAGAAAACATATGTCACAGTGAGACTACGATGTGTTATACTCCGAGCCAAAATTTCATGGCTCTGCGATGACCAGAAGCGCCATATCAAGCAGGTGAGTTTTTGACGTGTTGCTTCGCACTGCGACTTGAGTTTTACGACTTTCGAAAAATCAACTTCTTGTCGCAGGTAAACAGCGGCTCGCCTCTCGACAATAAAGCACCGCATACCAATCAAAACTAATGGAAGCACACACAAGGCTTATTGTTACTCTGTACTGGCCGTCGTGGAGCGATAGCAATTACCTAATTTCAGACCCAGAGTGAATTTGACGGGCACTCTAAAACGTGTCCGGTTTGGAGCCACCTCTGATTTGAACTTTTTTGAAGCGAAAAATTGGGCAACTTGGAGGCAATGGGTCAACACAAAGGAGTGGCTCAGTTCGATTGACTCTGGCCCCAGAGCAAACTTCAACATGCCAGTTTCCTTCCACAAACATAATTTCGAGTGAAAAATCAACGTTGATGATCGTTTTGGGTCTATACAAATTTGGCTGTCAAAACGTTCCGGTATCGAGCCGTCTCCTCTACCAAGAGTTCATAACCCCCAAGAGTGTGCAACGGGCATAGACCCAGCGCTCGGCGAAATTCCTACATTACGTCATGCGCAGCGTGTCATCCGAGGTAAATTTGGGTTCTTTGCGATTTCTGGAAACTATACCCTGAACCACTGTGAACCGCCCCTAACTCAAGGCTGTAGCCTCGACTTTTCGAAGCTTTTTTTGAAGACATTTCGGACGTACAAGTCGTACTATCTCAAAAACAAACTCTTTCTCCAAGAATCCATGGACATCGCGACAGGAAGAAGTGAGGACGCTGTTAAAAATATTGCATTGCCGTCGAGGACAATCATTCTGATAGCTGTGCAACTCAGCCGAAAAATGCTCCTTCGACGTATTCTCAAGTTCCTCAACCATTTGAAATTATCTTCCAGGAAAGCACCAGAAATATGCCGATGGCCTGGGGAAGAAATTGTTCTTGAAGAGACTGACTGCACTGGTGAAAGAAGAAGGCGATGAAGAGTCACCATTGCATCGAAAAAATAGTTTTGTCTTTCGTGTGCATACTTTGTTTCACTTTTGCTTCTTGACTCGAGGCTCAGACTAGAATCGCAGTTTAGGCAGTTTACCCTGGGGAAGCATCCTGGTTTGACTGTAAATTTTTGAAGAATTCATCGGCGTGACTCATCGCACTGCACCAAAAATGACGCAATGAAGGAATTCCGCCGAGCGGGCTTCCATACAGGGACTGATCAGGAGTTGCACACTCTTGGGGGTTATGAACTCTTGATACTACCTATACCATGTATACTACACATGTACTACTACTAGAACCATGAGAACATATCTTTGTTGTTTTTATCACACCTGCATGTACATGTAGAACTAAACACCCACGTGTTCCCATTTGTGTGATTAGGAGGCCAGTGCAACTAAGTAAGTCTTGTGTCTCAGCCAAGAGGGACAGAAGACACCGAAATAGCAAGCCGAACTTGACTTGGTCGAGCTGAAACCTTGGCTGAAACCTTGGAATTCGACCAAAAATGGGCAAAATTCAGAAAAAATGCAAAAATGCAAAATGTACCCCAAAATGCAAACAAAATTCAGAACATTTTTCGGACAGGCCTAGTCATAGCATACGTGTGGACGATAATAACATTATCATAGTGAGGTCATCCATACAAATGATGCTGGATGGAATATGGAAGTGGGTGCACGCGGCTCAAGCTGGTACGACTGCTTTGTATGAATTTCTGCTTGTTTGTGCTTAGCCTTACCGTAAAGTACCGTTGATCCGCCCCCTGTCGAAATTCTGCCTGTCAAGCAACATCAGCGGATACAACGAAATACGATATTGAACCAACGCATGTAGAGCCGTACACAATACGTGCGATTGCAGGATGAAAATGTGCAGAATGCAGCATCCCAGGTCTGATCTTCTGCTTTGTTGTACATCGTACTGTACTTGAACGACTTGATCTAATTCCCGCCCCCTGTCGAAAAACCAGCTGGGAAGCGACACGGTGTGGGGGCGGATCAACGGTACGTTCGGTACATGTAGGTGCTACCCTCCCGCATGCACACCATGCACCACCATGCACCAACATGGTCAACAGCACAACACACAACTTATTCGAGGTGGTCACAGTTTCGTAGATATTCCTTCAACATTGCTCAGTGCAGACCAGGCGAAGAGATAGACTGGTGATTTACCGCATCGTAATCGAGAGAGCGAACGAAACAGGCTTGTCGCCTGACAATAAATTAATGTCACTTGAAGAGCAACTCCTATGTATCTGGAAGGAATAAGCAATAAAAAAATAAAGCATAGACAAAATAGTTCAAGCAAACAGCAGCAGCATGATAGATAATTTTCTACAGAATTCCATTCAGTACACAACAACAAATATGAGCATAAGGCAGACATACAAGATCTATCAGCAAATGTACAAGGTAGCGCAGTAACTAAGGCTCAGCACATCTAAGGAACGACGAACATGAACTAACACAAGGCTGGGTGGAGGGTAGGCAGTCTGCACTGGACCGACACCAGCAACGGCAAAGGAAACTGGAACGAAGGCTTCGCTCCATCGAGCATTCCTGCAGCTAGGCAAATTGAGTTGTGATCAAGCAAGACACCAAGACACTCGCAGCTGCGTGCATTCCAGCATGACAGTGGTGAACTCAACAGATGAAGAAAGAACAGGGTCAACCAGAGGTCTGTCACGGACAAACGGCAGAAGCATTGCTCAACAATACTTGCAGACAAGAACACACTGTACAATGGCTCAGCTTGCACTGCTCAGCCAAAGTGGAACTTGAAGTGGCCGCCGCCACCATCACCACCGAACGGGAAGCCACCACCGAATGGGCTTCCGTGGAATCCCTGCTGCGACTGCTGCTCTGGGTCCAGGGGGTCTTCACCTTGGTCGAACTTTGCACGTTTCTCTGTAATATCGACAGCACACACATACCACACACACACAAACACATGTATACAAGAACGTACACCGAATACAACACATAGTTTAGAAGTAGGAAAACGAGGCAGCATACTACAATATAGGTTATCCTATAAGCATAGTGATTAGCACAATGAACCACGCTGACCCATCACTGCATCAGACCATACGGAATTGATTCGTTGCTTCGGACCACTTCATCCAGCTCCATTAGGGTCGGGTGGTCGGGTTCTCTTTTTTTCCACCACCTTCTGCGACCAATCCCGTACAGCCATGCATGCAAAGCCTTGTGTGACTTGATTCTATATCCATTCTGAAGACGAATCACCAATATCAGGGCACCGCCAGCCCCGGATCGCTGATACGGGAATAAGTCTGATGAACAAAATCCCGTAAGGAATCTGTCATCGAATCGCTATGCACTAGAGCCATAATTCCACCCTCTCTTGTTCGTGCAGGACTACAAAATAGTTTTGCAGTCATATCATATTTAAAAAAAAAAGAGGGTCAGTCGGGCGACCCTAAACCAGACCGCCTCAGGGGAAGCATTTCGAAGGAAGAAGAGCACACAACGGGCAGTACTACTAACACAGTACATGAAACATACCCGGGTTGGTGAGCACTTCCTTGGCAGCAGCGATGTCAATGAACATCTTCTCTGCCAGCTTCTTGTCTTTGCCCTTGTAGTGATCAGGATGCCATTTCATGGCCTTCCGACGGTACGCCTTGATCACCTCACCCTTTGTGCAGGATCTACACACACGCACGCACACACGCACGCACACACACACACACCCACACACACAAACAGAAGACCGGCAAAATAAGGACAACCTTATTCACTGACATTCACAGAGGCAGTGCACCTTAACCTGCTGTAACCCTACTTTCCTTTGTGTACCCCCCTTGTGTTCACTGACATTCATAAAGCTCTAGCAGGTGCAAGTCAGGAGGTCACATCAAGAGGTTAAAACCTGTTAAAGAAAGCATCCACTGCAATCTATATGGACATGTACTGGAGTTGCTACTCACAAGGTATCAAGTTACCTTTTCACGCCTAGGATTTTATAATAGTCCCTCTTCTGTGACTGCTTGAGAAGCTTTTGTGCTCGCTGAAGACCTTCATCAGCCTGCTGAGGGTGGCCTTCGATTTTCGTGGCAGCCTGGAAGTCATTGATGGCATCCTGGAACTTCTCATCCAGAATGTATGTCTCAGCACGGTCACAGAGTGCGTTGACATTGTCGGGATCACGGCGAAGCACGTCTGAGCACACCTTCACAGCTTCACTGATGCGATGCATCTGTATGGTGTAAACCAAGAAAGACAAGCAAAAGAAGGAATGGTGTTGTCAGCAAAACAGGTTCATGAAAGCGGGCTGGCCCAAGCTATACGAAGCTAGACACCCCTGGCAGCATACATTGTGTGTATCACATACACACACAAACACACACACACACACACACAAACACACATGCACGTGCACGTACCTTGTAGTAGGAGTGGCACTTGCGACCAAGAACCCTCATCTCGTAGTGGTATTCACTGGACTCAGTCTTCATGGCTGAATCGAGCTTGCCAATAGCTTCCTCATACCTGCACACATTAGAACAGACCGTGGAGGAGCAGTGGCGGTGAAGATGAGAATGAGCGAGTAAAGCCAAGCAAAGCCAAGCAACAAAAGAACACAAAGACACCAGGGAAGAGAAGAGAAGAGAGACAGACAGACAGACAAAGACAAACAAAGACAGAAAGAGAGAGAGAGAGAGAGAGAGAGAGAGAGAGAGAGAGAGAGAGAGAGAGAGAGAGAGAGAGAGAGAGAGAGAGAGAGAGAGAGAGAGAGAGAGCGAGAGGGACAACACCACACTACACAGCAACAGTTCTACGTACTGTCCTTGAGAAATCAACTCCTCTGCCTTGGTGAACTGCTTATTCAACTTTTTGACTTTCTGTTCACAGAAGCAAAGTGACAAAGAAAACAACAGTAGATCAAGACACATGAGGTTCACGGGTACAACTGATCACAATAGATACATATTCCAACCCGTGCACACCGAAAAGTAAACATTGATATCAGCTCCCCAGTCTGGGTGTTTGGAAGAGCCTGTCATAATGCCACACTCTAGCGGGGACACTCACCTTGTAAAACGGATAGCACTCCTTGTGATCCGGGTCCAGTTTCAAGCACTCACGCACTTCCCTGCAACACGAGCAATGGGAAAGAAGTTCCGAAAGTCAAACTTTCAAACTATTTATACAGTTTTCAGCACCATATCTTGACTGATTGATGGGAGGGGGAATAGGAGTAATACAGGCAACACCAGCCCTTGACTTGGACCATCAGCAAAACTCAGCAAGTAATACTCACCTCAGCGTATCCTCTAGGTCGCCCAAACTGTAGTAGACTTTACTGAGGCGGAAATAGGCAGCCGTGTTGTCACTGATAAGCTTCGTTGTCACTCTGCACCAAGACCAGAAGCAGGGGGCATGTAAAACACCAATACATTACTGACGAGCCATTGGCAAGAGTTCATAGTGGCACACTGGCGTATGCCGACGTATGCCAAGGCCACTGGGATATTCACGCTGTCAAGTCGAGCAGAAGAAGAAGCAAGCTACTGGCATACATGCATGCGTGCAGTTAAGTAGCTCCTAAGGCACACTGGCCAGCACAACACATGTATGAGCATGGCAGTACTGCAATACGAAAGCTATGGGCGATGAAAGGCACGGGCGGCGCAACAAATAGAACATGACTTGCCAGTACTATTTATGTACCTGATGTCGGATATGGCTTTATGATACATGCCCATTTCCATGTAGCAGTCTGCTCGCATCTCCCGGATGTCAGCATCCCATGGAAGTTTCTGTAAACATAGACAGGAATATAAGGACATACAAAGTGATGTTTGACTTCTTGGATCTCACTTGGACTTCTATCGCATACAGATTGTTTTCAGTCAACAGAGAAGAAAGGCAGCAATGCACCGAAACAAGAACTAATACTATGAATACGCTTGATGATGGACGGCTCAAGCTAAAGTGCACAAAAAAGCACGCGTTGAAAAACGTCTACCCTGGTGTTGGCAACTTGGCTTGGTGCACCAAGGAGGGATACCCAACAATGTCCTTACCTCAATGATGGGCTCAAGTACAGCTACAACACCATTGCAGTCCCTCTGCTGCTTGAACGCATAGGCATTCTGAAGAGCATTGCGAATGGGAGCAATGCTATCTAACTGCACAGAAAACAACGAGGTAGAAAAGAGGTCACAAGAAAATGAAGCCCGAGATACACAACCTCTACTCTTCAATTATGAATCATGAATAAACAACTCCAACTCCAAACTCTCTCTCTCTCTCTCTCTCTCTCTCTCTCAGCCATCATGCTGTTGCTAGTTGCAAATTAGCCATTTTCTGTGACGTAGAATTCTGCTCGGGCACCCGGAGTACTGCAGTACCTTGAAGTATAATACAAATGCCTGCAAAACAGGCGAAATTCCATATCCATCAGTGAAAAAAATCCAATACCCTACCTGCTCTCTCGCCTCCGCATGGTCCGGCTGCTGCTTCAACACATGCTCGTAGTCAGCATTGGCTGCATCAAGCTTGGAGCGCTTCAGGAGAACAGAGGCACGCTGAAGGCGAGCGGACGAAAAGTCAGGCCGAAGCTCCAGTGTTTTGTCCAAGTCGGGCAGAGCAGATTTAGATCGCCCTGCAAAGCAACAAAATTAATAAAGGATCGTTGAAATGCTGGCTTCCATGAAAGTGATAACGAAACTGCACAAAGGGTAATGTTTACGGCATGCTACAAACGAAAGGAATACATATCACATAATAAAACAGCTGATCGTACAATACAATGACAGGACTAGAAGAACACATACTCAAAATTATCTTCCTTTCCAAACAGTCTCCTTGTTTCAAACACGACTGAAAAGCTCACCTGGTGTTCGGGAACGGTTCAGTGTTAGGGTAGAAACTAAAGAATTGACCATTCGGGAGATTGATAGAGATAGAGAGAGAAGAGTGCATATGCGCATGTGCGTGAGAGAGCTATGAGTACCATCAAAAGGGGTCTATAGTTTCAGCAAGCTTGACAACTACTGTCCAATGTAATGCGTAGATGTGTATCTTACCGATAGCTAAGTATACTGTTGCACGCTTGTAGAAAGTAAGGTAGTTGGTTGGATCTCCCTCTGCAATTAAGAATAACGGCAAACAGAGTGTAACGATTTATACTAGCATATTTTATACTATTTTATTTATACTAGCCCCCCCCCCCCCCTCCCCCTCTCCGCGAGTTCATGATTTTGCCTGTACTAACATGCATGCCCATGGTATAAGCCGCAGTGTTGATTTCGGGCCAGTTTTCAGAGGCAGAATGCGCAGCCCATATCCCTGAAATAAAGTATAACGTTAGGCCAAGGTCAGCATATAATCACTAATGTTCAACAGCAGAACATGAAACCAAATGTCGGCTTTGAGAAACTTGATGCTGGCTTAGGTGACACGACTGCGGTGCACACAACCATGTAACTACAGGTCACAAGTTCAGCTTACCTACTGCTGAATGATAATGTGTGAGTGCACCAGTCAGATCTCCTTCGGATAGCAACTTTTTACCAAGATCCAAGTGCTTCTTTACCTCGTCAGCTGACATCTTTGCAGCTAGAAGATAAGAAGCAGTGGCACACACACACACACACACACGCACACACACACACGCACTGTACTCATGTATATGTACATCCACTAGGAGACAGTTGCACACAGGTCGTCTCTTATTAGAATCAGTAGGCTGGAGTAGATGGTTCTTCAATTCGACAAATTTTAATCTGAGTTTGCTGAACCACACAAGGGCACTGGGAGATCTCTTGCAAGGGAAATGCCCTGTGCAATCCATACTGCAGTGCAAGACCTGACACGGTGGCTTCATCACCAACATGTAAAACAATCATCTTCAGAATATTTCTGAAACTGCGACCATTGTGACATCCACAATGCATCGAGTATAAGCCGAGGTTACAATGGATCGGGCTTCGTCAGACTACTGAGATGCTTAGCATAGAAATCCAAGCAAATCGTGTAACTGTCAACGCATACTAATAGTTATAACTCGTTCTCAAAGAGAGATTATTATCTGAAGAGAATCATTATTGAAAATTCTTTGATTGCTGACTGCTTACCAGCAACTTGAAGCACCACCACCAGCCAACAAATTGTCAGCAAGAGCTGACGATAACTAGACACAATACTACGCTTGCTCAGCTCCATGGCTGAAGCTGCCATTAGCCGATCACCAGAACAAAAACTTTCTCTCTCAAACAATAATCGCAGGGAAGAAACACACGTGTGATAAGATTCACGACTGTGTGTTTTCTTTTCATCTGTCTGTAGACTGTACTGTACTGGGCTGTGATGACGTGGAGTTCCTTCGCTGCTTTAGTGTGATTTTACTGCCTGAATTCGTAGGATACGAGGTTTAATAGCCCAGAAGTCATGCCAAAATTACAAACTCAATATTTTTAGTCCAACCCTGCACGGTTTACCAGAAGTTCATGTGACTGAACTTTACCTCGGGGTTTCCCCGACGCTTGTGGCCTAGCCTGTGCATGCGCTGGGCCCATATGGGGTAGCTGTGGAACCCGGATTTTTGAATTATTATTTATTTTTCTCCTTCCAATTGGCCAAGCGAGGCGAGCGACGCGGCGCGGCAGATCAGAGCGACCAGTCTGTAGACCTACACTTATACAGTATAGCTCTGCAGTGAATAATTATTGGCATTGATTCGTAGAAGATTATCATTCACTGAAGTTTGTACACGTACGATAAAAACAATAATGCTTCTCAATCGGTCCTGGATATCAGCTGAAGATGGCAATGAGGGAAAGGAATCAGAAACCCAGCAACGGTTCCGTGTGATGCAGTGGAACACTCTTGCTGATGGTAAGGGAACATGTCAAGTACAGCTGCAGAGCCAACATTATTTTAAATTTTATAGTTACTCAGTTACAAAATTAATAATGTTGGCTAGTACATGTAAACAGTACACAGGAGAGCCCCTCGATAGGCCTCTGCGGCCTTTGGACAATCCTTAAATAAAAATCAATCAATCAATCAATGTACACGTATGTATACGGTATACATACGTGTATTAGGGTGCGTTTGGTTGGTACGATCTAGAACAGGATCGAACAGCTGGTGCACATGGAGCAGCCTCATGTCAACCAAACGGTACTCCAGAAACAGAGCACATTTTTGTGAAAATGTGCCAAACTTGGTGCATTTTTCAAAATGCGTATGGGTCACCATGGTCACTTTGTACGGGACAACGAATCCAACCCAAAAGCGTATGCACGTGATCATTTGGGACCAAAATCGATGTTCCCGCCAGGTTTCACTGTGAAAAAGTGAAACTGCTCGGTCTGCTCCGGCCTCAAGGCCGGAGCAAGCAGAACATGTTCTGGCCGACCCAGAACAGGTGCAGTCCCAACCAAACGCACTGTTCTGGTGAATCCTGTTCTAGTTCGTACCAACCGAACGCGCCCCTACATTATAGTGTAAACTGTAAAGTGGTCTGGAATCCTGGCTGCTACATGTACGAGGTGCAGTGCCTATGTACAGTAGTATAGGTTATGACATGACTTGAGCTCATGGCAGTGAGTACGAGCAATCAGGATTTCCCTGAGGGATGAAAGCCCTGGTTTGAATAAATAAACGAAATTTTGTGATGCAGTGAAGTTGCACCGTACTTGTGCTCAAGACAAGGCTTCGCACCGCAAAGTCAGTACTCAGTAGGACATCCATTTCAGAGAGGTACCCGTGCTTCATTTGTGGAGGACGTGTGTAGGGCACGTCCAAAACGGCTCAAACCAGGGAGTCGTAAAATACTGACTCACTTGCTCGAACGCATCCCACGGGGACGTACGGGTACATGTACTTCGTGATAAGCTTTTATTGGTCCAAACCGGGCTGTGTATTTCGAGCTCTATTTTCGATTTACAGAACCAACTGCAACGTGTTCAAGTACTGAGTATTAGTTACAGCTGAATCTCGCTTTCTTTTCTTTTTCTTCTTCTTTCTTTCGATATTCCCTCAAGGCAGTTAGTTGTGTATGCGAAGTACATGCTGCGAGGTATGAAAAAGGAAACGGACTACATAGAAACGAAAGCCTCGACTACATTGTAGTAGTTCATGCACATACTTCGTATGCTCGAAGCCATGTACAGTCAACTTCGCTTATAACAACACTCAGCGGGGCATCAGAAAAGTGTCCTTATTCGCGAAGAGTCGTTATACCCGAAGTCTCATTATATGTATTACGACTGTAATACCCAGAGCAAAGTCCCAGCCGACTGGCTGGGACTTTGCTCTGGGCATGGAAATTCTGTCGTTATTCGTGAATTGTCGTTATATCCGCAGTCGTTATTAGCGAAGTTGACTGTACAATTCGTTCAAGTAAGCTCCATACCAAGGTGCCTTTCGAGGTTGAAGGTCCATCGAACAGACAACAGTTCATATGCTGCCTTGAAGGTTTTGTCATTTATGTATTTGACATTCTTCGGCTTTAACCAAAGTAAGCAGCAGAATGTTTGAACACTGGGCAAAAGCTTTGGTTTACTTTAGTATCCGGGGTCAGTTCCGGATGCACTGCATATGTCACACCACTGGTAGAGAGGACTGGTATGAATGCGTACATTTCTTCTTACCTCCATTTCAGTGAATATTATCAAGGATTCCTAACCTATCCATTGGTTTGAGGGAAAGATTCAAAGTCTGAAGAAAAAAATGGACTGTCACTACCAGGACTCGGAACCAGGGCCTTCGTCTGAGGCCAGCGATGCTGTAACCGCTGAGCTATGAATGATTCCTAACTGACTTGGATACTTACTCTTTCTTGGCTTCTGCTCTTGGAAACTCTCGAGTTGCTTCCACTGTACTGCAGCCGGCTTTGCTAGGAATTTCCGAATAAGAATGGGAATAAATTCAAGTCCGCTAGAAAAGGCGATGTCTCGTATTTCTTACTCGATATGGATGTGAATGTCCCCTGCTGATGCACCAACGATAAGACTGCCCGCCACACATGCTGGACTTTGCTAGTGTGAAGTAGTGTGATCTGCATGAGACCTACATTGACAGTGATTGTGTATGCGGGACTTTCCCTGTTTGCAGTCTTGACTGGTGGTGTTTGCATGGCCCCAATAGCAGCACTGTTCAGGCGGAAGCCCTCTGTGAGCTGCCCCTACAGGTGCCAATGCTAGTTGCACTCGACTATCCATACAAACTCAGTACACAGTTCCGCTATCCGTCCTACCCAGGGCTTCCTTCGATTTCTCACCAGGGAAGATACACGGGAAGAACTAACCGTTAGCAGTGTAGAAGACAACCTTCTGACGTTGTGTTGTGATTGTTCTCGTGCACATCTGTTCCTCAGCTCTCAGCCCTTCAACGCCAACCGAAAACTTTGTGAACTGTCCAACGCCAGTTCTTGCATGGGAGAACCGTAAGGAGCAGCTGTTGGCCGAGATCAAACAAACCAAACCAGATGTGATCTGCTTGGAGGAGGTCGACCACTTCCCTGACTTTTTCCAACCCGAGCTGGAGAAGCTGGGCTTCAAAGGCTCGTTCCTCGCCAAGCCATTCTCGCCGTGTTTGAAGTGCAGTGAGAACAGTGGACCCGATGGCTGTGCTGTGTTCTTCAAGGAGTCCGTATTTGAGCTGAAAGCCGAGCACCGCATAAACCTACAGGACTCCGAAAGGAAACAGACCAATCAAGTGGCGCTGGCACTAGTCCTGTCGTTTTCCGGTGAAACTTCCGACAAGCAAACAAAAAAAGCATTGCCTGTGTGCATTGCTGCCACTCATCTGAAATCCAAGAGCACATTCAGTGCCCTGCGAGCAGCACAGGGAAAGCATCTACTTGACGAGCTGGCAACAATCTCAGCTGACATGCCTACAATCGTGTGCGGAGACTTCAATGCCGATCCGGATGAAGATGTGTGTGATTTGTTCCGGCATCACGAGCCACCGTACAGCAGCGTGTATCCGAATGAACCGGACGACTTCACCACGTGGAAGTTTAGGCCAAACGGCGAAGCCTATCATACCATTGACTACATCTGGTTCAGGCCAACGGGGCTGAGAGCGGGCTCACGGCTTGCCCTCGCCAGCAAAGCGGAAATAGGCGAGGCCGGTTTGCCGTGCATTCGCTACCCATCCGACCACCTGGCACTCGCGTGCGATTTCGTTCTGCTGCGATAGGCGAACGCTTGCCCTGGTGAAGAAACCCCCTCCGAGGGCACTGTTTAAGTTTGGCTTAGACGTATGCCAGGTGAGAGAGTACTGTACAGCACAGCCTAGACATGTACATGAACTGCTGTACTCATGATTCTGATCTTTTTGTCAGAGTTTAGTCTAAGTTTAGGATACTGACCCATGCTAGCCATAGCACCTGCTACCCCTATGAGTGAAACTTTCCGGACCACGGTCATTATACGTATCGGACATGTCTACTATCTACCGCCAACTATCTTTTTTCTGTCTTTCTTTTAGCGGGTTCTGCTTGATAGTTTCGCCGGCAAGTGTCTTCTAACAGACACTATTTGCTGAGTAGGAACCCCGATGGTATGTGCCACTAGTTCAATCCTCTCTTCTTCCTTTTCTTCCTTTTCTTCCTTTACGTTTCCCTTACTACAAACATCTGCCGCTAGGGTTTATCGGGTGTTAGCGGCCGTCGTGAGTTCCCTTCGGGAACGGACACGATAATTTTTTTTAATTTTTTTTCACTACAAACGTAGGATAAGACGTATATTTTAGTATGCCTTGAAGTATTAGTGAATGGCTGGACCATACTATTTTTCTGGGACAAATTAAAATGTGATATTCACCTATTTTTACATCCTGATGTATCGGGACATGCCGACAATGCTTTGGAAAAAAACTTTCTTTTGCATGTAGGCAATTCGAACACAGTTTCCGTATGGGCCTGCCTGTGCCAGTGCTCCTCCGCTGTGCCGGATTTGCAGGTCACGGATGTATGGTGTTTATGCACAGCTTTCATTCATGATAGCAATGTGTTATTGTGATGACAGTATTAATTTTGTAGATAACGCTAATGATTTTTCACAATAGGCAGTGCTTCGACCTCCGCCTTTTCTGTTGGGATGTTGGTTTGGATCATCTTTTGCCTACACTGTCATGTCTGTCGGGGAAACACGCGACCGATGGCCCTGCATGCCTTATTTTTGCGAGATTTTGGCTCAAGACTTGGTCACTTACACCAGGAGTGAGTGTTATGTGGTATGGTGCGATGCATGTGATGTTGAACAGCAAAACTACAAAATGGCACAATGAAGCTGATCGTAGGTTGTACTGCACCAAGCAACTTTGTCTTCACAGTTATGGCTCCGGCTCCACACCGCTCTATTACACACTCACACATCCTGGCCCAAACACAGCTCCCAACTCATCTATCTCTCTCCCTTTCTCCTAGCACTTTTCACCGGTGCTCCTATTCTCTCCACCCTAGCCGACACATTTCTCAGATGTAGTTATTATAGTCCTTTTACTCTTCTACTGCACGGCGGCACAGTTAATCAGCAGTTAATCTGCTGCTCTTCTTGGTCATTTGCTGTCAGTTTGATCATTTCACCCTGAGGATTGATCATGCCCGAAAATTTGGTGAAGGAGGAAAGCCATTTGCAGCAGAGCCGATCAGTATACCAGTGTTGAGACCGAGGATTTTAGCATGCAAACTGTACGAGTATTTCCAGCTTTCCAGGTATTGATGCGTCATAAGCAGCTTCTTTACCTGAGTGGTACGATCACAGCAGCTGCATTTGTGTGACAATTGTACCGTAACAATTGTACCGTAATCTCACACATTTAAGGACATGTTCTTATTTTCGAATATAAGAGCACTCTCGCTTATAAGAACATGCACTTATAAGTGAATGAAAATCACAAAACCACACGAGGTTCATCGTGGTTACATTGTACTGGCATTTGAAACGAGCGAAATCGCTCGTTGAGCGCACAAAGGGTTAACCAATGATATGCGTATTTGCATATGTACATGTACATGTCGATGCGATGGTTGTCTCTCACATTGTATAATCGAACGAAAATGCACTTGTGAAAGGACTGAAAACAGCGACTTTTCGATTACAAGACCATGGTCTTATGCGCGAGATTACGGTAACCTATTACAATGTGCTTTTGCAAACTCTCAGCCTTGCTCCGCCGGCTTCTTTTTATAGTTGTAATAAATATTCGAATTAGATTTGTCTGTCAACTCACGTGCCATAGATAAGTGGAGCAAACACAGAAACATAGTATCGGAAACACAGTAGATCTACATGTATTGTCAATTTGTCACAGCACATTCTGTATCTATTGATAGCAGTTCTGGGAGAGAGAGACTGATAGTAGTTCAAACTGCACAACTTACAGTAGCGACTGAGCATGACTAATGACACCACTGAGCAGGTGCTTAGCAAAGAAATTCGAAGCAGGCAATAATACTGTTGCCGCTCATCTCATATCAATATTGTTGGTTTGAGACTTGAAAGCATGGCTACCACCTGGCATGGTGAACTGAAGGTATGCCAACTGTGTCCGAAACACCCATGGCACTGCCTGGTGGTGTCTCTTATGACCGGGACTCACTGTCAGGAAGCAGTACTATGATGCGGGTTGCTACCAGTCGCACTGCGTGAAAGTGTCGAGTGATCATTCAGCCGTCATGTCTCCACTCTGGGCGGCAATCATAGCGGCTCTCAGTCTTGGCTCCGCTGTACAATACTGGTACAACTTATTTCCCTCCAGAGAAGCGATCCTTGCTTTACGTACGGTCACATTGATCCCACATGGTGAGATATGTCCATCGTCTGTGCACATATCATGGCTGCTGCTTTCCCACCGGGCATTGTGAGACGTCTACGTGCTGAACGGCCAGAAGTCGTACCACCGACAGCTTGTCTCCCCACCGCCAAGAGTATAGTCACAGGAAACGATCGGCTGATAGGGAAGCAACTCCTTCACCTTGGGGTGTTGTCGCTTTTCAGACTGCAAGCAGAAAACAACAAGCGCATGTACATGTGCAGTGTTCAAAGTGGTCTGAGTGAGGTGACCGAGAGTGAATCGTTTGGATAAGTGCTGGTTGGTATTCAACTGCATACTTCCTGCGGAAACAATTTTTTTACTTTTTTTATCCCCATTCTAATTTGTTACTGTGGTCAAGAAATTGGGTTCATAGGAACAAAAAACAGTTCAATAAAGTGAGTGGATATACTTCCTTGAAGCATGTACACTATCATAACGCTTGAGTCTTCCTCAAAGTCGTTATGGCTTGATTCTTTCAGTAGTGCTCAAATCACCGGAACAGAAAAAAAGACAGGTCGATCAAAATCACAAAGTTTCCGGAGAGAGTCATTTATGATTTACATCACCCGTACACCTTTTTAAAGCTTTGATGATGCGCCATTATCAAGGTGTTTTCTTTTACCATTGTACCTGGCCAGGAGAGCTTGCGCAATATAAATGGGTATGTATGCCAGTGCATGACATCTGTTATGTACTGCATGCACAGTTGTTTACAAGTTGGAATATATCAGAATATTGAGCACACCGGCATGTATTTATGCTTGCAAATAATGCCATGACATGTATGCATGGATTCCTCCATCACTGTCTGGTCATTCAGCTCACCAGATACGGTACCTCGCGGTACGTGTACCATTTCTGTACTGCCATTTTTCTGCCTTTCTCGTTGCGCAGCACCATTTGCGAACGATGAGTGCTTAACATGTTGCAGCAGTCATTTGAGTAGCCCAAGAATGACACAGCACGACCACATTTCGGGGTGACCTTCAACAGGTGGAACAGAACGCACATGCGTGCACACACACACACACACACACACACACACACACACACACACACACACACACACACACACACACACACACACACACACACACGCGCACACACACACACACACATCTACACACACACACACACGCACGCACACACACACACACACACACACACACACACACACACACACACACCGAGTGATCACAGGTGCACGGTGCGATTTCGCATTCTGATCTGTTGGTATGGCTGTGATGAGTCCATAATTTACCGGTTGAGCTCCTAAATAATAAATATAATTCCACTGTCAGTGCCAATTCCTTCAGGCCGTCTCGGGCAATGCTGTCTTAGGCGTCTGTACCTTCACATTGAGGTGTGGGAAAGCGAGCTCACCGCCTTCGACTTCGTTCAGATACACGAGGAATGTTGCGACTCGGTCCAACAAGTTCTCATCTGTCACCTGTCAGCAGCCAAAAAGACACACATGTGGAAGCAGCGTAAAATACTAGAAATAGAAGGGATGCAGTGGTTTCAGTATGTACCTGTATACGTACAGAAGAACCATACTGACTGTGTGTTTACTGCACTATACTAGGCAGGCTTTTGACTGGGGGTGAGTGCGTCAGGGTTGTAACTTGCTTTCTTGGCATGCATTTGACCAGCGTGATTCCACTGGCGAGGCGGAGGAAGCCGGGAGTATGCGGTGCCTACAGAGAAACAGAGGTTGCCCGTATCAAGTGACTGACAGAGACCTTTTGGTGTGTTGGCCATGTAGCACTTTGTGCCCATTGCTACACGTGGATATCACTGAAACCAGTTCCCCTGACTCAGCGCGAGTGGCATTACAGTCAGTGCTGTTCCCACTCTGCATCCATGCTATATCATGTACCAGCCTTATAGTGTATCTCCAGTCTAACTGAGTGATGCTGGCTCAGAGTTCAACAATGATCACAAGTCACAAGTCTGCACATGTAACCCGCTTTTATAGCTTAACAATAACTGAATCATAGTCTAGCGTACCCCACACTTTCCAGGCTGACAGTCGGTGTGGTCGTTGTAGCTGACGCCACTTGGATATGAGAGGAGCTGAAGATTGTAGCCGTGTTTCTCCGGCAGACCAGTAACTAGGTTGATGCGATCCTCTACCATTGCTGCAACACCTGACTCGCCTCGATGACAACCTACGGCGGCGAAATGCGGATGCAGGCATGCCAGAGTGCATGCACAAATTCATGACACATGCAAGGTTGGATGGATATATGTTTTGCATGGAAGGATTGGGCGGTGACAGGATGGATGGATGCGCGGACAGGAGGACAGACAGATGGTTGGATAGGTGAATGGATGGGTACATATGTGCACAAATGGATGTGTAGGCAGGTGGATAAATGGGGCCATCGGTGCACCACAAGAGAAGAGAGAGAGACAGACAAAGAGAGACAGACAAAGAGAGACAGAAAAGAGAGAGAGAGAGAGAGACACACACACACACACACACACACACACACACACACACACACACACACACACACACACAGACTCGGAGTGAGGGGGGGGGGGGGAGAAAGCGAGAGACTTGTACTGGAAAATTCATAAATACCGGGTTTGAATAAAAGCCTTGCCCTCAAAGTGGCTTGAACAGAATGATAGACCTGGCTTTATGTGCGCCTTAACATTGCGATTTTTGGGTGATGCAGTTTTGTGAAACACAAATGGAAGTTCTAACTCCACGTTATAGTAGCAACACCGTAAACCACCACAACCACTACAGGTTGCTTAAGTCTACCAGAGGAAAGTTCCTGAAACTCTACGAGGTCTCCTCACCTGAACTTGTGCTGTAGTTGAGTTGTTGAGCTAATGCTGCCGATATGGCTTGCTGGAAACAGTACGTGCCTGGTATGAAGTGTTTCTTGAGGCGTTTGTGCTTCAAGAAGTTGTCGTGCTGGAAGCAGACGAGCGGGTGAACATTGTACTTTTCCTGGATGCGGTGATGCTCTCCCTGCAATGCTTTGCACTCGTCGTCGCTGAGGAAATTTTCCATGACGTACGCGTGGACCGACTCGTGCAGCCGCGTTACCGAGATGTTGCGACCGTGCGCCATTGCCCAGCCCTGCATTCTATGTCGTCGTGTCGTGTCCAAATAGCTCTGTGACAAGTTGAGACCAACTGTACCAAATGGACCGGTAGGGTACAGCTTTGAGTAGAAGATGTGCAGGAAGCGTTCGGCCTCCTTGTCGAACGGACGATGCTCCAGAACGTGCCTGAAAAACCATGGTGCCAATGTGCACGCATGTAGAGCGAGGGGAGAGCAAGAGCGAGATACATGTATTGGTTTCATGGAAATTGCATGTTTGCTCCCTGGGGCGTTCAACTCATCCATGCATTGGGCCAGAGTAAGCCTGGAGATGGGGGCAATGTGATTGTCCACCTCATCCTGCGAATAACCAGCCCTTCTCTCCTGCAGCTCCACCACTCCTTCCATCATGACTGAACATCAACTATGCCTCCTAAGTTATTGATTATTAGAGTAATATCCACTACTTGTAGATCAAGTGCATACACCGGTATCGATATTTGCAATGGGTCCAGAGAGTTGTAAGATTATAGCTTGCACAGCCATGGCTGCTACATTGTCCATAGGTCATGACTTCGTATCGTGCATAACATGTACGCAGAGTTTGGCGGACTACCCGTCGATATCTCATCCGCCCCCGAGCGGCTACCCGTGATAAAGGCTGATTCACTCACATCTTCTGCTACAAGTACTGTATCAGCGTGAGAAGGAACTTTGAAGAAGACGAGTTCAGCATACAACAATGTCAATGTATTGCCATGATGTCTACCCTGCTTTTCACTGAAAACACTCAGTGTCTGTATGACCTCCGTTCGAACCCTCAGTTTTTTACCATGCAGACTACCAGCACTGATCAGGTGCACTGTAGCCAGCTGCCTACATTAGGCTATTAATTATAAAACTGTAGACTAGTGTAGGGACAATTATGTACAGTGAAACCTGCCTAAGACGACCGCTCAGCTTGTGGTCCTATTACCGGGTGGTCTTCTAGGACAGGTGGTCGGCTTATCCGAGTGGTTGCCTTGGCAGGTTTTTACTGTACATTGTAGTTATGCTGCTACCTCTGAAAGAATGCCAAATCAGGCACCAACTATTCAACCAACAAATCTGCCGGAGCCTAGTTCAGTTGTACAGCAAAAATGCAGATCGTACGGCCGGCCTCAAACTGTTACAGTAAACTGATACAGTAAACCTCCTCAGATCCGGGTTGCAGGTTGGGACCGAGCACTACCCGTAACTAGGAATTGGGCCGTAACTCAGAACTATTACTTGTATACTTACTGCATGCACGTAAACATTTTGATGCCAATCAATAGCTTTGGCCGTTTTGGGGCCGTTTACGTCACAAGTTGAAAAGCCATTTTCGTGACTCTAGACTCTAGTACGGTCTAGATGGGTCAGAAAGGTGCCCAGTAGACGGATGTGCCTGGATAAGGGGCGTCCGGATCTGCGGAGTTTTACTGTACTCTGGAATGAACTAACTTTCTAACCAAACCATGATTGTACCAATGCAATGCAGCTACTCACCGCATCAGCTGTGAGGCATTTTGCCAGCGACCTCGGTCTGCTAAGCGCCCAGCTTTGTCCATGAGCGACTGGACGTCCGCCAGTTTTCGGCGCTCAGCCATTGCTTTATCGAGGCGCTCCGTGCCCGTACCCGTATTGGCGGCGGTTAGTGCTAGTGCTTCAATGCGATCCGCTATCCAGTCTGGTGTCACCAACGGGCCACGGTGTGCTGAAGCAACACCCTTCTCAGTCCTCATTGTATTCTCACGGTTGCGTTTCTCTGCGCTGGCTGGGTCGGTTTTAGTCGTCTTCTCTTCGCTAGCGCTTGGCGACGACCGCATAGCTTTTATGGCAGCATCCCCATCCCTTGGCCTTGGTTCTGGTCGATTTGTTAGTAGAAACACACTAGTTGCCCCAATGGCAATGATCACTGCTGCCATCACCACAATTGCAATGAGCAATTTCGAGTGACGTCCGGCATTTCTCAGGCTCGCGATACCAGCCGAGTCGTTGTCGCCTGGAGTTCTGGACGCCTTGGCTCCTAATTTACTGGCCTTCTGCCGTCTCATTTTCTCAGCTCACCATGAACACAGTGATTATGGCGCAGTAGAAATTGGGGTGTCTTTATGCTTTGACTCTTACTTCATGGTTTCACGCCATTGGTGAATAAAACCGTTCTCAAAGAGAGACTGAAGTAGAGTCTACAATCATGTAGATCTAGTCTGTAGTACTGCACTGAGTAGCCGGTACTGTACTATTTTGATAGGGCCATTCTGATTCACCATGTTCACAGACGTTGCCGTCTTGTTATACAGGCGTACAGTCATGTAGAGGCGACGGCTCGATACCGGGACGTTTTGATAGCCAAATTTGTGTAGACCCAAACCGATCATCAGCGTTGATTTTTCACTCGAAATATGTTTGTGGAAGGAAACTGGCATGTTGAAGTTTGCTCTGGGGCCAGAGTCAATCGAACTGAGCCACTCCTTTGTGTTGACCCATTGCCTCCAAGTTGCCCAATTTTTCGCTTCAAAAAAGTTCAAATCAGAGGTGGCTCCAAACCGGACACGTTTTAGAGTGCACGTCAAATTCACTCTGGGTCTGAAATTAGGTAATTGCTATCGCTCCACGACGGCCAGTACAGAGTAACAATAAGCCTTGTGTGTGCTTCCATTAGTTTTGATTGGTATGCGGTGCTTTATTGGCGAGAGGCGAGCCGCTGTTTACCTGCGACAAGAAGTTGATTTTTCGAAAGTCGTAAAACTCAAGTCGCAGTGCGAAGCAACACGTCAAAAACTCACCTGCTTGATATGGCGCTTCTGGTCATCGCAGAGCCATGAAATTTTGGCTCGGAGTATAACACATCGTAGTCTCACTGTGACATATGTTTTCTAATCAAAATACCAAGAGAGAAAGTGAATATTGAGTCCGTTCCGGTTTGCAACCGGTGTCCTATTTGAAACCGTCCCCTCTACGTCATGTAGTACAGTGTAGATCTACATGGTGTATGTGTGAAGAAGGGACATCGACAGGCTGTCACCAGGTCACAGACATGTATGATGTACTAGACAACAACGGTAAAATAAATACAGTAAAACCTCAGTCAAACCTGGTAACTAACGACCACCAGGTCACTAACGACCACCCCTGGGGAAGTAAGTAATTACTAAATTAGTTGGCTGTCCCTCCAGGAAATCTAGATTCCACGGATGTAACAAATTTCGCGATTTTGGCCCAAACCCGCGATTTTCAGCAAAATCCGCGATTTCCCACGTTTTTTGTTGTTTTCTGCACTACATGTATATCTCACATTTTTATGCACTTTTCACGCAGTTCTTTCCATGATCCTGTAGGTTATTTGCACAGTACGACTCCCGAGTAGATATACGATGCAACAAATTTCGTGATTTGGCCCAAATCCGCAATATTCTGCAAATAATTCCGCGAATTCCTGGCAAGTTCTGCATCATTCCGCACTTTTCGTCGCATTTTTTGTTACTTTCTGCCGCAATTTCTTGCGCAAGTTTTCGAGAGTTTTTTCCGCAAATTCCCGCAGGGACAGAGTTGGGGCCAGAGAAAGCGGTCTTAAACAAAGACCGCTTTCTCTGGCCCCAACTTTAGTGGCAGTACAGGTCAGGTGCCGCTGAGGTGGTCCTTAGGCTTTAGACTGTTTAGTTAGAGCGGTTTGCACCGCACAACCAGCAGTACTAGTGCCAGTAAGTCTTAGCAACAGTAAACTATGAATGAGTTTATTAACAACAGACGGAACCCTAGACGTCAGTGGAGCGCTATGAACAGCCTACTTGGCGGAACGAAAGTCAGCCGTGAGCCTGGAGCTAGTATTGCAGACATTACATCTATATTCTCAGAAATAGTTGGGCCTTTGCCGCCAACAGAGACTTCTGACGCCCTGACGCTGGCATCCGTGCCTGATCATCCATCCAACATTCCGCCTGCTCTGCCGTGTGGCCCCCAGTCAGACGGCACTCTAGTTTCTTTTACCCGAATCACAGCGGGGGACGTTAAGTTCCATCTCCGTGCTATGGACAGTCGCAAAGCAAGCGGTCCTGACGCCATCCCCCCGCTCGTCTACAAACTTGTGTCTGACCAAATTGCACCAACGCTAGCCTCTCTCTTGTCGATATCCCTTGAAACTGGTGAATTCCCAACTCCCTACAAGCTAGCACACGTCCGTCCGATCCACAAACGTGGGGACGTTTCCGACCCTCGCAACTACAGACCCATCTCCCTCCTTCCTCTCATGTCCAAACTTCTCGAGAGGTGTGCGCTAGAGCAACTTACGCAATACATGGATAGCGCCAGTCACATGGACTCCCTCCCTGCAGTTCAGTTTGCGTACCGCAAAAACCACTCCTGCGACGATCTTCTCGCTCTGGTGGCAAATGATTGGAGTCAAAGTCTAGACCAGAACGAGTATGTGGCTGCGGCTTTCCTCGACATGTCCAAAGCGTTCGACACTGTCAACCACAGTTTGCTCCTCCAAGAACTGTTCGAGATTGGTGTGGGAGGGGTTGCACTGCGTTGGTTTGCATCATACCTTACTGACCGCCAGCAGAGAGTTGTCACCAAGTCTAGCAGAGGTGCCTGTTATTCTGCCTCCAGAGGTGTACCTCAAGGATCTATCCTTGGACCTGTCTTGTTCAATCTTGCTGTCCGCAAACTGCCAGAGTGTGTTGCTAGTACCAAGGTCCGTCAGTTTGCTGACGATGTTTCTGTCTACAAATCCGGAAGGGATCCACAGAAGCTCACTGCAGACTTGGCCAGAGACGTTCTGTCAATCCGCAACTTCCTCCGGGACCACGGCCTTAAACTCAACGCGGAAAAGACACAGTTCATCATATTCCGCCCAAAGTCCAAGGCTGTCCCAGCTAATCTCCAATTGTCAATTGATAGCACTAGCATACCGCCTTCAGCCACGATCAAATACCTCGGCCTCCTGTTCGACGAGCATCGTACGTACCGAGATCACATCACGCTCCTGGAACGCAAGATAGGCACTAAACTTGCTGTGTTCAGGAAAATCAAACACAATCTAACACCTGCTGCCAAACGAGTCTTCTGCTGTTCCTTCATTCAGGCCCAACTTAAATACGGCTCTAATGCATTTGCGCACAGCCTCCAAGTCTCGCAAATGGACCGCATTACTCGTATATCTAACCGTGCTGCTCGGATTGTCTTTGGCTACCCGAAGTACTACGATACTTCTCTTGTTCTAGCTAGGAACTATCTCGCTGCTATTTCCCTTCGATATCAATTTCGCCTGTTTGTACTGGTGTTTCGAGCCCTCCATAAGCTATGCAGTCCACTGCTCTCGACCTGCTTCCTCCCTCGCACTGCCACTTCACAAACCTCAGCCCATACACGCTCTCAGTCCACGTTGTCACTTAGTCTTCCTTTAGCTTCTCGCCGCTATGGTTTATACTCGCTTAGCTTTCTTGGTTCCGATCGTTGGAACGCGCTTCCTGCTGATATTCGCACAATCTCCTTGCTCAGAAACTTCCGTTCATCTATGCAACAATTCATAGGGTACCCTGTAAAAAGGCCCTACAAAAGTAGGCCTGTGGGACTGCCCTATTCAAAATTTAATAGGACCAACGCATATGGCTGATTGGTTTGCAGGCCTGCCTGCGAATCATGAGGTCCCGAGTTCGAGACCCGCGCTGGTAGCATGGAGCGTGTAAAGACTTTTTACGTGAGTAAAGACTTTTTATGCGTGGTGAACTGCGCCGACACCCACGGTCAACTGGGTACTCACAGCTCGGAGTGAGGGTAACAAGGATGCAGTTTACAGGGTTATGGGCCGTTACACGCCCGATTGGTTGAGAGACTCACCTACTCTCCCCTGACTCACTTGTGAGGTCTGCATTCGCCAGTAAGGTGTGCAAGGCATAGGCATAGTGGTGGCCTGCGGAAGCGAAGGCTAGTTTGTGTGTTTCTGAACATTCAAGCGATGCCAACGCGAATCCCGCGAATTATTATTATTATTATAATAATAATAATAATAATAATTAGAACTGCGATCAACAGAACGAGCTGAACCGACATTTCACAAAGGCTTTTATTGTATTCAAAAAACGAGTGGATACGAAGGCAGTGAAAAACATGGAAGAAAGAAAAAATGTGATATGGAGAAAATGATGAACAAAAAATCGTACTTCGAACTAGTTTTCGCACAACACTCCTCAGGAAGCTACGTTGTACTAATGAAAAACAATCCAGAAAGATACGAATAAAGAGAAATGGAGTGAGAAGAAACAACACCTATGAAAATGATAATCCTAGCACTAAGGTAATAACAGGAAAAAACTGCGAAAGCACTTTAAAACGAACTTGTAAAGACTACTAGTGTACTGTGACACAAGATATGACACCATGGCCAACCAGGGCCGAACAGACAGAACAAGCTGCTACTAGAACAATTTCAAACGAATAATGCTGTCCTTCTGGACACACAGATTAGGCTTATGAATACGTTGACAAACAGCTTCTAACACACTCAACTGCAACTTATAACCATGACGAGCACGGCACAAAACAGAAAAAGAAGAATCAGAATACACCTTGCAGCAATCAGGACGAGATACAAGATGCTTATACACTGATGACTTCCTACTAGAAAACACACGCTCGCACCCACTCTTACTCACACAATCATTCTCGCTCTCACACTCACCGGACTCACTGGCCGAATCCTCCTCAACGACGTCCTGCCTTGGAGCAATCAGGTCCCGTCTCCTCCCATCCCTTGTCTCACGCTCCTGTTGTGCATTCCGTTGGCTCTGTACTTCCGTACTGAAATAGGTCATGGTGTAATTCGCAGTTGTTCTTCTGGGTCTCGTTGATATTGAAGTAGGTATTGTTGTCGTCTCTGCCGGTGATGCAGCAAGCGATGATGACGCAAACGTGTCTGCATGCAACACACGTGGCGTCGCCAAAGCCACATCCACCTCCGCTGGTGGAGGGAGTGACTTGGTCATGGCCACGGAAGCCAATGGTGGACTTGCCGAGTGGGACGCTAGGTCCTGTGTTGGCGGAGGTAGTAGTTGTTTACGGGGTCTTCCCCGCGTGGGACGCTCCAGTTGTGCGCTACGTGGGATAATGTGTAAAGGAGTGTGTTGCTTGATGCGTTCGCTCAGGTGCTGAACAGTCCTACCAACATACCGGCTAGCACAATTCCGGCATTCAAAGTTGTAGATTACATGACTTAAATGATGGG